ATAGAGATAAATGTATTCAAATTGCTTTTGACTATACTTATGCTGGCACAACAAAACGTGTTTACATGAAAAGGTTATTTTAAATTTGATACTTTTTGAAGAAGGGAAAAATAACTGCTACTCAAACTGGGAAAAATCTTAATTTCTTAAAGAAAAATTTCTCTTTTAAAGATCTTATTTGGATGATTTTGGTGGAACTATAAGACGTTTACAAATAAAAATTAGGGATATGTTTAGTAAAAGACAGTCAACTTGTATACGAGCAGTTACAGAAAATGGAGAATTTAAGATAAAGGAGAATCCTATCAATATAACAAATTTTGACACTTTCTTTGGCCATGAACCTTATACAAAAATTGAACTTGACAATATTGAATACATAATTGTTAGAGATGTTCCATGGCTAGACAATTTCGAAATAGCTTTAGAGCCTCTTATTGGTTGCCCTTTGATCCCAAGGTTTTTTAAACTAAAGAAATTCAATTGAATCCGTCGTTTCGTTCCATGTCCCAATCCTTCCCATTTTTTCACTCCCATTTCCTTTTTTATTCCTCGTTTAAAAAATTAAAATATGCCGTAAATGTTCTAATAGGAGCCCGGCTCTTGTAGAAGACAAGCCCACTCAATTATACCCATTGAAAAATAAACATCAGGGCTTCTATTAGAACATTTACGGGGTACTAATTTAGTTTCCCCCCCCCCAGTCAGTTTTTTCGAAAATTATTTAAAAATGGTCAGTCTGAACAACAATTGTAGAACCCATCGAGCTGTGTCGAATGACACCAAAATCAACAAAATCCGACTTGATTTGACCGAAATACAGACCCCTAAAAATTGAACAACCATGGGGGTGATTTTTTGAAATAAAAAAAGTTTACCCAAATGATAGCTCATTCGAAAGAGCTCGTCGAGCTGAGTCGAATGAGACCAAAATCAACGAAATCGGACAAGATTTGACAAAGTTACGACATTATTTAGACCTGCCGGAGTCGATGACTTATGTCATAACTTTGTCAAATCAAGTCGGATTTCGTTGATTTTGGTCTCATTCGACTCAGCTCGACGAGCTCTTTCAAATGAGCTATCAATTGTATAGATTTTCGTCTTTATGATTTTGTGCCCCTGTGCTTTAGGGGTCTGTATTTCGGTCAAATCAAGTCGGATTTTGTTGATTTTGGTGTCATTCGACACAGCTCGATGGGTTCTACAATTGTTGTTCAGACTGACCATTTTTACATAATTTTCGAAAAAACTGACTGGGGGGGGGGGAAACTAAATTAGTACCCATTTACGGTATATTTTAATTACGCCCTTAAATTCTTTTTTTAGTATTGATTGGAAAAAAGAAGATCCAATTGCAAAATATCATTGGTTTGTTGGTGACAAAAATCCAAGAAACCTTAAATTTTCAAAAGGTTTTATTGATTTTTTAATTTACGAGATCATATCTTTTTAAAGATGACTCCAGTCAATGTGGAATTTCAATAAATGGATACAATTTTGTAGAAACATTTCCATATTATTGTCCAACAGAAGAAGATTTAGATAAATATGTTGCTGTTGTTGTTGAATTTTCTGGTGAAGAAGAAATTGGGAGAATGGCAATCTCCCCTGAACGTGTTAAAAGACCAACTGAAAATACAGATGATTTGTTAATTTTTGAAGAAAGACAGGAAAAATTTTGTAGAGAAAAATTGAATGGAAACAAGTATAATTTTTTAAAAATTAAATGAATTTTCATAATTTTTAGATATCGAATTTTGAGCTATAACGGTAAGGATTTTTTTAATTTTAAATTGGCTCTTAAATGAAGTTTTATAAGTCCATGAAAGTTTTGAGTCTGATAAAAGTTAATGAGTCTATTGGTGATTTATGAATCCTTATAAAATTTGATTGGACTCATAAAAACTTCCTTGGACTACTAAACTAGACCAGAGCCAAAAATTTTATAAAAAAATTTTCAAAATAATTTTTTTTCAAGTCCTTGCCCATCTTTACATGAAATCTTCTTTAACTAAAAATGAGCAAAAAGATCAATATTTTTCTTATTGCCCAAAAGAATTTCAATTTGATAGTTATCGATATTCTTTGCTTCTTAAAGAAATACATGGTTTTTTAAATAGACTTTTCAAATTTTTTTTACTTTTAAAGGTTACAACGCAGACATTTTATTTCTTCAAGAGGTTGATGTTCGCCTTCAAAGAAGATTTTTGGTTCCATTTTTAAAACTAAAGGTTATATTTTTAGATCTAAATTAAAGAAGAAACCTTTTTATAGGGTTACACTTCAATTTTTAATTGTAAAGAAAATCAAGTAAACGAAGGATTAATTATTGCCATTCGAGATGACAGACTTTACGAGGATGGCAATTACACAGCTAAATTAAGTGGCCTATTAAAAAAGCGATCAAATTCAGACATTATGGAATTTTTAAAAAATAAACCCAAATCTTACGAAGTAATTAGTTCTAGGCCTTCAATAATTCAGGTTTTTAAAATTAAAAAGAATTTTAGAAATATTTCCAAAAGATTTCCAAAAAAAATTTTCGTTTTAAGGTTAGGGGTTAAAAATTTTGAAAATTTTCTAAAGCTTCCCCACAAAATTTTTTTCCCTAAAGATTGTCCATCTCCGTTCTGTTGACGACACAAATGTTCAAATACTTGCAGCAAATACTCATCTACATTATGATCCATTATTTGAAGATGTTAAACATTTACAAGCAGTTTTGTGTGTTAGATATATTAATGATATAATTCGAGAAATAAAAAAATCTCAGAAAAATTGCAACATTCAAGTTATTTTTGCTGGTGATTTTAATTTTGTGCCAACTAGTAGAGCAGCAAAAGTGTTAAGAAATGATTTAGATTTGATTAATAATAAAGAAGAAAATATTAAAAGAGAAGAAGACAATAAAAATTCAACAAAAACTTTAAACGAACAACAACAACTTTCTTTCTTTTTGTTAATTAATTGGTTTTTTTGGACACTTTTTGGAAATCTTTTTGGTGCAAATTGGCTACCAAAACCCTTAGAAGACAACAATATTGAGAAAATTAAAGGTTAGATTTTTTAAAGGCTTTAGTTTAAGGCCCGCGCCCCGTGAGTCACACGTCCCCAGAGAAATATATGTGCCAAAAATATGGAACGCTTAAACGATCATAGAACGCATGTCCTAAACTAGAGCCTTCAAAAAATATTTTCCCCTTTTTTCATTTTAATTTTTTTCAGTGCCTTTCAAATTTCAATGTGCCACAGGTTTTCCTCCTTACACAAATTTTACACGTGCCGAAGGTTTTACTAAAGATGCATTTGTTGGTTGTTTAGATTATATTTGGACATTTCCAGAAACGAAAGTTTTGAAAGTTATACCCTTTCCTGATCATGAATTAGTTACAAAATATGGAGCAATTCCATCAAGAATTGCACCAAGCGATCATTTACCTATTATTTGTGAAATATGTATTGAAGAAAAAAACAAGAATAATCTCACTTAAAAAATTTTTAATTTTTCCCCTTCCCTTCCTTTTTTTATTTTTATATTTATTTTAATATTATTCATGTTAATTTTTTTTTCGAAAATAAAGCTTTTGAGAAACAAAATTATTTTTTTAGAAGATTTTTATTTAAAAAATGCAAAAATTATGTGTTTTTTGAAATCACTGGGTAAAAATTTTTTTTGTTGACATGGAGGGTATTCGAAAAGTTTTTTTGGTTAATAAGTAGTAGGGACGAACATACATACCCGTCTAAAATCTATTTCTTTAATTTTTTCTCTTTATATAAATCAGTGTCATAGTTGAATGGACCCCCTCTTCAAGCATTTGAGGAGTTCATCCCTCCTTGATTCTTCTAAAAATAAAAAACCTTATCTGTCCCCTTTAAGGTTTTTCGAGTCGGACCGGCGTTCGAGGCATTTTTTCCAGGCTTGGTTTTTACCGAAATGAGCCGTTTGATCTTTTATATCAAGTCGGGCCATACAAGACTTCTGGCCAAATATCCCTCATGCCCGACTCGATCTTTCGGACTGAATCGGTCCATTTTGGCAACCCTAATCCCTTTTACTAAAAATAGAATTTACCTCATCCTTATTCTTTTGATCTTTCTCATCATCAACATTTTCATCTTTATTTTGTTTTTGTTGTTGTTTTGTATATTTATGTGTATTATTATTAGTAATAGCAATATTAACAAACGAACCAACTGAACTTGCAACAGAAAGACAAGAAACAGAACTTGCAATAGACAATTTCCCCGAAGATTGTGAATGTTGTAATGAACAAGCTTCTTTTAATGAAGATTCTTCCCCAACACATAAATCTGTTGATGTTTGTTGTTGTTGATTTTTTATTGAATTTTTTAAAAGTTCTTCACTTTTTCTTCCAAATTTATATTTTATTGGACAAACAGTTTCATCTAGAGAACAACTAAAAATTAAAAAAAAAATTTTTAAGTATTAAAAATTGAAAATAAACTCAAGAAATGTTGAAAGTGTATAAAGTTGAAAAAATTGTAGAAGAGAAAACAATAAACCGAAGAATAGAGCAACAAAACCTGAAGTTAAAAATTTAAACAAGTTTTAAAATGTTTTAATAAAATTCTGGTTTTTGGACATGTTTAAAATTAATTCTGATATTTAACCAAAACATTGAGTTTGTTAAAAAAAATTTGTTCGAATTTGATTCTGATTTTCCAAAAACATTAAATTTTATATTCTAAAAACTTTTTTGGATTTAATTCTGGTTTTTTAAATAATTAATTCTGATTTACAAAAACATTTGTTTAAATTTAATTCTGATTTTTAAAACATTGACAATTTAATTCTGATTTCCCAAAAACATCGAATCTAATTCTGAATTTTATTCAAACATTAAATCTTTTAATTGTTTCGTCAAAACAATTAATTCTGATTTTTCAAAACATTTTTTCTCTATTTGTTTGCAATCTCTAAGTTTGCAAATACAAATTTGCGAAGCATGTTTACATATAAAAACAAAAAGAATTTACCAGCAACAACATTCATCCAAAAACAAATTCCAAATCTGAATTCTTAAATTATTTTTCAGAATTTTGGAGTTTTTATTAAAAATTAACCGAAATTGTGTAAAGTTGGAATGACCATTTGGTGACGGAAATGCAATATGTAAATCATTTGGAGAAAGTAAAATATAAAGCTTTTTAAAATAAATTTTATATTAAATAAAAATTATTTAAAATTAACCATGTTAGACAAAAGAATTAAAAATCCAATTAAAAGTCCAGTTTTAGCAAAATAATGTGGAAGAAATGGAAGTAAAATAAATTGTAATAACCAACATCCAAAAGTAAACCTATAGGAAAAAAAAAAGAATTTTTTTGAAAGAAATTTTTTATTTTTTTGGATTGAAAAAAAGATAAAAAAAATTTTTGATTAAAAATTTTCAAAAAAGAATTTAAAAAAATTAAAATTATTTCGGAAATTTCTCAAAATTTTTTGTCAAAAAAATACAAAAAAAATATACCAAAGTAAAGCTTTTGTATAATACCCAGCTTTTCTAAATTGATTTCCCCACGAAAACGCATCTTGACCCAATGAAAAATACTAAAATAGAAAAGGAAATTTATTTTGTTAAAAAAAATTAAAACCTCCAAAACACACAAAACAGGAAATGGTTGTCCTTCTTTATAAGCTTTAAACAACTCAGTTTTCATTGAAGAAACGCCAGACAAATCAAATTGTTCATTTAAGTGTAAATTTGCCAAGGATCTATTTTAAAAGAAAAAAATTTTTACGAAAATTTTTTAACAAAAAAATAAAACCTTGGATGAGGTAAACGTCCATCAAACGGCTTTACATCTTTTTTAAAAAAAAATATTTAAAAAATTTTTTTCAAAAAACTTACAATCAAGAGAAATATTTAAAGCACTTAAACCAACATTAACTCCAATATTGAGTAAATGACGTTGTTTAGAAAATGGTTGTAAATGAACAAGGATTTCTCTTGTTTCTGACAATTTCCAGTATGGAAGAGTTAGAGAACCTTTGAAAAATATATTTTTAAAAAGTTTAAAAAAATTTATAAATTAAAAAAAAATTTTTTTAATCGAAAAATTTTCGAAAAATTCTCAATAAAAAATTATCCTTAAAAATATCAACCAATAAGTAAAGTCCCAACACACAATTGTGATCCAATAGCTAACAAAGAAATTAATCGTTGTTCTCGAATTCCAGGCAAAATTACTAATAAAACTAACAACAACAAGGGAAAAGGCAACAAAGGAAGCAATAACTGAAAATTAAAAAATTCTGAAAATTTTCAAAAAAAATTTTTTTACTCTAAAATTGATGAGAGCTACAGGAGGTTGTTGTTGTGTTGTTGTTGTTTCAGTTGTTGTATATGGAAATGCAAAAGAATTGTAATAATTGGAGGAAGAAGCAACATTATTTTTGTTTAAAGGACCGAGTAACATAATTTTCTGAAAGAAAAAATTTTTTTTGAAAATTATAAAAATATTTTTAATAAATAAAATAAATAAACAAGGAAATTAAGTAAAAGACAACAATGACCAAAATATCAAAAAAAATATTTCAGTGAAAAATTTTTTTTAAAAAGGCACAAGGCCAAAGGAAAGAAGCATATTTTCTTCTTAATTAATTTATTTTCCCCCTTTAATTTTATGGATATTTGAAGAATAAAAAAAATAAAAAGGCCAACACAACAAGTTTTGTTTTGTTATTAAAAAAAGTGACCGGCCTCATGCTTCTTCTCTCTCTTATAAAAACAAGCAATTCAATTAGCACAAAAAGAGAGAGAGAATAAAAATAAATAGCTTCTCCCCCCTACTGGCCATTTAAAGAAAAAAGGTATATAAAATATAAATGGAAATCGCAAAAAAAAAAATAATTTTTTTTTGTCAATCGGGTTTATTTATTTACTTGTTTTATTATTGTCCAAAAATGTTTTGAAGGACATTATTTATTAAGAAAAATAAATTTGAAGGAGAGTTGTGTGTGATTTTATCAGAAATAATAATTCTGAAATTTTTTGAGAGAACATAAAATTAATCCAAAAATAACTGCCAACCCCTCAAAACCCATTAAAATACCAAATAGCGGAAATGACGTTGAACTGACAACCCCTCCTCCCAACGGCTGTCAAGAGTTGGGAGGTCAAGAGAACTGCTCAAAGGTTGTTAATAAGTACCCACGATTGCCCTTATATTTTTAATTGAAACCTCCTAAAAAATAAATTTAAAAATAAATAAATACCCACACTGCCCTTAATATTTAACTAAAAAATGCAAAAATAAATTTAAAATATTTTTGGCAACTTCTAGTAAATAACTACGTAAAAATTGAAAAAAAAATAGAAAAAACTTCAAATAATATCTTTACTTAATTAAAAATATACGTAATATAGTAAACAAAATTTTTTAGATTAAATAAATATTAATCAATTTTTCTACCAATGACACTTTTTTTCTATTTTTAAATAAAATAAATTAACCAAAGATTATAAAACAATTTTTATATGGTCCCCATAGTTTTTGACAAAAAAATAATTATTATTTTTTTGCAACGTTTTTTAAATTATTATTAAATTTATTTTTATGTTAGTAGGGTAGTTAAATGAAGAGTTATAAAAAATGAATTTTAAAGGAGAGGAAAGTTAAAAAAAATTTTTAGAAAAAAACTGATTCATTTACAAAAAAAGAAAATGATGTATTTTAAAAATATTTTTTAAGGAGGAAAAGTAAAATTTAAAAAATTAGTATTTTGTTAACCTTTTAAAAAATTCTTGTTATTATTCATTCAGGAATGGAAAGAGTATCATTTAAAAAAATATTTTTTTGACTAATTTCTAAAATAATTTTTTTATGAGATGACATTTTGTCCCCAAAATTAAAAAATTTTCTTTTTCTAATTTTCTTAAAAAATAACAACCAACCAAACCTGTCAACTATTAATTTCCCGGAAAAATATTTTTTCAAACTTTCTTTTTTTTTAATATTTTTTTTCGTTTTTATTGCCATTATATATTGACACAAGTTATTGAGAGAAAGGGGGTATATATTGATAATAATAAAAAATAAAAAAAATTTATTAATAATAAAAACACCACCAACTTTCCCCTAATTTTTTCCCTTATTCTTTTTTTGTAAAAGTTTTATTAGAAAAAGAAAAGGTAAATAAATATTTATTGTATTTTAAATAATACAATAAAAATATTTATTCAAGAACCCCCTTTTAATACTAGAATTGAAAAAAAAAATAAAAAAAAAAGAAAATATGAGGGTAAAAGGGTAAGTAAATTGACTGGAAATTGATATTGTTAAGTAAAAAAGGGAATTAATAAAAAATATCTTGTTTTTATTTTGAGGTTAATGCGGAAAAAAGTGAAAAAATGAAAGAAAAAAATGTTTGCAGTTTACAAAAAAAAGATAAAAAATAATAAAATAAAGGTACCTCCTGTTGCAAGATCATAAAAGAATCCAAGTCCATGAAAGTAAATGAACCATCTTGTAGTAAACTGAACGTTCATCAACACCACCAGAAACACATATAAACAATTTAGATCATATCAAAAAATTGATGCTTTAGGCCTGAAAAAAATTTTTGAAAAATATCATAAATATTCTAGAAAAAGTTAATCAATGGGTACACAAAAAAGCTCTACAAACTATAGAGCTTCTATTGAAGGCTTCTAATGAAGCCGATTTCTATTACACCATTTATTACCCCCCATTTACTTGTAGTATAAAAGCATTAATACAAACACAACACTCAAATTATTTGATCGTCAACTTACTACAATAAATCTCATCAACGGCAACGTTCTACTCTCTCTCTTGATTCAAACAACTTATTGTAAGAACTTTTTTTCGTTTAAATTTTTTTATTAATCAAAATTTTCAAAAAAATTTTTAAGCAAATGCTACGACGTCATAGAAGAGAACGTGAGAGGCGAGCAGGTAGAGGGACTCGTGGTGGAACTCGTGCAGCTGAAAGGGCTCAACTTAATATGAGGGAGAGAGCTCGATATGTAACTGTTAGAACCTTCGACAACGTTGAAGCATTCGATCGTTGGTGGGATAACAGAAAGCATAGATGGAAGATTAACAAAAGACAGAGGTCACCAGAAAAGGTTGATGAATATTGGAGATGTTCGGTGAGTTTTTTTTTTTATTTTTTTTTTCAAAGATTTAAATTCCCTCTCTTTATTTTTTTAGTATGCTGAAGAAGGCCGCTACTTTGTTTGCGGTTGTTGTATTCGAATCAGGAAGCCTACTGGTGCAGGGGGGCCCATTGAAGCGGCAAGAAGCATAAATGTTCCACATAGGCATGCTGTGAGTTTTTTGAAATTTTTAAAAAATTTTCAAAAAAATTTTTTTTAATCCTTTTAAGGTAACTGGTGACATGTTTCTTAGTATGGATCCATTCCCTATGGAAACTGCAATAGTTGTTCGAATAAATATAGATGGATGACAATGACGACTTCTCTCTTGCCTGCTACTGCTCTTGTATTGATGAAAAAAGATTGAAGATAAATAAAATTAAATATCCTTTTTCCTTAAAAAATTTCTTGTATTTTTCATGAATTTCTTTTTAATAAATTAATTAAAATGTTGCGTATCCTCTATTTAGTTGAGTTGAACCAAAAAATTTAAAGGGCCAAACAATGCTCCCTTTTTATTTTTCACCTTTCCCCATTCCCATGACAACCACAAAAAAAAGTAAAAAAACTTTGACATCTGCTTCGTTTATTGTCCACTTATTTTTGTGTTTTAATTTCATTTTTGCTCTTCCTCAGAAATTTTAAAGAAAATTTTGATGACATATCCAACAACTTCCTCAATTTCTCACCAATTTTCTCCTCCAATTTTTTGTATTCAACTTTTATTTGAACGAATATCTTCTCCTTGGGAATCTAATTTTGAAGGAATTAAAACAACTTTTGTTCGGTTTTTGCCTTCTTCCTCGCCTTCTACCTCCTCTTCATCTTCAAATTCTTCAACTCCTTTATATCCTCAAAGACAAATACGTGTTGGAAGTGGTCATCTATTTTTTATTAGAGGAACAACAACTCAAAATGACGGACCTATATGGCTAGATTTGGAAGCTAAAAGTGGTGGAGATAATCAAAAAATTTGGAAAGGAAGAATTTCTTTAATTAAAGAAAACGAGGTTTTTTTCGAAAAAAAGCTTTTTTAAAAAATTTTTATAAAGAAAATTCTTCCTATTGTTTGTCCATTACAACAACAGCAACAAAATGGGTTAAATTTAGAAGCACATTTTTTGCTAAATATAAGTGAAATACAAAAGAAAAGTGATAATAGACAACAAAATTTGAAAAATAAAACAATAGAAAAGGAAGCACAAACAGATTATTTAAATAATGGAGTAATTGAACGTGGAACTCAAACAAATAAAGAATTAGTAAAATTATTTTTAGATTTCTAATTAAAATTTTTTTTGTAAAAATCGGTTTTGAGAGCCTATCCTTTCCGGGAAAGACTTTTCAAAGGTCTGTATCTAGCCCATTAATTTTTAGGTACCCGAAACAACAATAAAAGAACCAATTCAACAAACATCAGCAACAACCCTTCAACAAATTGAACATCAAAAAACAATTACTAAACAACGGCAAAAGGATAAAAAATTAATTAAATTACTTTTAATTCTATTATTAAAAGCAAAGAATGAAAATGAAAAAAATTTTGGTATTTATTAAAAAATTTTAAAAACCCCTCCCAATTTTAGAAAATAAAAACCTTCAAAAACTATCAAAAACAACAAATACGGAATGTTCTTTGCCGCCTTATAGCGATAATTTATTTAATAAATTAATAAAAATTAATAAAATTAAACGAGGACATTTTCGAGCTCAAATAGCCTATCTTTCTTCTGTACACAAAACAATAGTTGAAGATAAAAAGGTTTTGAATTTTGAAAGAAGAGGAGAGGAAAAGAAGAAAATTAACAAAAATAAACTTCAAACAACAATAAATTTAAAAAATATTCAAAAACAACCAAAAATTAATAAAAAAGTTGAAGAATCCCCTCCCTCATCTGGATTACAATCTATAGCTTTTAGTAGTCCAAACTCATCAGAAAAAGGAAATAATGGAAGAAATCTAATCATTGGAAGAAGATTGAAGGGAGAAGAAAATAACGAAGATTTAGCAATAGTAAGACGAAAAATGAAGGAAGAATTAATTAAAGAAGAGATTCTTAATTTAAATAATAATCCAACTAAAATTCATAAGGAAAACCAAAATTCATCACCAAAATCTTCAAACAAATCTTCCCCACAAATTAGGCAAAAAATACCTGAAGAAAATAGACGGAGTAATTCAAAAAGTTCAACAAAATCAACATCAACTTCTTCAACAAAATCTAGTAAAAATCAAGCCATTGATGCTGCTTCTGTATTATCCTCAATTAAAAATTCTTCATCTCCAACCTCTTCAAAATCTTCCACAAAATCTTCAAAATCAGCCTCAACAAATACAACAACAAAAAATAAAATATCTGATGAAGAAGGAAGTACTTCTACTGTTACTAGTAAACAAACTACTGAAAGTTCAACAACAAAAACAACTGAAAGCAGTATAACAACAAAGAAAAGTAGTAAAAGAAGTTCTTCAATTTCTGGGGGTGAGGAATAAAACAATATCAAACACAAAGTCCCTTTGATTTAGTGGGAAAAGTTTAAAATTTCCTACAGACAAGGTCGAAGGTTCGAACCCGGTTGGTGTAAAATAATTTTTTATTAAATATAAGCTCAACAACATGCTCAAAAACCCCTCCTAGCCCGTCAATGAACTTTAAAATTAAAAAAACTAACTTTCATTCCATTCCAAAAGGTGTCGGCTCTTCTTCAGTAAGCACAGATTCATCTGTTCCAGTAGAGATTGTTGGTGAGCAAAATTCCAAAAGCTCCTCACAAACATCTGGTTCAATAATTGATTCTGACAGAACATTAAAAGAAGAATCTTCTCCGTCTAATAAAGAAATTCTAAAAAATTCAAAAAGACAAGTTCTTAGAGATTTATAAATTATTGAATGGTGAAAATTACCAAAATTTATAATTAAAAATCAACAAAAATATTAAAATATTTATCCAATACATACCCAATAATTGCATCATGCATTAAAAAAAAAGAAAAAAGTATATACAAAATTTGGAAAAAAAGACAATCAAAACAGCAAAGTTTGGATTTTTAAAAAAAAATTCTCAAATGATGTTGACACCGGGTAACCGGAAATTTTCATTTCAAACATCGGTTTTGGATACCCGAAGATTTCCCAGGAACCACCGACCCTATTCTCAAATTAAAACAAAAATATCAAAAACAAATCCAAACCTAACAGTAAAATATATAATCACAAAAAAACAGCTGCAAAGTGATTTAACTTCTTTTCTTTTCTTCCAATATGTCTTCACTTTAAACAACTTAAAAATACATATTAATAGTCAAAAAAATTTTTTATTGTTGTAGCAAAATTTTTTTAATATTGTCTTGGACGTTTCCTAGGCGGTTGATTTAAAATAATTGGAGGTGTTTGCTTTAAAAAATAAAGAATTATTTTAAAAACACAAATTAAAAAAACCTGTGTTGCTAATGCTTTAAAAACTTGTTCCAGTAATGGAGGATGTTCTTTTACCAAAACTTTCCAGCCTTCAGTTTCCATTACCTTCAAAAAAATTTTTTTAATTTGTTTAATAAGAAATAAGTTGAATCTGGTCAAGTTTATGTGTCCAATGAACCTTTATGAGTCCAATAAAAACAGGTATAGGCAAAAGTTTGTACCCCGAAGTCTGGGATTCAAGACAGACCACCTCCATAGGACCCATAATTTTTCAATGGACTCATAAACTAGACCAAAACCAAATTATCAAAAAAAACCTCATTAGCATGTAAATTAATAAATTCTGTTGATTGAGTTTTTAAATGTTCTGCTGAATGTAAATCCGCCAAAATTAAAGTTTCACAAGCAGTTTCATTTGTCAATGAAAGACATAAAGATTGTTCACACATAACTTTTAATCTTTCCAATTGATATTTGTCAGCAGCTGCTAACAATTCATCAGCCATTCTTTCAAGATTTGGGGCACTTCCGGTATACCTATTTTGTTAGAAAATTTTTTTTTTCAAATTTTATGTTTCGTCTATTATTGTTTAGGTTAAACAAGAACACATTACTAATAATAAACGGGAAACCTTCTACCCACAAGAAATTAAACACACAAGTCTATCCCCAGTGAAAATGTTTTTAACCATTATGGTGTAGTGGGAAAACACCTAGACATTAATACATATTGGTTCGTTAAAGGTTCGATTCCCACCAACGCAAATAAAACTAATTTTTGATAAAATCAAAATTACAAATGCCTCTTACACCCTTTTCTCGCTAGAAAAATTTTCCCGATTTTTAATTTAAAAAATTCTTACATAAATCTCAACATTTCACCGAGCACTTCAGAATCAATATCTTTAATATTTACACGATCACTTAAAGATTCAGCCATTCCATGTTCAAACATTGCAGCAAATACAGGTGAACGACAAGCAAGTACAGCTTTATGTACCTAAAATTTAATGTCAAAATTATTTTTTAAAAATTTAAAAAAACCTGAAATTCTCTATTCCCTGAGTAAAGAGTACAATCAGCAAATAGACTTTTTTCAAATAAATTACTCATATCTTCAGAAAGACGACATGGAGGGACACGAAATTGCATCATATTACTTTGGCCAGTTACGTTAATCTAAAAATTTTCAAAAAAATTTTTAAATAACAATTTTTTAAAAAAGAAACCGTATCAGCAACAACAGAAACTTCACAAAAAATAGTCAAACGGTCTTCAGGTAAAAGTCCATTTTGTTCATCAAGTAAAAAATCACGACGAATAAATTTTTTAAAACCCCAGTCTTTTCCTTGTACAAAGCGATAGGCACGTTGTGATTCTTAAAAGTATTTAAGTCATAAAATCATTTACAAATCAAACATACCCATAGCTTTTGTTTCTTCTCTTTTTGCGTTTAATATCGAAAATTTAAATTTTGCACGAACTTCAGTTTTGTTACATTGGACAAGTAATAAATAAAGAGACAAATAATCTTTGGATTCTTCGTCTAATCCTTTTGGATTTATTCGTAAACACCATTTAAGTTTGTCATTAGGGCCGGCACTGAAAAAAGAAAAATTTAAATAAACTGAGGAATGGCGAAGGTAGTCAGGGAAGAATAAATTTCCGAGAAGAAAAACAAACCTAAAAGTCGATGATTTCAAAACTTCACCCATTTCTTCACGGCAAAAAGAGAAATTATTTATCTAAAAAAAATTAAAAATTATTTTCCAAAAAAAATTTTTAAAAAATAACCGTCCACATGTAGTTAAATTTAACAACTTTCACTTGTGTATTACACCAATTTTCTGCAATAGGCAATACTCCACCCAGGTCCATTGGCATTGTTGAAGATGCTGATGAGGATCCAGTAGCTATTCCAATACCGAGAAGTGGTGACATTGAACGTTGCTGATATTGTGAAGACCCAACAACATTATTGTGTCCTCCCATACTTCCAGATTGACAATTATTGTTTGGAGCGACAATATTGTATCCTGGACCATCTGTGACCTAAACGAGAGGAAAATTAAAATCTCTTTTAAAATTGAGGTCCCAGGCAACGTAACACCAACGCCAAAACACAAAACCACAAGAAGCTGCCTATCCCTTTTTTATTGGGAAGGTTTTGTAGGTTCAGTATTTGTGTTTTTTTTGCATTACGGGGGGCATATCACCCCCAGGCTTTCAAGTTAAAGACATTTAAAATAATTTTAAATAAACCATTTCATCCTGCGCAGCACCATCAACATCCATCTTTTTTGCTTCTTTTTAAATTTCAATTAGTCAATATAAAAAATATTTTTTATGAAAATTACAATGATATAATCTAAAATTGTTTTTAAAAAATTAAAAATTTTATTAAAAATATTTAATAACATGTACATGGTGAAAAGACTTAAAATTGTGTTTTAAAATTTTTCTAAAAAAAAATCAATGGTGAGAAAAGACTAAATACTAATTTCGAAAAATCATTTTAAAAACTGTCAGGAAAATCTTTAAAAATTGTTAAGAAAAAAATTTAAAAAATTATCAGAAAATTTTTTTCTTTAAAAAAACTGGGATAAATTGTCTTATAGGCTCGAAAAAAAAAATTAAAAAATTTTCCAAAAAAATTTTTTTTATTTTCTCCAAAACATTTACGCCTTTCCTTCCCACTGTGAATATAATAAAATAATATATAAACTATTTGCTGCTACTTCTCCTATCTCTCTCTTCATTCAAAAAGCAAATGAAAAGTGAGGAGGAAAAATAATAAAAATGGGTGGTTTTGGGGTGGTAAGAGTGACAAAAATGTGCTACTCATCTACTAATTCGCTATTCGCCTTTGCTTTTCTCTCTATATAAAACCAAAAATATTCTCCTTTTTTTGTGTCCTTTCTTCATATATATTCATCCTTTTTCTTCTTCTTTTATTCTTCTTCTTCTTCATTTTCCCCCCTCCCTACACAAGTTATATTTTGTCGTCTGTGTGTGTTGCTGGCCCAGGCCAATTTTTTCTCTTTTTTCTGCATTTTTCTACTTATATAACCCAAACAATAAGTGTGTGCACTAAACAACATAACCATCACCCAACAATCTTTTTTTTCCTTTTCTTCAACCACCATGACAAATGGAAGAAAGAAGAAAGGCAATGATTGGATGCAATTTCAATGAGAAGGAAAAAAAGAGAACAAAATGTCCATGTAGGCAAAAATGGGATAAAATGTTGGCTTGTCAGTAAGAAAAGTGGGACAGAATGTCTCTATACAAACAAGAAAACAGGACAAATAGTAAAAAAAATTACAAGAAAATTTTTAGAAGACAGAAGAACTTACCTATTTTTAAGATAAAGTAGAACAATTCTTATTGAGAAAAAAATTTTTTAAGAAAATTTTTTCGAGAAAAATTTTCTGACATTGACAACCTATCCAATTTTGACCTTATTGGCGTTGGGAGAAAAATAGTGGCGATGAAAACTAGTGTGCATTTGTTACCCTCCCCCACCTATCGCACGCATTTTTCATCTTTTGTGTCTGTGCACTTGCTCAAAACTCTACTTTTTTTTCATTTGCGGTATTTTATATAAGATATAAAACACTTGCCTTTTTTTTGTTTCTTCTACTATTTTATCCTGTTCCAAATTTTTCACAATCGGCATAAAACACACGTACAAACTACTTCCGCCTTTTTCCTCATTTTCACCATCGACACTACTTATTTAGGGCAATGACGAAAATATATAACCGAAAAAAAGAGAAAAGGAGGCAATGAATAAAAGAAATAAATATATTTTAGAAAATTGGTAGTCGTCAGTTAAAATTAGTTAGTAGCGCCTAAAACAAAAAGACCAAAGAGAAAAGAAATTATAGAAGAAAAAATCCCCACAAAATATTATCAGAATTTCACACTAAAAAAGTTGGGAAAATCTGTAAATAAAAAGAGAAAAATCTCAATTCTAATTCTCAATAAAAGCAAAAAACTAAAAACCTTTTTATGAAAAAAAGGAAAATATTTAAAAGCGATAGAAAATAGAGAATAGAAACAAACAACAGCTTGAACACTACCGCCAAAAAAGGAAAAAAAACTATAAAAGTGAATTAAGAGCTGGCTAACATAAAAAAGAGATAGAGAATATATTAATGTTAAGATGCCTATAAGAATTAAATAAATCCCCATTTTATATTAAGAAGAAAAACCCATTTACGTAAGAGCTTGTTCCTCATATACACGAGAGACAGAGAGGGGATGAGTTTAAAAAAATTAAAAAAAAACCTTTAGAAACTTTTCCCGAATAGTTATTCTTTAATTTTTCATCAGTCATTCCCATCCTCCTCCTTCAACAACATCATCATCACCCATACGAATAGAATGAATTAGCTCAATGGCAGAATAAAACATTCCAATAATGCAAGTGCCGACGCCTCCAGCAATTACCTTTTTTAAGAACATTTTAGTTTAAGAAATATAAAATAAAAAAGGAAACCTCAGGCAAAGGAAATTAAAAAAAAATACCATTTTGTCGAATCTTCTCTCAGCAGGAGTAAGTTTAGCTCCTCGAAGCTGCAAATGAAAATATGCTGGCCAAATAAAACTTAGAACAGTTCTAAAATTTAAAAGTATTTAAAAATACAAAAAATTCTGAAAAAAAATCATAACCCAGCTTTTCTCCCCAATGAACGTTTAAGACTTTTTTTTATCAACCTACCCTGTAAAATTGCCAATAAGTCCCATTAGCTTTAAAAAATATAAAATTGCAAAAAAAAAATAAAGAATTAAAAAAACCTCAACAAGATAAGGAACAGTTAAAGCCATCCATAATGTCCAAAGTATTAAAAGAACACGCAAAGAGAGAGCTTCAAAAAAAGATTTATTTTTTAAAGAGAGAATCCCGGCTTCAATAAAATTATTAAAAGCCCAATCAATGATACCCATTGAAAAATAAACGCCCGGGCCTCGATTAGAAAGTTAAGGTAATTATTTAAAACTTAAATTTTACCCCATTCTCTCAATCTTTTATCATTTCCATAGCATACAGGAAAAGGAGAAACATCAATCCCATTAAAAAAGTTTTCTCCAATTAGTTGAACAATTGCGTAGTAAGGAAGTGGATAAGAAAGCAAAGCTTTTGTAACAAGACAAAGATTTACAAGAACCTTTAAAAAGATTAAAAAATTTTTTTTGTCAAAAATTAAAAATACAAACTTTAAATGTTTGATCAGGAAGCGAATTAGAAATTTCTTTTTGAGTAAATTCTGCAAAAGTTAGAAAGCCAATTAAACCAAATAAAGCTTTAAATATTGCTGCCTTTAAATTAAAATTTTTTTTTAATTTTATAAATAAATTTACCGCGACATGTGAAAATCCGAGCATTTGTTTAAATTCTGAACGATCCTTTGAAAAAAAATTTTTTTAAGAATTTCCGAAAAAAAGTAAAAACCTGCATAGAACCTTCCAAAGAAGGCAGAAAAATATGTGAAGTATAACCAAAAACAACAACACCGATAATTGTTGGAAATAAGCGAAAATCCGGGATTAATACAAGGGAAGAAAAACGCCATGAAGAAAACTATAAATTAAATTTAAGAAAAAATAAAAATTTAAAAATTTAAAAGGATATAGGCATACCTGACTGAGGCAAAAAAGAACCTAAAAAATTTCATTAAAAAATAAATCCAAAAAATTAATTAACCATTATTGCATTAATGACTAAATGAGAAACCGCATTTGCAAGTGACAAATTTGAAACAACTCGTAAATCATCAAGAAAAGCAGTGCCAAGTAAAGGTAATGTAGTTAACATCATCCAAGCTTGTCTATCTTTAAAAATAAATAAAAAAAAATTTTTCGTAGAAAAATCTAAAAATTTACCAACACTTGGAAAACATCCTTGAAGTAAATCGCCTGCCAGAACAATATATAAAATACATCTTTAAAAATATTAAATTTTTTTTTGTAATTTTATTAAATTTTAAATTCACGTGCTGGCTAATTCAGTCTGTAAAAAGAGGAAAATAATTATTTTAAAAAATTACAAAAATTTTTTACCAATTGAGCCAACAATACAAATTTTCCCATTCCCGGACGAACTGCTTCAGCAACTTCACGATAACTTTAAAATAATTTTTAAATAATTTTTTTTTTCAAAAAATTTTCTTGCCTTCGATGAATTCTCTTACGGCCACTACTATTAGATTCTTCTTCATAAAGACACTCAATAAGTGCTAGTCCAGTTTTGTAACATATCCAAGCAACACCAACCTAATTAAATTATTTTTTAAAAATTTAACATCGTGAAATCCAAAACAGACCAATGCACCAATTGCACACCATCCTCCAACTAATCAAAAAATTATTTTAGAAAAACAAAGAATTAAGGATACCTTTAACAGCAAAGGGCAACCCAACAATAAACATGCCTAAAAAATATATAAATTTATTCTTAAAATAAAATTTTATATGACAATATTTTTCAACCTTGAATTGCGTTTGTAACATTCCTTAAAAAATATTTTTTTATTAAAAATAAAATTCTAAAAAAATTTCAAACCAAGCTGCCTGTAATGATGTAATTGATTTAGTTCCATTAGAATGTCCAATTTCTCCATAATCTGCCAATTTATCATCACTTGCATTTTGTTTTTTATTAAAGGGATTCGATGATGACAAATTTTGAAGTTCAAATTCTCCATCATCCTCTTCTTGAATTTCTGGTTGTCGATTATTTGTAGGTAAGGTATTTTGGTAAGAATAAGAACCAGAATCGAAGGATGCCTTTTAAATAAACAGAATTAAATTTAAACATGAAAATCAGAATTAAATTTGAACATGCAAAAATCAGAATACAAACAGAACGTAAAAAATTAGAATTAAAATGGAACATTAAAGTTAGAATTAAATAAGAATTTTTTTAAAATCAAAGTCAGAACATGCAAAAATTAAAACTAAACAAACATTTCTGGTTTTACTGATTAAATCAGAATTAAATTAAAACAACAAAATCAAAACAATTAACAAACAATATCAAAATAATTCTGGCCTTCCTGAATAATCAAATAAAAACAAAAACTTACCAAAAATAAATTCTGATTTGTCCATTCTTGCAAATTTTGTAAACGACGTGCAGCCATCTAAAAATAAAAAAAAGTACTACTAAATGGTAGTTTAAAAAAGAATGCCGTTTATTAATAAATGCCGTCCTTTTTGCCAAAAAATTAATATAATCCTTTAGAAGCAATAATAGACAATTTTAAATTGTTTTTTTTTCCTTTTTTTACCCTTTCACATTTTTTCAATAATAAATTGATGGTAAATATTAAAAAAAAGAAAGTGAAGTGCCTCATCTTTTTATTAATAAAGAAGCAAGAAAAAGTGAGGGATTTTTTAAAAATTCTTTTGAGGCATGTAATTCCATTCTAGTCAAGCAAATTTATTAAAAACATAATTTTGGGTTTGAACAACATGAAAATCAGAATTAAATTAAAAAATTAAAAATCAGAATAAGGAAAAATTCTCTTCTCCCCCCATTTACCATAATATAAAAGCAACATTTTTAAAACATTTTTATCCCAACATCTTCATAACAACAATCAACTAAACTCTGTGCAGGTTCGTCACAACTTCTCTCAAAGCAACATCAGAACCAAACAAACAACAATAAATGGCTTCAACAATCGTGGTGCTCTTCTCCATCATCTATTTACTGTAAGTTTTTTAAACAATTTTTTTATCAGTTAACCTAACAAAAAATTTTTTAAAATTTTTGTAGACTCTCAATTGCTGGAACAATGCTCTATTGTTGTTGCAAGAAGAAAGAAAGGAAAGAGCTTACCATGGAAACATACGCGGGACTCTCGGTGGATGATGAGAACAAAATCGAAATCTCGAAGAAGAAAAAATGAGAGGAGCATTCAGCATAAATCAAAGAAGAATCTTGGAAAGGAAAGAAAAGGATGTGTATATATAAATACTTTCTAATTATATATTGTGTAAATTCATTAGATAATGTATGTATATTTGCTTGTTTGAGTGTTTCTAAATGCTTATTTTTTTCTTGTTATTCCAAAAATATAATTGTTCCATAAATTTTTGTGTATAAAATAAATTTTTTGGCCTATTTGTTCTTTATAAGCTTATGAATACTTTACTTAATTCTCTCAATCCTTGTTTCCCTCTTTCAAGAAAAAAAAAACAAAATTCATCAGAAGTCAGTCAAGAGAAGAGAAGTTTTTTTTGTGTAATTAAAGTAAAAAGAATGCAAACTGGCAATTTATCTTCTTAAAAAATTTTTTTTCGAGTTAGTATTTGATTGACAACAACATCTTTTGGTTATGTGACCAACCGACCAAACTTCCCCCCTTAAACAAAATGATGTATATTGTGTGCCATTGTTGGAATATCCGGAGACAAAATACATAAAAAACATAAAAAGATATACATACTCTAAATTGTCAACAAAAATTGTTTTTTTGGAGAAAATTAGTCTGCAAAAAATCTGACAACTTAAAAATCACCAAACCCAAAGAAAAATCCGCAAAATTTCAATCCGCATTTTCTGCTTGTTTATTAAAAAATGTCCATTGGGATGATGATGGGCGGGACAGTAAAAGCAAACAAAAAAAAGTCACCAAAAAGTTGTAAATTACTCCTCTATTGTCAACGCTGTCAAAAAACAGGAAAAAAGGCCCAAAATATATATTTAAGGAAGTAAAAATATTTTCACCAAAAAGTTTTGAGCATTTTCATTTCAAAAAATTTTAACTTAAAAAAATATTTTCAAATTTTCTTAAAGCTCTAAAAACACGATGATTTACTATCAACAAAATTTATTGTTACTCCTTACAGTTTGTATTGTATCACTAACACTTGCCATAAATGTTCAAAATATGAATGATTTACAGAGAAATCATTTGATTGGTAAGGAAATTTTGGAAAAAAATAAAAATTGAACCCCATAACCCTCAAAGAAAATCAAGTTTTTTTAAGAAAGAGAATTTCCCGGTGAAAATATCTTAAATACTGAATCTCAACTACAAAGGCAAGCACATACAATGGATGAAGAAATGCTTGGACGAGTAGAAGCTCAACTTATGGGGGCAATGGAAATGCTTCAAAATTATCGAGGTAACTCAAAAAATATTTTTAATGAATCTACGCATTAATTAATTTCAAAAAATTATAAACTAACCTTCAAAGCAATTAAAATTCATTTTCAAATTAGCCGCTTCCTCACCAGCAAAATTTACAGAAAAAAGAAAGAACAACAAATTTGAATTCATTCGATTTGGACGATGAAAATAAAATTAAAGATTGAAAGAAAATAAAAAAGTATTTTTAAAAATCTTTAAAATTTTTTAAAAACAAAATTCGATTTAAAAAAATCTCACAAAATTTATATTTTATTTGAACTCACTCAATAACATGTTTAAAAAATTTAAAAAATATTTTAATAACCGTCCATAACTATACATATTTAAAGAAAAATTAACACAAAAGGTCAGAGGGTGTCAAAAAAAGATATATACTTATAATGCATAATAAATTTCTCTCTTATTCGTCTCGCGCTGTAACCATGTCTTCACGTTCTGATTCGTCTTAAAAAATGAATTTAAAAATTGAAATCAGAAAATCGGTACTTGGAATTATCCCTAACCAGTTTTGCACTCATTTGTAAGAAGCAAAATTTTTTCATTCCTCAAACCATGGCATAGAGAGTGAGAAACACTTCCGTAAATATGAGTACGCGAAAACTCATGAGGGATAAATCACAAGTACCAAAAAAATAAAAATTAAAACCATTTCCATTAATTGCCAAAGAACATTTTCGTCCAAATTCTTCCTCAAATTCTTCATTTTCTGTACTATCATCTGTATGACCCGTAAAGTTGAGAGCACCGATTGGAGGTGATTTATTTGAAGTACTGGGATTATTGTTACTATAATTTAATGGATGAGATCTCTTATTTAATTCAGTTTTAGAAGTATTAAAGAAATTGCACTGAAAAGAAAAGGAATAAGAATAAATTTAAACAAATAAAACCCTGTAACAGCAATAAGAAATTGTTTTAAATTCTTCTCTCAAGGCCATTCCATTATGAGTATAACAATTTGAGCAGATGAGGGCATACCTATAAAATCAGATATTAATTCGTATGGTTTTTAAGTGACGTCGTAGGGTTGCCATTTCTGAAGCGAACCCAGAAAAATTAAAAACAAAAAACGCCAACCTATTATTTATGCTTTCTCCCATAACAAAATCCAAAATTCGATCTAAACTACCACGACTTTCTTCAACAAATGGACGAATAGGCACTCGGCGATTTGGTGATGTCCCAACATTCCTTAAAACCGTCTGTCTTGGGTCTCTAATTTCATAAAGTTTTGGAAGTGGTTGCGGTGTATTATTATTGTTCTGTTTTTGATTTGTTCCTTGTTGATAATTAGAATTGTTTTTATTTTCTGTCATAGGTTTTGTTGTCGTTTGTGAAGGTGAAGAGGAAGTAGCAGATCCTAACCATTGCGAGACTTCGTTTTGTGACCCGTATTTCTCAATAATTGCCTAAATAAAAAGTACATAATCTCTGGCCTTTAGTTGATTAAAAAGTCTACTTAATTAAAAAAATACCTTCGCTACTTTAAATTTTTCATTTTCTTTAACATCTTCAATAATTGCAACTTTTCGTTCAGTGAAAAAGCGAAGTCGTCTTTGCTTTCTTTGAATTAACCAGTCAAAAATAGTGTTTGAAGTAAAACGCAATATCAAAAATGAAAGAGCACAAAGAAAAATAGACGAAGAACACGAGAATAATTTCCATTTTAAACTAGGATAATGAAGCCAAAAATAGCCACAGCTCCCACTTACTAAAATAAATGCACCAAAAAGAAGGCAATGGTAGAACCTTAAATTGCGATATTTTCAATTAATATACCATAACCAATTTCCTGATAAATTTGCGGAAAAATTACGCAAAAATTTTAGCGGACCGTTATGGATACATATCTAGAATTAAATAATAAAAAAAATCACCAGATTTTACATTCCAACAAATTTTTCACTTGCTCCTCCAAATCTTTAATTTGCTGAACAAGTTCATCCAATTCTTGGCTAGGCAATTTTCGACGTCGAAAGTAGCGTATAAAGTTTCCCATTCATAAGAAAATGTTTAACTACTGAAAAAAGTATAAATGGCCTATGCTGTAAAATCAAATGCTGAAAATTAAAATAAGTTCAGAAATACGAAATCAACTAAAAAATTAAATGGATAAATAATTTCCAAATATTAAAACGCATTTAAAAATAAAAATCAATTTATAACAAAAACAAAAAAAATAAACAAAAAAATTAAACAAACGGTGGATAAATATCATTTTTTTCTTCATCTTCTCCTTCGGCCAAAAGTTTTTGTTTGTAGTCAATATAGCGAAAAGCTTTATCATGTTGGCCAGTTTTGTACATATTTTGCAACAACCTTTCCTCGAGCAAATCCAATGCACGTCGTGACAAAACCAAAGTCTCATGCCTCAAAATACTATAACAATTCAATCCATAAAGAGGCATAACAGTGAAGGAAGGAATATGTGAAGTTGCTTCAACCAAATTTGCTGAAATATTGTCCGCAGAACTTAAAAATATTTTTGTAATTTAATATAAAAATAAAGGTAACGTGTCAACAAAGAGCACAGAATAGCCCCAATTGCGAGCCTCAGCCAAATCATGAAGATACTAAAAAATAATTTTTATAAATCAAATCTGAAATTTATACGCAGAAAACCTGCGGATCAGGGGAAGCTAAGGAGTCAAAATCATCAACAATAATTAGATCGTCTTGAACATGTTTAATAGTCAGAGCCACTCGTAGACCATGAATTCGTATTGAATAAGGCAACATGTAAAAACGAGTTAGCGGCCCACGCACTTTGTGAACAAAACCACCGCGAATAAAATGAGGCGCTCGGATACTAAATTTTAAAGAAATTTCGATAAAATTTTATCGAGAAATTTAAAACCTTCCAGCTTGTGCTCGACCCATCCTTTTCTGTGGCCAAGGTTTTCGCCCTCCACCAGGCATTTCAGCACGGGTTAACATTCTAGTAAGTACTAAGTTTTTGTAGGTAGTTTGCCTTAAATTTTTACAATTAAAAAAATAAATAAATGCAAAAACCATGCAATATTTCGATGCAGAATATCCAAACGTGGAGTGACGCGGAAAATATCTAAAAAAAATAAATAAGTGAAAAAAGATCGATAAATTTAAACCTGGATGCAGTTGAATTATGTCATAATTCCGGTCGTAAATTTCATCCAAGGAAGTGACCCAGGCTTCAGGTATTTCAAGAAAAGGATTTGTAGTGTCTAACCTCCATAATTCTCGAGGTTGTGATGATGACTGCGAATTAAGTGTAGCTGAACTAGAACAGCAAAAGTTGTTAACAGAATTAAAAGTTCTACTAAGATGACGTGAAAACAAAGCTGGAAGAAATTTAAAATTCATCTGATGAATTAAAAAATTTAGGTTCTGAACGAAAAAAATTAAAAAATTAGTTCAAAAGGGCAATATGTCATTTTCAGTTAATATGTACATTTTGAATGTTTGGTGTTTTAAATAAAAAAAAGAAAGACATTTTGAAAAAAGACATTATGCCAAACAATTTTTTAAAAAATTGGCGGGAGCTGGAAAAATTATTCTTTCAAAATTCTCGAAAAACATGTTTAGTGACAGCTCGAGTTGTTGCGTGTTTTTTTCTTTTTTTTATGTTTTTTATATGTTTCATCTGTTCATTTCATTGTCCCATCGCTGCGCTAGCCAAAAATTTAAAAAATTAAAAATAATTCGACTAAAAAATGAAAATTTTCAAATTTCCAGGCCCAGCCTGCTGTCTTCATGGATGGTTTGGTCTGGTTGTGTTTTTTTATTTTTGTGTTTTTTTAATATTTTATCTAATTTGATGATTTTTAGGTCATGTTCTTCAAGAACGATGGTGCAATGATGGAGCAGCTCTGTTTGGTTGGTGGTTGAGTGGTGTGGTTGTTATTTTTTTAATTTAAAAAAATTAAAAATTAATAACGGAGGGAGTGTGTTTTTCAGGCAGGTACGACTTCGGCCCTGTGCAGAACTGGTGGCAGTCAACAACCTTCATAAATTTGGTTAACTTTATTTTTTTTTAATTTTGAAATGAAATTTTCATTTTTATAGCTCTTCGACCTTCGGCTACATTGGTACACTTCAGCTCTTTTTTAAATTCAATTTTTCTCTAAAGATGTGTGCAACATGGCTGGTTCAATATGGTCAATGAATATGGAGAATATGGCAAGGATTTGGTTGGTAAAACGGTGTGGTGGTTTTTTTTAATTTGGGAAAAATTGGGGGGAGGGAACTTTTTCAGCTAGGTGCTCGACAACAATGGTGGCTCAAACTGGTGGCAAACATGGTCTTCAACACATGCTTGGTACGTTTCATCCATTTTTAAAAATAAAAAAATTTGCTAAAAATGCGCACGCGTCTCCTGCTTTCCTCACACTTGTTTTTTTGTTGTCCTTGTCCTTTGTCCGATTTTTCTTTTCACCATTTTTTAACTTGATTTCAGTTTGTTGATTGGATTTCAGGTTTTTTCAATTTCTGGCAGAAGAACTTCATGGCAAAAATTGGTGTAAGCAAAGGTTTGATAGATTTTGATTAGCTGGGTGATTCATCGATTTGTTTGTGTGCCTGGTTTGTATCACTCATTTTTTTATTTTTCAAATTTTCTGGCATTCTGTTTATCTAGAGTCTCTTGAAAATAGTATAGTCAGAGAAACAGAGTCTCATTTAATTCTTTGTCATTTGAGTCCTATCATCTTTTTCTTCATTCTTTTTCAACGTTTTTCATTCTCTCTCTGTAAATTTTTCAAATTTTTAGATTATCGATTTAAGCCAATTGCTTATCGAATTGCTGCTCATGTACACAATATTTCGGCCAATTTCAATTGTCTCCAGCCTTTATTTTTCTTTTATTTTATGGCAACTAAAAATGATATTTTCTATTTTATTATATCTTCGAGATTATGTTAAAGCCTTGTTTACAATTGTGCATGTTTATTATTTGGGAATCATCTACGTTATTTATGAATTTTTTGAAGATTGCAGAACTGGAGTTAAGATGACTTCAAGAAAAATGCTTTTTAACAACAAAATAAATAAGTGGACTCAAATTTTGAAGCAAATGAGGACAGACAAATTTGATGAATCAAGCGATGTAGATTCTTCTAAATTGGTTGCTGTTATTACTGGCGCTGATGGAACAATAGGAAGCGAGGTTATTTTTATGTTTATTTTTACTCAATTTTAAATTTAAGTTGTTAAAGTATCTGCTTGCTTTGGATTTCAACGTCTTTGCTGTTGGTCTATATCCGCCAACCAATCAATTTCAAAATCTCGATAATTTGCACTTTATAAAATGTGATTTGGGAAATATAAATGAGGTAGCATTTTAAAATTCCTATATTATGAATCTGCATAATTAAGGTTTCTCGATTCAATAGGTCTTCGCCGCTGTCGAAGCTATTCAATTGTCTTCTGATCGAATTGATTTACTTATTTTGAATGCTGCAATGTTTTTATCACCAAAAATTGGCTGGTTACCTTATCGACGTGAAATGATAATTGGTGCACAAATAATAGAACGTCATTTGGCTGTTAATGTTCTTGCTAATGCTCAACTATTTGCTTCATTGTCTCAACGTTTAGAACAGAGTGTTTTATCTTCAGGGAAAGCAATTTTTGTTTCTTCATGTTCAGCTAGAGCTGGGGATTTGTCACTACTTTTGAAAAAACAAGACGGTTAGATTTTTTTATTTTTCACCTTTATCAAAAATTTTATTTTAGAACGTTTTTGGTGTCGTCATTTAAATGGCTATAAATCTTATGCTGATTCTAAACTTTTACTTTCCGCTTATGTTCATTATTTAAATAAAGTTTTGAGGTTTTTTAATTTATTATTTCACATTCTCTTTTATTTTTTAGGTCTCGTGACAGTCAAATATCAGTTGCCAGCGTCCATCCAGGAGTTGTTCCGGGAAAATTTTATAAAAATGTTTTTTGGCCTTTTCGATGTTTTATAAATTGGATTTTGGCGCCGTTTATGAGGTCTTAATTTTTTTATTTTTGATGAGGATAATCTGTTGACTTTTCTATTTTTCTAGAACACCTTTACAAGCTGCTACTCAAATTTTGGATGTTGCATTTTCTCCCAGCCTTAGTTCTCCTACTAATTCAAATACTCTTTACTACGAGAATGGGGTTCCTTCAAAAATAAATGCGCTTCAAAACCAAGAAAATATTTGGCTTTATGGTCGTTGTGTTAGGGAAATGATTGTTGATAATGATGAAGATAATGCATCTTTTAATATTAATACTAGTAATTTTGATGAAAATTCTAAACAAAAGCAACTAGAAAAATCATCAGCAGAATTTTTTGAACGGTTATTATCTGAAGCTGGAGCTATTTAAAATTTTGATTTGAATTTTTTTAATTTTATAAATTCCTAAATTTTTTAAGTTTTAATTATTTGAAAATATAAATTTCATGTAATAACCCCTTGGAATTTTTACTAGTTGAATTTCTAAAAAATTTTCTACTTTCTTAAAAAAATTTTTTATTAATCAAGATTATATCTCTTATATTTTTACAACACTTTTCCTTCCTCGTCTCCATTACTTTTAATTTTTGTGTTGCCCTCTTATATTTTTATGCTCGTCCATCACCACGTTTAAATAAAATGGAAAAGATGTAAGCTGAATAAGGCATAAATATATGCAAATTCATAAAAATTTATGTTTTTAGTATTAAGAAATGGGGGTTGTTTTATGTCCAAAATTTATAGGGCTAGTTTTACAGTGGCTTTCACTTCTTTTTTTTTGACTACTAAACCTAAGCAAGCTCAGAAACTATAAAACTACCAACTCTTTAAATTTGGAAGAAGAGTAGTTTTTGTCTGTGTTTTAAGTTGTTTGGGTGAGAATAATTTTTTCCTTCCGTTTTCAATTTTTCTTGAGACTCCCTTCATTTTTATTCTTATTTTCAGCTTTTTCTCTTCTTTTTTTTCTTCCAGCTGCCCTTGCCAAATTCCCGAAGGGTGCCCCCATCAAAATATCCATATATCCTTTCCACTACTTTTTTGACAAATTTTTATTAACCAAAAGTGGTAGAAAAGAAGAGGAAAAAATTTGTTCAGAAACAAAGTATTTAATTTTCGAGAGAATTTTTGAAATTTTTTTCAGTCCCAAATTTAAGTCGGAAAAATTCTAGTTTTATTTTTTTATTAAAAAAAATTTTTTTAATCCAGTTATCCAAACAAAAGAAAAAGCATTTTGCTTTCTAGTTCAGCTACTACTTACTGCTCATCAATCATCTATGCAAATTTCAATTTTTGTTCACTTGTTTAAAGGCAACAGTTCAACCGGAAGAAGAAGAGGAGAAAAACAAACAGGGTGAGAAAAATTCGATCTATTTAATAAAAAAATTTTTTTCTTTAAAGAAGCCTCAAAAAAACAATAGAATTTTGGGACATATGGACATCTTTTAAAAGAATTATGATGATCATTAATTGAGCACATGGATGACAGACGGCGGTGGTTGGATTGAATAAAAAAAATTTATGGAAAATAGAAGAGAATGCGCAACTGTTGTTGTCATAAAAGAGACATGGAAAAGGTTTAGATTTGAATATTTATTTAAGGTCAATATTTCTTTAAATTTGTCTTTGAATGGGAGTTTTCGGGGTTTTAGGAAAAATTTTAAATTTTTATTTTTTAAAGTTTTATTTTTAAACGTTTCTTTACTAGGCCCATTTCTTCAAATTCCCGCACATTTCTTGCCATTCAGCCTGTTCTTATGGTAGCTTTATCCAACAACTAAAGAGGAGGAGACTGACTTCTTTTTATTTTTCCTTGTTGGGGTTGGAAGTGGAAAGCATGCCTTAACGAAGCTGAGTGACGATGGTGGCCAAATGGCAAAATGACTGAAAAAAGAAAATGAAGAATGTTTTAGCATGGGCAACCAATCGGAGATGGTGCCAATTCCCCGGCGGCGTCCGCCTTTTCTAAGGTTTGCCTTTATTTGGATGAAATAGACCGGGAAAGGCATATATCCGCTCACAGTTTAGTATTTATCCTGTGTCCTCAATATAAAGCTATAAAAGAATTCTCGAAAGGATTAGCCCTGTAGGGAATTTTTTGTTTCTCTTCAAGCTTTTCACCTTCTAATAAACAACCAACTCTATTTACTAGCATGTACAATAATCACCAGGGACTGTTCGGTTTCGCACCACAGCATTCGCTTCTACAGCCATTACCACCACCATCACATCTTTCTCAACGTGGTGGTGGTATACTTGAATCAGCAGGGGTTTCTACTTCAAGCAGTAACAATTTATTACTCCGCTCGACAACGGGAATTAAAAGTGAACATTTTTTAAAAAGTGAACATTCTACTACTGCTAGTCAACTTTTTAATTGTTGGCCTAATGTTTCACCGATGCTGCAAAATTGGTATATCTTTCATTTTTTCTTGATTTATATTTAAATTTAAAAGTGTTGGACAATTGGCTAAAGCTAAATTTGAACTCCCACCACCGAGCAATCTTCGAAAATCAAATTTTTTCCATTTTACCATCACTTTGAGAGATCATGGAGATCATCCTGTTGAAGTTGAACAAGCAACATTTGCTGGTTTTGTTGAAAAAGGAAAAGAAGTGCCCGGTGAAAATACTCGAAATGGTATTCATTATAAGTTGGTGCTCCTCTTCATTAATGGTATGGAATTTTTTTGTTTTTTAAAGAAGCTTTAAGCTTTATCTCCCGAAACTTTTAATATTAACTTAAGAAAAACAAGACTGTCTTTAAAATTAGGAGGCAAGTAGTAATTGAATGATACGCAACTTCCTTTTGAAAGTTTTTTAGCTTTTTTATAAAGTGAAGAATAGTTGTTAAAATGTATGTAGTTGACCCTAATCTAATTAGCTAAGAGGCTGGTACTAAGTCCACTACTAGTAAAATTTTGAGAGGATAAAAATAAATTGACTTAAAGGAGAATAAAATAACAGTTATATAAGAAAGATCTGTGAAAATTTTATAATAGATAATTTCCAGTAAACAAACAAGAATATGGGAAGGGGATAAATTACTTTATTATATTTTTAGTTCCTTGACGAAAAGGGAGGGAGTCTTTTAATTTAGAAAGGAAAGAGGAAGGAAGTACTCAACTCTCTAGTATATTAATTAAAAAATGTTTTTATGTCCTAAAAACTCTAATTCAGTTATATCCAGAGTCGAATAATCTTCTTCTTCTTCCTAAGCTTCTCCTATTTTAGCGCACAATGGTTCTTTTTTCTCCCAATTTTTGTAGAGGAAGAGGTCATAACAATTTAGGCAGGAAAGGAAGGGTTTATGGCAATAACCAAAACATGAAATTGGACTCTCTTTGCTTTTAGAAAAGGGGAATGCGCAATAAAAATGCGTGGAATCGTTTTAAAATAAAGGAAGAAAAAGTGGCACAAGCTTTTAGAAAAGAGAGATAAACCTAAAAATGAAGGATGCTTAATTTTCCTAATTAAACTTGCTAGTCTAAAGCCGTAAAATGGTCATAAAAAATGTGGGGTTGCCACAATGATTGAAAGCACACAAAATTTTGGATAGTCTTAGGATAGGATTAAAATTATTGCTTATTATTTTCACCAAAAATTCCAAAAAAAAGATCCAAATTTAACTTTTATTTTTGCAAAAACAAAGTCATTAAAAAATTAAATTTACGCAATCTCAACATGCCAATCCGGCTCATTAAGCGATGAATAGAAAAAGGGGGGGATTTATAAAGGATAGACATAACAATGTAATAATGTGCCTTGACACCCACTTATGGGAAGCACTCATTAAAATTGTGGAGGGAAAATGTAAATAATATATGGAGTAAACAATGGCAAGTAATATTAGAAAAAATGTGGGGGCTAACAGGTGTGAAATAGAGATTTATCATTTGACTAGGTTTTATTTATGAAATAACTGTACTTTTCTAGATGGTGTTGTTTTTAATTGTATCTCCAGGGATTAAGTCAATTTAATTTTTTGTTTTAATGAAACGGAAGTAAATAGAAAGAAAAATAACTTAACAAAAAAAAAATGGATTAAATGGGAGAAATTTAGTCTTTTACGGTATACGTTACCGGGATTATTATTAAAGTTTTGACAAGTACTGCAATTTCTTTCCACAATATTTTTTATTTTTTCAGGCATTCGAACAGAACAAGATTTCTATGTTCGTCTAGTTGATAGCCAGACAAAACAAGCAATTGCTTATGAAGGACAAGATAAAAATCCTGAAATGTGCCGAGTTTTATTAACGCATGAAGTTATGTGTTCACGCTGTTGTGAAAAGAAAAGTTGTGGAAATCGAAATGAAACTCCTAGTGATCCGGTTAATTTTTAAGAAATTATTAATTTTAAAAATTTAATTTAAGGTTATTTGTGACAAATATTTTCTTAAATTTTTTCTAAAATGCAACCAAAATTGTGAGTTTTTAAAGTTTTTACGTTTGTTTTTTAAAATATATCAACATTTTTAAGGCTTAAAAAACGCTGGAAATCCAAGAGATATGCGTCGTTTTCAGGCAAAAAAATTTTTCTCAAGTCAAAATTTTTTTCAAATTAAAGGTTATGTTGTCAATGACACCTCGTGTTGATACTGATGTGTTAGCAGTATCAGACAATATGTTTGTTCATAACAATTCTAAACATGGACGCCGAGTTAAAAGAGGTGGGAGTGAGTCAGGCACTGTTGAAGGTTATAAACTTTTTTCTGATTTTTTCTTTTGGGAAATCAGAAATTATTTTTTGCTGATTTACTTATAGAATTACCTTCAACTTCAGTCCCTTCATCTTCTTCTATCAATTCAACAAACAATGTTGTACCAGTAATTAAACATATTTTTCCATCTGAAGTTTGTTGTCAAAGTGGTGGTTCAGCTATTTTAATTGGTGAGAATTTTCATGAAGGAATGCAAGTATTTTTTGGAAATTCATTGACTTGGTCTGAGGTTTCTAGTCTTCTTTTTAAAAAAATAAAAAATTTTTCAATTAAATTACAGTTAATCACTCCACAAGCAATTAAAGTTAATATTCCTGTAAGACCAAGTGCGGGCTCAGTTGATGTTTTTCTTTGTTCTCCAAAAGGTCAACCAAAAATGCGTTCAAATTCTATCCGTTTTTCTTTTAGTTGTAAGCTCTTAGGAAAAATGTTTTTTCTTGTGTATTTCTTTTAAGCATCATCCGAACCAAGCATTGATACAGCCTTTCAGCGACTACAAAAACTTTTACCAAAATACCCAACTGATCCTGAACCTTTACCAAAAGAGTTTATACTTCATCGAGCAGCCGATTTTGCAGAAATGCTTTACTTTAACTGTACAGCATTTTATCCTATTGAGCCAGGTTAGTTTTTTTGAATGAAATTTTTTTAATCATCAAAATTTTAGAACGACTAGCCGCTACTGCTGATTATCGTAACTACCCATCACAACGAGTTCTTAATTTGGCCTCAAACCCTGCTGCTTATATTCCTTATACAAATGGAAATGTGGCTGCTAACTTTTCGAATATTTTAAATTCATCGGCTAATGGTATATTTTTTTGTATAATTGAACCTTTAATAAAAAAGATTTTTTTGTTAACAGGATTTCCACCATTCAGTAATACATTTATACAAACACTACAGAAACCAGGGTCTTATTAAATGTGAAGGAAGTAAATTTAAGAAATGAGAATAATAAAATTTTAAATTTTTATTTAACATTTAATCATTTTATTTTTTTGTAATTTTTTCGTAATTTTTTTAGCCAATTTAAAATATATTTTAAAAAGTTTTTTTACTGGTACTACTTTTGTTGATTGCTACAAAGCTTTACTTTTTTTTTAATTTCAATTCTTAATTTTTTCAATATATTAATTCATTACTGTTTAATGCTTTTCAATATTTGTATGCAACAACAACAAATGAGATTATATTCTCTTAAAATTGGACGAGATTGGTGTTCGAGGATTTCAATTTCGGTGAGATGATATAGAAATGAGTTGGTTTTTCAGCATATTTCGGTTTTTGCAAGGTTTTTAAATTATTTTTATTTTAAGGGCTTTAAGAGTTTGTAAGGTTCCCGGGTGGTTTCATTCCCTTTTTCTCATATCTTTTCAATAACTAGTGGTTTTTGCAACAATAATATACAGGAATGCTAATCTTCCTACTCATTCATTTTTCACTTTTCTCGCGCACTTTTTTTCTACTTTCTATATTCCTTTGATCATTTCCGATTTGATTCTAAACGTATCATCAATTTGCAATTTAAAAAAGGTTTCTTAAGGAAATTTTTCTTCTCTTCAATTTTTTCTTCTTTCCAATTCCCGTTCTTCTTAAAAAATATTTTTTGTCATTACTTTTAAAATTTTTCTTTAATTATTTTCTCTTTTTTATTTAATTTAAATTCTTTGTCATCCTCATTCCTTTTATTATAAAATTTAATTCAATTTAATTAAAAAAAATTTTTATTTTCATAGGACCATTTTAAATCAAGGTTATATATTTTTAATTTTGTTGCCACGCCTCTTTTAACAAATTTATATTTTAAAAACTAAAATTAGTTTTCTCCCTACTTGTCGTCTTATCATTTTATTCTTTTCTACAAATGTCTTATAATAGGTTTGTAAAATTTATCTTAAACTGATTTCTATGTTTCCTATTTTCTTAGAATCATAGCATGGATGTGAATCTCTTCAGCTTCCGACCTCCGCTGATTTTTTCCTTTTTCTGCTTTTCCATTTTTTTAATACGGCAGGGCCAATTAATCTAGTCATCATTCTCGTTGATTTTCTCCATATTCTTCGTGAAATTATTGTAAAATTTTTTTGAAAGCTTAAAAAGTAAATGTTGGTTGTGAACGGAAATGTTTCATCAGGAAAATTGAATGATTTTTCTTTATTTTTTTAATCTAAAATAAAGTCTTATTTTTCCATTTTCCCACTTCAGGCAAAAGTTTTCTAGCTACTTGTTTCCACTTTTATCCAGACAATAAAATATAAAAACATGCGCAAATAATAAAAATTGTGTGAAAGAAATTTTTATAAAAATGTAAACACCGTCAAAAGTCAATTCTTACGTCCTAAAATTTTTTTCTTCACCTTTATTTCTCACTTTTTGTCTTATATTTATTTGAACTCAGAATGCTCTTATGGCCAGTCTATTTACTTTTATCCTTTCATAAGTCATTTTACATATTTTTATTTTTGTAAAAAATTCTTTTTAAACTTTTCATGCAATGCGCAAGTCTCTTCCACACGCTTCAAAGCACACTATTTGACGTCCCACTATTTTTTACGATATATTAATTGTTTTGTGGGGAGGAAGGATGGTGAAGAATACCACCAATTAATTCTCACTTTTCTCCCCAAATTTTTTGATTGCCTATTTTCTTTTTTCTAATTCCTCTTGTTTGTTTTGAGGGGGAGGACGTGGGGACACAAGGGTTAAAAAATTAAGAAAAAAAACTTTTAGTAGTTGCCTTGAACTAACAACAACCCGATTATTTATTATTATAGTAAAATGGTTGTGCATTTTCAGTATATTTTTATTTTATTTTAAAGCATATTAAATAGATATATAAAAAGAACGACAACAAAAACTTTTGTGTAATGTAGCGGAATTTAAATTGATTACGCCAGCCAAAATTTTGCTGCGCGGAGCGCAGCAAAACAACCCCCATCCTTCCCCTCACCTACTCTGCCACTTTCTTTTTTTCTATTAATTTCCTCTCCTCAAGGTTTTTGCGATTTGAGCCTGTTTTGAAAGCCGCCCGACAACCACAAACAAACAATTAATATTTTTTGTATTAATAAAAAGATTACTTTATTTATCTTTTTCCTTTTTTTATTTTTGGGAATCTTCTTTTTAATCACAAACACACTAAAAAATTGGGTAGATAAGCTGACTTTTATGTCTGTTATATCAAAAATCTTTATCAAAGCTAATTTTAGGCTGAACTGTTTATCTCTTAAAGTTTATTTTGATTTGTTAACAAGAAAATTATATTTTCGTTCCACTTTTGGCTACTTTTTGGCTATTTTTATGTTCATTTTTTCGTTAGTTTAACGTCATATAACATTAAAAAATTCTTCACATGTTTTTAATTTTTATTCGCCTAATCCGATAGCGTTTATTTAAATTATTTTTAGAAAATTTAGTCATCAAATATTTATTCTTTATTATTCATATCAAGTTTAAGACGTCTTTTACATATTTTAAAGGCTAGAGTTTTAAGACTAACGTCTTAAACTCGATTTTTCACTTTAAAAAATTGTCCATCAGTTCATTTAATTTTTGCGTTATTTTCTATCTACGAATCTAATCAAAAATCCTCCAAAGTCTAATTAAGATGATTAAATATCATTTGTACTAATAAAACAAAAATATTTTTGTTTTGTTTTACGTGACCTTGACATAAAAACTAACGCTCATCCTTCATAATATAATATTTCTATCAAAACAAACAATTTTTTCACAACTTTAAAAATATTATTTATAAAACCTAAACTATAATTTATTTTATTTTTCAGGATTTATCACAAAAAATGGATGATTATCGCTCTTCAATTTCATCACGTCCAGCATTTGCTCGTAACTCTACAAGTTACTCAAGTACTACTGGCCCAATCCGTTAGTTTTTTTTTAATTTTTTTAAAAAATTCTGAAGGGATTTTTTTTCTTTCTTTTTTGGATTTATTTTGACCTTTTCCTTCAGTTTTTATAATTTGTTATGATTCTTCTTTTCATTCTCTTCATTTTACAAATTCTCAAAAATAATATAGGCCACCCATTAACATAACAGAAATATATTAAAACTAGAAAATCCCGCAGAAGAATCGATCAAAACAGATTATCCTTTCTTCTCCCTATATTTCTCGCAATACTTCCTCTTTTATTCTTTTGTTCACACTTTTGTTTCTACCACCCTCAAAAAAATTTTTTTCACAAAATTTTGCAAATATATATAGATATATATTTTAGTTAAATATACTTTTAATCATTTTATTTTTGTGTTATAAATATTGGCTTATATATTTAATTAATTCCTATTTTCTTCTCTCAAAAATGTTACAATCTTCTTATCCTTGTATGTTTTTTAGTAAATGATTAATTTACCTATATAGAATAATTTTTAATGTCTTGCTCATAAATAAAAAGGAGGATGAGCAATGAGGGAAATTGAAAAAAATATTTTTTCTTTATTTTTTAGCCACTGGAAATCGCATTTTGAAAGTTGTAACCGAAACAATGACATCAAGTACAACTGGAGGTGGTGGTGGTACTTCACCTTTTGGTGCTAATGCTGCTCAAATTCGTGATGCTCGAGATCGGGAGAAGAAGGAACTTAGTGATTTGAATGACCGTTTGGCTAGTTACATTGAAAAGGTTTTTAAAAAAAAATTTCAAAAATTCGAAAAATTTATCATTTAAAATAGGTTCGTTTTCTGGAGGCGCAAAACCGCAAGTTGAAGGCAGACTTGGATATGTTACATGGTCGCAAGGGAAAAGATACCATCTCTATTAAGACTATGTATGAAAGTGAGATTAATGTGAGTTTTTTTAAATTTTTTGATGAAACACTTTTTCCTTTCTAGGAAGCAAAAAAATTAATTGAAGACACTAGTAGTGCTCGTCGTGATTTGGATGCTCAAGTTCGTCGCCTCCAAGACGAATTAGACGAACAACGACGAAAATATGAGGAAGCTGTTCGTTCTCGTAGTGGCGATCGAGAAAAAATTGACGATTTGCTTGTTCAATTAAGCAATTTGGAATCTGAATTGTCTTTACTTAAACGTCGAATTGCTCTTCTTGAAGAAGAATTGGGTCGTCTTCGTAAAGAGAATTCTCGACTTCAGGTATAAATATTAGTTGATGTTTTTTATTTCCATTAAAAAATAGTCGGAGCTTCAACGAGTCCGTGCCGAATTAGATCAAGAAACACTTAATCGTATTGACTATCAAAACCAAGTTCAAACACTTCTTGAGGAAATTGACTTTATTCGACGGTAAAAAACTTGTGAGAACATTAGATTATTTAATTTTATACTTTTTTAGTTCACACGATCAAGAAATTAAAGATTTGCAAGCAATGGCTGCTCGTGATACAACAAGTGAAAATCGTGAATTCTTTAGGTTTGAATCCTATAATATCATTTTTTACGTATCTTATACATTTTTATTTCAGAAATGAGTTGGCCTCTGCCATTCGCGATATTCGAAATGAATACGATTCATTAAACAACAAAAACCGACAAGACATTGAATCTTGGTATAAATTAAAAGTACAAGAAATTGAAACTCAATCTGCGCGTCAGAACATGGAACAAGGTTATCAAAAAGATGAATTGAAACGTCTTCGTCAACAATTGACTGATTTACGTGGAAAACTTGGGGATCTTGAAGGCCGTGTATGTTTTTTTGGGTTTTAAGGAACGGTAGTTATCTTGTTTTTAACAGAATGCTCTTTTGGAAAAACAAATTCAAGAGCTCAATTACAATTTGGAAGACGATCAACGAGCCTATGAGGATGCCCTTAACGCTAAAGAAGCTCAAATCCGTAAAATGCGTGATGAATGTCAAGCTTTGATGGTGGAATTGCAAATGTTGTTAGATACAAAACAAACTCTGGATGCCGAAATTGCCATATACCGAAAGATGCTTGAGGGCGAAGGAGATGGTCCTGGTTTGAAACAACTAGTAGAACAAGTTGTTCGTACAACTGGTATTAATGAAGTGGCTGATACAGGTTGAAAACTTTTTAAATATTTTTTTCGAAAGGAATTGGCGGTTTTTTTTAATTCTCTTTTCATTCTCCTTTCACTTTAACTTAAAAAACCTTTTTAGCTCTCATTTTTCAATTTTCTTTCAGTTCCCAGTTAGTATAGTGGTTAGTATCCGCGCCTGTCACGTGCGAGACCCGGGTTCGATTCCCGGACTGGGAGGCAAATTTTTTCTTTTCTAATTTTTCTTTCGAATATTTTATTAGGTGAATTTAAGTAAATAATCCTTGAAATATTTTTTTAATTTTTTATTCTGTCACTTTAAACTTTATTTTCTAGTTGAGTGATTTTAATTTGTTAACCTATTAAATGGAATACTGGGTGTAAGAAATAGAAAACCGGGTGTAAATAAATCGAAATTTACTAACTAATAAATTTTAAAATTAAACTTTTTTGTAACTATCATTTTACATCAATTTAACCGATCAATTTTATTTGACTTGGTTAATAAACAATTTTATTAATTCTGACTTTAAACAAAAAATAAAAATGTATAGAAAATTATACCTTCTTCTGGATCAAACACCGCCAGTTCCTTTCTCACCGCCTTCCCCATCACCTCCGCCATCTAAATCAAGATCCCCCTCACCTTTAACAGAAACTATGCGTGTCGTAAAAGGAGAAACATCTTCCCGACAATCCTATCAACGTTCTGCTAAAGGAAATGTTTCAATTTTGGAAGCTTCCCCTGAAGGCAAATACATTGTAATCGAGAATACCCATCGTTCAAAAGAAGAGAATATTGGCGAGTGGAAATTGAAACGACGCATAGATGGTTTGTTTTAATGAGGCGGGAAAAAAATTTTAATTTAATTTTTAGGAAAACGTGATATTGTGTACACCCTTCCTCATAACTTTGTCCTTCGACCAATGGCACGTTTAAAAATTTGGGCACGTAATCAAGGTGGCCTTCATGCGCCTCCCGATCAACTTGTATATGATGGTGAGGAGTCATTTGGTGTTGGATCTAATGTGCACACAATTCTCTACAATAAAGAAGGAGAAGTATGTTTTAATTTATTCTTTTTTCACTCATTTTATTAATTTTCAATCTCGCAGGAACGTGCTGCGTGTATTCAACGTTCAAGCCAAACAGCAGCTTAAATGCTCGCAATTAAAGAAAAAGTGCCAGCTAAGAAAATGCCAGCCAAAAAATATTTAAATTACTAAAATATAAAAAGGCCTGTAGTGATTTTTAGTATTTTAAGATGGAATCTCTGACATTTATTTAATGAGTTTTAATAAGCAACTAACCATTTAATTGATAAAAACTAAATTTGTCAAGTCATAGATTCTATTTTTTCTTTAAAATGTGATTTTTTTCAAATTTTTTAAATAAATGCTTGGGTAAATAAAGATATTTTATTAGCAATTTTAAATCAGGTTCACTGCCTGTAGCTTTATTTTTTAGTAAAATTTGGCAGGGTTTTTAACAGTAAAAATCAAAATCTAACTGGTTTATTTTAACCCTGTCAATTATAGGGTTAAAAAAGTATTAAATTTTTAAATAATCGTTTAATTTGTAATCTTTTTTAAAAAATTCTCTCATCTTTTTTAAAATTGGTATGTGGCGCGGCTGAATGAAAAAAAAAACATGAAATCAAATAAAATCCTGTTTTTCTAATATGGCGAAGAGGAAGAGAATTCAAGCTGAGGGATGTAAAAACTGCAAGTTAATTTTAGGTATTTGTTAGTATAATTTAAAGGATTTTCCGTCAAAAGATTTTGCGGAAAAAGCGGCAGCTATCGTCAATTTCGGAGTGATTTTTTAGGGGTAATTCAAAGGAAATTGCGACCGTTTTTTGGTTGTTTGTTGCTTTTTCTTGCAAATTCTTTTGTCCATTTTAACGGGGATTTGAATATTTTTAAGGACAAGGTCAAATAATTTCGTGCAAAAAATTGCGTCGAGGTCATCAACAACAACAATAACCTGTTTAACAAAATGCAAAACTTGAAATTTAAAAAGGAATTTTTACTATTGTCGACTTTTTTCAATGTCAACGGATTTTGTAAAACATCCTTTTGAGTGGATATTTTGACTTTTAAAAGAAGGTTAGCTTTTTTTATTTTTTAAATGGGATAACTTTTCTCGGGTACCTCACGCAGTAAGAAATCTTTCAAAAATTCACAGTGAAAATTTTTTTAAAATATTTCTAACAATTGTTTTTGTTAATCTCCCACCAGCTATTGTTTTTCACCACCAAAAACTAGCCAAATCGATTCTCTTCGCGCCATCATCCGCTCTTCTTTTTTCTTCATAAATCCTCTCTCAAAATATAGAATCCATTACTGGGTGCTCTCATCACAAAAATTTTTTCCCTTAAGGCATTCTTCCATCTCTCATATCCCCCTTTCCATTACTTTCACTTTTCTTCTACTTTTTCCACATCCAAAAACTGGCGCATTTTCTTTTTATTTTTTACTGATCTACGGCTAATCTCTTTACCGGACTTAAATGACCCAAATTAATGTTTTTTAAAGTTTTTTTTCTTTAAAGTTTTTTCTATAAGGTTTATCTAAATGATTAGGTTTATTAGCCAAAATTGAGATAAATTAAGAAAATTAATTTAAGTCACACCTAGGAGAATTCACTAAAATTTTATAATTTACCGTTACATAAGAAATTAAATTTTCAAAAGATAAGAGTGAGTTGATATACTCTTTTATTTTATTTTCTTTCAGTTCCCAGTTAGTATAGTGGTTAGTATCCGCGCCTGTCACGTGCGAGACCCGGGTTCGATTCCCGGACTGGGAGGCAAATTTTTTTTTAATTTTCTTTTTATGAGTTTATAAAATTTTTGCCTTTAAGTTATTTTAAAATTACAAAAAAAATTTTTTAACGTCAACCTTAATGTTTTCCTGTTTTCAATTTTTTTATTGTTTAAAATTTGTATTTTTGGCGTTTTATTCACATCTCCAAACCAGTTTTTTAAACATTTTTTTTCAAAAAATTCACTTTCTAACGCAAATTTAGGACAAACATGGATCATCTTTTTTCAATAGCTTTTTTCTCTTCAACATAAAATTTGCTTAAAAAAATTATTTTTTAAAGGATTAATTTAATTTTGAAATTATTTAACACTTTCTTTAAAATTTTTTCAATATTTTTTTTAATTTCAGTTTTTTACTTAAATGGTATTGCTCAAGTCATGCTTTTCATTGGAGCCATTATTCTGTCGATTCTTTTATCTTTTTGGTACTTTTGTTTATCGTTATCGTTGGCCAATTGTAGTTATTCCCCCTTTACTTTCGGCTTGTTTTTCAGTTGGATTTATTTGGGTTTTTGATTTGCGTGTAGATGATCCAGGTTTTGAATTTTATTTTTAATTTATCTATCAAAAATTTTATATTTGTTTTTATAGCATATGTCTTCACACCGAGAGATGCCAGGTTATTTTTTAAATATATCTTACATTTTTTGTATTTCTAGATGGAAGCGTGAACTTGGAACATTTTCAAGACTTTGGCCTTTAGATGAAAATAAGTTTATTGCTGGAAAATCATTTGAAACAAAACGTTTTGTCAATATTCTTTGTAAAGCTAAAGATGGTAAGAGAAAAAGTTTTTTTTTTTAAATTTTAGTTATAAATTCTGTTTTAGGAGGAAATGTTTTACAACCTGAAATTTTGGATGAAATTGATTTACTTAATCGTTTTATCTCAGAAAATATAACTGTTCCAACAACGGATGGACGTTTTCAACTTAGCTATCAGGTTTGTTTTTTATTTTTTAGAGTTCGACATCGGGCAGGGACCGGGTTTTCCAGGTCTTGTAACCTGGAAATAGGTATTTTGATAAAATCCGGGATTTCTTGCTTTTCAGGATTCTTTGTGAGTTCCTCCAGGAAAACTTGGGTCAGCATGAAGAAAAAAATCTAACGGATTTGGCTCTTATTTTAAAATTTATTTTATAGGATCTTTGTCTTGGTTATGATTGGAAATGTTCAGCAAATGAGCATATTGAAATGTTTAGACAAATGACTCAAGTTGGGCGTGTTATTGAATTGACATACCCAAAAGGAGGAAATAAAGTATATATTTAAAATTTATTTTTATTCTTTCTTTTTTTAAAAGGATACACCTGCATATTTGGGTACAGCAATAGGTGATATAAAATTAAATAAAACTGATGGGACTGTTCAAGCTGCAAAAATTATTCAGGTTTATTTAATTTATAAAATTTTTTAAATTTAATTCTTTAATTAGATGTTCTTTTTTCTGAAACAAGAACCAGCAAATGTTCGAAAATATTCTACAGGTATTTTGCCTTTTTCTCATTTTCTCAAGTTTGAAATTTTTTTAAGATTTTGAATATGCTGTCGAACGTTTTTTGTTACATGGATTTGAATCACCTTTAATTGATATTTCTTTTGCTCATTATCAATCTATTGAGGTTTTTTTTTAATTTTTTTCACTAAATATTTTTTAAATCACAGGATGGTTTGGATGAAAATGCTCGCAGATTTTTTCCAAATTTTGTTACTAGCGTTATTGCCCTCACAATATTTTGTATTGCTTGTGCTTTTTCGTTTCGCGTTCATAATGAAAATAAACAAAAAATATCAATTGATTGGATTCGTTCAAAACCTCTTGTAGCGTGTGCTGGTATAATTTTGTTTTGAAATAATTTTGAGAATTATCCCAGTAAAGGATTGGATTTTTATTAATGTGACGAACTGGGTGTTTTTGTTTAATAGGGCTAGTTAGGGTTGGGACGAATTGAGGGGGCGAATCATGGTTTTTGCTCATTGGGACGAATTAGACTGGGCCGGGTTGTAGGAGCGCCACTAGAGTATTGAGTTTTTTATTTCCGCGGACATTTTTTACCTTAAAAAATAATTTTTATTTTAAAAAAATTCACACAGGTTTATTAACAACACTTTTTGCATTAATTTCATCATTTGGATTACTTTTACTTCTAGGAATTCCATATAATGTTATAAATACAATTATTCCATTTTTAATAATTGCTGTTGGTGTTGATGATATGTTTGTATTAAATGCTTGTTGGTCAGCAACAGCAAAAAAGAAAACTTTAACTGTTAGTGAAAGAACAGCACAAATGATGAGAGATGGAGGTGTTGCTGTTTCTATTACAAATGTTTGCTTTTTATTTTTTTAAATTTTTTTTGGAATTTTTGTAGATAACGGATATTTTAGCTTTTTTGGTTGGTTGTGTTACAGAATTACCCGGAATTGAATTATTTTGTATTTATGCATTTCTTTCTGTTCTTTTTTGTTATATTTATCAGGTTTTTTTTTTTGAAATTTTCTGGAATTTCTATATTTTTAGTTAACTTTTTTCACGGGTTTTATGGCAATAATGGGAGAAGCAGAAGAGCAACAACGTCATTGTATTTTTCTTTACAAAATTAAAAATGATTACAGTGGGAATTTTAATAATAAACAAAAAATTGAAAAATTGGAAGATGTAAAAGAAAATGGTAATAATTCGGCTGCTCTTTCTTCTAATGAAGGAAAAATGAGGTAAAAATTCTTTTGTTTGATTTTGTTATATCAAACGTTAGCGTCTTGTGTTACGCCGAGCTACGAAATCTTTGATTTTTAAAAATTTTATTTTTTTTAATTTTTTTTAAGTAATGGAAAGATTGATAGTACAAAACCTTGTTTTATTCAAAATATTCGAATAGAACCAACTAGAAAACAATTAAATAAAACAACAATAAAAGCTTTACATCAACAAAATAAAAATAATAAAAATTGGGAAAATAATTTTTCTTCTTTTTTTACTTCAACTTCAACTTGTAATTCTACTTCATCATCATCAAATTTTTCACATCATTTTTTTACAAAATATTTTGCTCCATTTTTATTAAATAATTCAATACGTTTATCAATTTTTTTATTATTTATTTGTTATATTTGTTTGGCAATTATTGGATGTTTAAATTTTAGAGAAGGTTTGGAACCTAGTCATTTAGTTACTTCTGATCATTATGTTGGAAAATATTTTGAGAATATGAAAATTTTTTGGAAAATGGGAGCACAATTACACGTTGCGGTTTGTTTGTCTTTTTTTAATAAAGAGAAAGGGATGTTTAAAAAAACTTAAAAAAAACCCGAAACTTTTTTTAATTTTTAAAAAATTTCTCTCATTAACAAAAATTTTTTTAGGTATTAAATCCACCAAATTTTACGGATCCTTTACAAAGGTTATTTCTAGAAACTTTACAATTATATTAATAAAAATATTTTCTTAGAGAACAACTTATGAGAACAGTTGAAGCATTTGAAAATACGCCATATACAATGGGAAGGGAGGTTTTTTTTTAAATTATTTTATTTAAATAAAAAAAAATTTTAGGGAACAGTTTTCTTTTTCTTGGAATTTTTAAATTATTTGGAACAATTAAATGCTGAAGCTGAAAATACTGAAAGAATTTGGAATCATAAATTGCGTTCATGGCTAAAATTTACTGGAGCTAGTAATCAATGGGAATCTGATATTGTTTTCAATCGTTCAAATAATGAAATAAGTGCATTTCGATTTCAGGTTTTTTTTTATTTTATTTTAAAAAAAGGGGTTAGTTTGCCGTCTCCAGTACTGGATTGTGGCTTCGGGCCCGATTTTTTCAAAATCTTACAATTAGCTCTGAAAGCCGTCTCAAAGCTAGCTTCTTGAGCCATAACCCAAAACTGCTGTTCTTACATTTTAAATATTTAATTTTTTTGTTTTTAGATAGCAATGAAAAATATTGTAGAACCAAATCAACATAAATTATCAACAAAATTACTTAGAGAAATTGCTGATAGTCAACAACCATTTAATTTAGAAATTTATCATGAAATGTTTCCATTTGCTGACCAATATTTAATTATTTTACCTTCAACATTAAGAAATGTTTTTATTTCACTTTTATGTATGACTGCTGTAGCTTTGTTACTTATTCCAAGTTTACCTTCAGCAATTGTTTGTTTAAAAAATTTCTTTTAATTTCTATTTTTCAAGTTAATTATTCTTTCAATTATTTCTATTGCAACTGGTGTTTTTGGTTATATGACATTTTGGGGTGTTAATTTAGATGCGTAAGTATTTTCTAGTTTTACGTTTCCCGTTGAGTTGATCTAAGGTTCCTGGAGGTCATCTAAGGTCCTGAAGTCATGGTTTTTGGCGATGGACATCTGGGAGAGTTATTGATTCTTCTCTATGGGGGCTCCTTCCCTACTAAATGACTCCTGGTTTTTTTTAATTAAAATTTTTTTTCAGTGTTTCAATGATCTCGATAATAATGTCAATTGGATTTGCTGTAGATTTATCAGCTCATATTGTTTATGCTTTTGTTAGTGCACAAGGAAAAGAATCTAAAGAAAGAGTTATTTGTGCACTTGGACATATTGGTTGGCCGATATTTCAGGTTTTTTTTGGATTTTTTAAATTTATTTTTAAAATAATTTAGGGTGCTGCTTCAACAATTACAGGCATTTCAGTACTTTACACTGTTGATGCTTATATTATTTTAACATTTTTTAAAACAATTTGGTATTTTTTAAAATTTTTTTCTTAATCTTTAAAAATTTTTAAAGGTTAACAATGGTATTAGGAATGGTTCATGGATTAATATTTATTCCTGTTTTGCTCAGCATTTTGCCAATGAGTTTTTTTCAAATTTCACAACAACAAATAAAATCCCAAACAACAAGTTTAGAAATTAAAAATGATTTTTAAAAAAGATTTTTTGTTTTACTTTTTTCAATAATTAATTTTAAAAACGGGTTTTATTTCTCGTTCTACTTAATATTAACTTTAATTATTTATTGGAATATAATTTAAGTTTTTTTTAAATTTTTTTTATAAATTTTTGTGGAACATACGAATCTTAACAAATGTTTTTTTCATTTTATACTTTTCAATTTTTAAAAATCTTTTCTGTGCTAAACGTTTTGAGACAATTGTACATTGGGCGATTTGTACTGGACGTTTTAGTCAATTCACAATTGTCCGTTTTATAAATGGCAATTGCACAAATGGGTCAATTTACAATTGTCGTAACGCTTGTAATTTTTTGTAAAAAATTTAGTTTTTGCGTTTTCAATTCTGGTTTCAAAAAAATTGACGTAAATTATTATTTAGAGTAGAGTGAATGTGTTCTTTCCTTGTCTTTCTCTAAATCGTCGTCCATTTTTTGAGATTAACTTTTGCTGCGCGTATTCAGTCTAAAAATGGATTTAATTGTGTCTACAGCTGGTGGTAGTATTCAAAGTGTTTCTGGTGTGAATGAGAATACAACGTAAACTTTATTTTCTAAATTCATTTTTTAAATCAATTTTTAATACAGATGTGCTCAAATCGTTTATGTATTGGCGCATGCAAGACAACAAAAAGGCAGATTTACATTGATAGCACGATTGAATGGATCTGATGTAGTTTATTTTTTTATTATAAAGCAAAAAAATTTAGCAGGAGCATCGATTCACGCCGGATGAACGACCTTATGAATTTATAATGGAATGTAATGAACAAGGAGTTCAGCCCGAATTTGAATTGCTTAAATTGGATATTGAAAAAGGTGATGGAGTACATTCATCTAATTTGGAGTCGTGCACACCGAATATGCTTTCAACAAATTCTTCAACAACTAGTTTGATTTTTTATTTAATTAATTTTTAAATGACATTGTTTCAGGTGTTGATGCTATGCTTTCTAATAATGTCGATCATTGTCAAAATCGCCCGGATCCTCCAGGTTATTTTACATGAGGTTTTCATTTGATTTCAAAATTTTGTAGATTATAATGTCTTGATGGCTGGGCGTTGTAATTCACTTCGCTGGAATAATATGAACAACAGGAAAACTTATACTCCGTTAACTTTTTTGAACATCCCCAATTTTTGTCTACACGATTTATATACTCATAAATTTACTTGGAATGATTTGGAGGCTTTGATCGATATTCAAGAGTTTGTTTTAACTTTTTGAACTAAAAAATAATTGTTTTTAAGGAGAACACTCGCTGCACAAAAAACAGAATTGGTACGAGTTGAATTGACATTGCTTGATTCAAAAGAACGTGAATTAATTCAGCTGAGGAAGCAGCACAATGTTTGGAGATTTATTTGAAATTCCGTAATTGTTTATTTTGTAGAATTTGCAATCTGTTCTCGAATCTCTTCGTAATGCTGAATGGCCTAAATGTGTAGAGACTGAAAGCGCGGAGGCTGAACGTCTGAATACAACGATTGCAGCTATGCGTACAGCTGTCGCTGAAAAGAATAGGTTTTCTTTTGCTTTAAATAAAAAATTTAAAAATATTCTAGGGAATTGGTTGAGGCATTGAATTTACAACAAACATTGGAACGTCAACTGGCAAGTGAACAAAGCCGTGCTGCAAAAGTTGAAGAAATACATTCTGTTTTAGAACATGAGGATTAAATTTAACATAGGTTTGGTTATGTGGTTAATTTCCTTAATTTTATTTTAACGCTTTAACTTAAAAAAACTAATTTCTTTCAAAAGTAATGATGCCTTTTATTATTTTATTTTTCCGTTCCTTACCTTTCAATAATTTCCATTGCCAATTGTCTTTTTAAAATAAGATTAACTCTGCTTTTGTTTGCGAAAGATCCGATTTTTCAAGAAAAAGAGAGTAAATCTTTTTTAGTAATTCACTTCTAAATATGTATTTATTTAATCATATGAAAAATAAAATTTTTTAACTCCTTTTGTTGTCCAATCCTATAGTTATATATCTTGCCTTATCTTACGAAATTATCTACTTATATTAAATTTTATGCGTTATAGCGGCGACGATAAATGCCCTTGTTTGGAAAATCGCACAAATCGCCTGGAGAAATTGTGCGCAACCTGAGGGAAGCGTTGCTGCTGATCGAAAAGGGTCAAGACCGAAAATCGGAAAAAGCGGTTGAAGAGGTTTTTCTTTAAAAAATTTTTCGAGTTTTTGCGCCACTCTTTCGAGTTATGCATCTCTCTAGAAACCTTTCCCAGCTATTTTGTATATTCTATTTAAGGTCAATCGTTGGCTACAGGCAAGTAAATCAATTATCTACGGACAGGATAATCAGGAGCCTAATACAGAGCAGATTTCTCAACTTGTGCAAGAAATATACAATGCTTCTGTTCTTCCTCTACTTATTCGTCAGCTTACTAAACTGGATTTTGAGTTTGTTTAAAAATAATTTTTTATTTTATAAATCACATTTTTTAGATCGAAGAAAGACGTTGCTTTAATTTTTAACAATTTGTTACGTCGTCAAATTGGTACTCGTTCACCTACAGTCGAGTATTTGTGTGCGCGTCCAGAAATCTTAATGACGCTTGTTCGTGGATATGAAGTTTCTGAAATAGCGCTTACTTGTGGTACAATGCTACGGGAATGTATTCGCCATGAACATTTGGCAAAAATTATTTTACTTTCTGAGCAATTTTTTGATTTTTTCCGTTATGTTGAATCTGCTACTTTTGATATTGCTTCTGATGCTTTTTCAACTTTTAAGGTTTTTTTTTCAACCGATAGCTGGTTAGGAAAATTATTTAATATAAGCCCGGTCTGTTTTTATACGTCCTTCTGACTGGGCCTCTATTAGAAAGAGCTTATATTACTTATCAATGTGATGACTCGATTCTTTTTGAATATCTGTTTTTTAGGATTTGATAACGAAACACAAATCTTTGTGCGCTGATTTTCTTGAGAATCAATATGATCGTTTCTTCGAATCTTATCAAAAATTGTTGCTTTCTGAGAACTATGTTGTAAGACGACAAAGTCTTAAATTGGTAATATAAGTTCTTTACTTTTGTTGTCAAATAATTAACCAATAGTTAGGCGAAATTCTTTTGGATCGTTCCAATTTCAATGTGATGACTCGATATATAAGTAATCCGGATAATTTGAAGTTGATGATGAATATGCTCAAGGAGAAAAGCAAAAATATTCAATTTGAGGCATTCCATGTTTTCAAAGTTTTTTTTTCTTTTTGAATATTACAGGGTGCGGCAAATTTAGCGCCGACTTTGTTTTGGCTATAACTTTTTTAATTTTAAACGAAAATTGATAATTCTTTTTTTCCTGGATTCCTAACACTTTAGGAAACTTGTTGATATCAAATATTGAAAATTTGGTCCACTGAGAGGAAAGAAAAACGAGTCCGAACAGCCGAAAAATCTAAAAATATTTTTCATGCCAAAGTTTAGTTGATCATAACTTTGTTCAAAATAATCCAATCCGAGTTATTTTGGTACCAATCAACTCCTCTCGATAAGGAGCATCGAAATAGCTAATAAAATCATTTTTGAAAATTTTACCTAAAAAGTTTATATTTGCAAAATTTATTTTAATTTTTCAATCAGAGAGTCATATCTCGGTCCATTTATGTGATAGACACATGATTTTGACGTCATTCGAATCAGATTGGAGAGCTGATTCGAATGATATGTAAAATTCTCACATTAAAACAATAGCCTTGAATCCAGGCCAAATTTTATCCAAAAATTTTTGCTCGAAATTTGATGAAAAATTAATCAAACTTAATTATAAAATTTGGAAAAGATTTTTATATCAACAAGTTTCCTAAAGTGTTGGGAATCCAGGAAAAAAAGAATTATCAATTTTCGTTTAAAATTAAAAAAGTTATAGCCAAAACAAAGTCGGCGCTAAATTTGCCGCACCCTGTATTTTTTTATTTATTAACAATAAGGTGTTTGTGGCAAATCCAAATAAACCAAAGCCAATAACCGAGATTTTATTGCGTAATCGTGATAGGCTCGCAGAGTTTCTTTCAGAGTTTCACAGTGATAGGTGGGGGAGCTTCTTTCATTAAAACTTCAAAATTTATATTTTTAGGACTGATGACGAGCAATTTAATGATGAAAAGGCTTATTTAATAAAACAGATTCGACAGATGGCACCCGTCCAATAAAAAAATCATTGCTCACTTTTTTTAAGAATCATGAAATTAAAAATATTAGACACACCATTGGTATAATTTTATTGATAAAGTTTAAAAAGCGAATTTTAAAGTAATTATTAAAGTTATTTTGCTTTTAATATATTTTTTACGTAAAGGGGCACCGGAGTTTGGACAGCCATATTTTTTGGTTGTCTTTCAGTGGTGTGGGGGGTTTTAAATTATCCTTGGTTGTTTTTTTTTATTGTGGCATAGTGTTTTCAACTGACAGTAAATCCCCTTCTTTTTTCCTCTAATATTAGAGAAAAAACATCAGAAAGTTGGTAAGAGACTAAAAAATGTTCACAAAATATGACTTTAACATGTGAGAATGTAATAATCAATTTTTGTGTGTTAATTACTTGTGCTTTTTATTTTTTAATCATTAATTTTAAGGAACATTAAATTTAATTAAACGGTAATCTAAGAGGTTTGCGTGCTTCTACGCTTGTGTCAAATTCATTGAATTTGAGATGCTAAATTTTTCTATTTTCTCGAAGCCATTATGTCGGTTTTTGATACACAGGTTTTATTTCAACTTTAATTTAGAATATTTTGTTTTTAGATATATGGGCCAATATTTGAAGACGGAACTTACATCAGATCAACTCGAAGTTAGTCTCGCTGATGGAATTGCCACAGTTCAGTCAGTTATGCTTAACACAGAATACATAAATGAAATGTTGTCTTCTTCGGGTATTTTTTTATATTTTTCTCGCTGTAATTGTATTCTATTAACTTGATAGGATTGGGAATCTTTTCACTTGTCGATAGCTATGTTCGTGAATTAAGTGTTTCGGTGCCATGGAAAAAACTTCCAAGCGATTCTACTATAATTAGAAGTTTTTCTTTTTTATACTTTTTCTTAAAATATCTGTTACAATTTTTTACAGTTTCTGGACTTCAACTTACTCTTGAACCTCTTCCAGATGTCAATATCCCTTACACGCAGGATCTTGGTTTTTTCTCATCATGTATTTACTTTTTATCTTTTAAGTTTCCTCGTTCATTGGTTCAATTGCCTCAAGTATGGATTTGGCCAAAAGCTTTATTGTTGACGAGCATTTAGCCAGCGGAAACGTAGACAGTGGTGGAGGCATAGAACAATTTGCTACCGTTATTGATCACATAATTGCAAGAATAAAATTTGTTTTCGAAGACGTTGTTTTGCGGATTGAGTCTTACAATGTGGATAGTGGCCTCTGTACTGGAATAGAAATTCAGATTGACAGGTTTTCATAAGCAACCTTATCCTACCATTGGATTAATCTTTTAAGGATGGAATTTCTTGATGAAGTTATTGATGAGTTAATCACTACTAATAATGTTGTCACAGAACAGCCTGATCGAAGAAATGATTTAAACAAATTAATAAATGTTCAAGGAGTTCGTCTTTATACAGACATTTGGACACCCATTGTATATTTATAATTTTATTTTAATTTTACATTTAACTTTTAGCGTCCGCAAAGATTAAACACTTCACAGATAGTTTCTAGTGATAGCGAGCCTGATATTGATCCGATGGGAAATTCATCACTAAATTTTCAGTCCTGCTACTCACATTTTAGTAGTCGCTCTAATTCAAATACGGCAACTCGACTACCAATTAACTCGTAATTTTTTAAACGTATTGTTTATATTCACTATTTCTTTAGAATTTCGCCAAATCCAGTTCTTTTTGCACAACTATTTTCTGAAAAACACACGATTCAAATACGAACAAATAATAATGGAGGCAGTAGCAATGTAGCATCAACTTCTGAAGACGCCCGCTTCAATAACCGAATTGAAATTGATGTCAATCTCTTCAGTCCACTTTACGCTTTACTAACGGCTAGTCAAATTGACATGTTAAAAAGCCTGTTTATGTCATTGTTGCCTAAACCGAAACAACAAATTCAATCGACATCAAATTTTACAGGCGGTATGCCTATGAAAGAGGAGCATTTTACTCGAATGATGAATCAAATACAGGTTTAAAAATTTTCTAATTTAATATTTCATACATTCTTTTAAGAATGAGTTTGTTGGCGGTAATACAAGCTATGTACCTGAGAAAAATTCTGGAGCTGGGTTTTTATATTCTACTGGTACGTGGAGTGGCGTTAACGAACCTCAATTTTTCGATCTTTCCGAGCAACATGATCTTCATACGTTTACAGATCTGAAACACGGGCTAAGGACACCAATTGATCAACAACGACTTACATCTAATTCATTACATCATGATTGGAAAAATGTCAACAATTCTGCCAAGAAAAACGGACGAATTGGTATGAATTTATTTTTACAAGACTTATTATTATTTTGTAGATTCATCTGCTTCAACACTTGTTGATTTCCGCCTTGACATTTTTATGATTTCCATTCGGGCGCCTGCAGCGCTTGTAATAGTCGCACATCATGATCCACTTAGTGTGGATTCTTTGAAGGAGCACAATAATGATTTTACAACTATTAATCAACTTATTCAAAAAAATATTAATGAAATGGCCGAGAAAGCGGAGCATTTCTTCAAAATGGCGCAATCTTTGAAATTAGATAAGGCTATGATAGATGAACAGAAGGCATTACTTTTAGATTTGTATCCAAACAGTCATATGAGGTTTGACATACATAAAGGGTCTATTTAAAATATTAATTTGTTTCAGAATATTGGCGCACAAATTTTACATAAAATACAATGCCACTAACAATATGCATGTTAATTCATTAGAGATAAAAGGATCTCTCAATGGTTGCGACATTGTTGAAATACTTAAACCAACTGAACAAGTTGTTAAAATATTTTAAATTATAATTCTGAAACATTAAAAATTTTGTAGCAGACACGTTTAGTTGAATTTTCTGGCAATACGCACAGTGATTCTGCTATTTCATTTCGTTTACTCAATTTGTCAGAGAAACCACAACAACGTGATTACTCATTATTCATTGAAGTAGGTGTTTGCAAATTAGAAATCGATCCTAGTATTATTGATCGTTTTGGCACTTTCTTTACTTCACGGCCATTCTTTTACGATTACAAGAATCAACTTATGAAACAAAGTGTTTTGAATGAAACATCTACAATTGATCATGGAATTTTATCTGATTTATTTGAAAATGACACGCAACCAATCTCGCTAAACATCACATGTACTCTTAAAAAATTGCTTCTAATTATAAGGTTAATTTTTTACATTCACTAGTTATTCTTGATAATTTCTAATCATATTCAGGGTACCAAATACTGCCTCCCCAAACTCTGATTGTGAAATGAATGATTATTTTCCATGTCTTCACAATGAAGTTTTACAATTTGATATTGAAGGTACTACCATAGAATTACCTAAATCTTTATTGACTGATTTGCAAATATGTGGAACTGTTAATTTGAAGTGCCAAACATTAAAAGGTTATTCTTTATATTGATTATATATATTATTTCTATTTGTTTTTAGGCTCCTTTATTGGTGATTCGACCGTACTGAAATGTAGTCAAGAACAGATGAACTTTCTTTTTGTCGATACAACAAATGCGGATAAAGCTATGGGAAATGTTCAGGCTGTTATGTATTTTTATGAAATTTTATAAATCAAATTTGCTTTTTTATTAAAGGTTAAATTTTACATATGATCTGCGTGATAAATCTTTGAGCCGAGCGCTTCTACTGAATTCTATAAATTTATCTCATAGTTTTCCTGAATCAGTTTTCAATTCAACTTGTGCAAATGAGAAGAAAATCGAAGGACCTTTTTCTACAAAAGATGTTTTTCATTTTAAGGATAATAGCTCAAAAAAGAAGGGAGTCAAAGGAGAGGAAGAAAATCCAAGCCAAACGGTATATTTTCATTTTTTTATTTATGTATATGTTTGAACTTTTAGCTTGTCAAAGCTGGTAGCCGTGCAGAACTATTGGAGTTTGCAGAAGATTGTCGTGCATTTTCGAATCTTGTTTTTGATCTTACTTTTGCTAATGTTAATTTAGCACTACCAAGTCGTGAATTCTTCCATTATTTATTTAACAGGTTTTATAATATTTTTTAATTCTTTTTAAATTAATTTTGTTAGATATCTATTTGATTTGACTCATTGGCGGCCCAAATCTTCGAAATTTTCTTCCAGTAAAGATGGACTAATTGGTAACAAACAACAATTTATCGAATGCCACTCTGCATTTTTGCCATTTAGAAGTTAATTTTCAAAATATTTTATTAATCTTTTGACTATTTAAACAGATTCCGAAAATGATCTTGAAAGTAGTTCCGATGAAATTTTAGACGAAGCAAATATATCTGATCCAGAATCATCTAAAAATAAGAAAAGGCGATTAAATGCTGAAAACAATGTTGGTTCTCATAATTTCTCTATTGGAATCCATTTTGAGCGAGCGAGATGTCTACTTCAAAAGGTTATTTATTGTTTTCGGGCATTTTTATTAGATCTAGGGCTGATTACTTTATTTTATCTTAAGGATTTAACTGGTTTGATCACTCCACCATTCAACGCCTGTGAAGGTCAACTTGGCACAGAAATGTTAAATGGTGATCTTTTCCTTGTTGATGGCTTTAAAGGATCATCAAACATTAGTTACATGTTTTTAACATCCTCAAATGCTCAGATTTTTCATAAAAGTAGATTTTGTGTTAGATAAGATATATTTTACAAAAAATTTTGCAGATTTGCCTGGTGATAAAGAAACTCCTTTCGGTGCCAATGTCTTGGATAATTCTACTTTTCTTTTTCCGAAAAATCGAAGTAATGTCCAAATGTGTGAATTACCCAAAGATCATCCAACTTTTGAAAAGATTGAAGATGATAATTTTGTTTGTTCAATGAGAACTACAGTTCATCCGGAGACGAATTCCAAGGCACTAATTTTTATAATCTTTAAACATTAATATTTTAGGATCTTCTCCTTGCTGTCGGCTTGAGAAATTCTCTTCTATATCTTAGGCCTATTGTAAATTTACAGCTTTTCTGGCCACTTCAATTTTTAAAATTTTTTGATTGTGATGACTTGTTCAATCCTGGGTATCGACCACCAACCACTAAGGTAATTACCATTTTTAAAGTGCGTTTTCTGTTTAATTGTATTTTCATCATATTTTCTACAGATTGATCTTCGCTTTCATTGCACTAATGTATTGTTAGGATATGATCACTCATCCATTCAACAAAATTCACCCTTCCAACTTAGGTTTATTTTATTAATTTTATTAATTTCTTAATTTTTTTTATTTATAAAGGTTTGAAATTGGATCCTCATATGTCAGTACTTATTTGAAAAAGAATCTTGATCGCTTAACACTTGATTGTATTTTTGAGGATTTGATTTTGGTAATTTTTTATTTTTAAATTGGGAATAATATTTAATTTTTAGTGGATGCGTAAAAAACAGATGGAATCTGTTTCATTTGAACCAATAAATACTCGATTTTTCAACTCTGATAATATTTTTATTAAAATGCTTGCTGCAGATTCCATTCATTTCGTTCTTGGATATCTTTTACAAAATACCTCTAATCAAGAAAACAATAATCCGGCTATTGACTTTGCATGCATTGATCAAAACTTAACAGTAATATTTTAATTTGATAGTTTCATTCAATTAATTAAATATTTTTCAAAATTCAGCTTTGGCTTTGTTCTGACACACTTATTGAATTTATAACTATTATTATTGAATTATTTAACTCAGAAACACTTAAAACACTTTTTGCAAGTTTAAATTCAACAGTAAATGACACAAATTTAACAAATTTAAATTCTGATAATATTGATATTGAACAATCTGATACTGGATTTCCAAGTAGAATTGATTCTATTAATGATGATCAGCAACTAATTGTAAATTCAAATTTTATTTAAAAAATTAGTATTTAATTTTAAGAGAGAAATGGAGGCAGCAATAAGTGATATGCCACCGATTTATCGAGCTAATGATATCACAATAGAACGTTGCGCAATGACAGATAGCGTTTTTGATCAGAAAATGTTTGATGCCTTGTCTGATGAGTCTGAAGATGAAGAAAAGATTGCAGAAGATGAGGATTCTGATGAGTTCACGTTTATTGAGTTGCCAAGTGAGGTCTCTAAAGGATCGACTTCCGTCTCAAAAAATGGTGTTGACAGACCTTCTGTCACTCAATTGAAGGAAGGACGATTTCATACAAATTTTGATGCCATTGGAGGATTTGAATTTATCGCTAAAACGATACGAATAGAACCTGTCAATTCAGAACAAAACAATAAATTGCCATCATCGGCTATTAAAATGAGGTTTCTACCATTTGTTTTAACTTGTTTTTACTTTTTAAATTTTAGTTATAAAATTAGTTTTTCATCTTTGAAAATATTAATCTTTGGTGGATCTGATTTTTGTGATTCTGCTCGCCATTTACCGCAATGTGGTTATTCTCAATGGGATTCAAATCGACGTGAATGTTCCGCTAACGCTGAAAATGATTATGGATCAAAAGGAGGTCGTTATAGAGACCACACGGTTTGTTTAACTTTTAAGATTTTTTGAAATCTTAAGTTTTTAAGGTTTTTATTGAATTCAAATTCTCAAAATTATCAGCAGTTTGTAAATTCTTCAATGAGGAAGTTTTTCCTTATCACTTTAGTTTCTTACTAGAACTTGGAGATTTGAATATTCTTGATCATTTGGAAATCTCGCATATCAATGAAATGATTCACCGAGTATATTTTTAGATCATTTATTTTTTAATGATGTTTTTATGTCTTTCCAGCTTCAAATTGAAGGTCAACCTCGTTCACAAGGTCATTTCTTAAAATTTTTCCTTCGAGAAGATCAACTCCGTGAAGCAATTGTGCGAATTTCCCTTGCTCCTATTCGACTCAATCTAGATCAAGATACATTTGATTTTCTTGTTGATTTTAAAAATCAACTGGTTCAATTCTCAAAAAATATTTTTGAAAATCTTCCATCGACGTCTGCGAATGTAAATAATGCAGAAGATGAGGATGTGCCCATTATGGAAATACCACCACAGAGAACTAATGATGAATCAGAGGAGATGCGCAATAGTTTCTGTCCAGAGTTTTCGGAAGAAGGGTGTTCTTCCATTTCTTTCAATAAATTAAGACAGCAGGATGAAGCTGATTTAGGTTTGAATTAACCTTATAAATTGGAATTAATTTTTTTATATAGCGGATCTTTTCTCAGAGGACGATGTTGACTTTTCCGTTTTCAACGAAAAAGACAGGAATTGTAAAGTATCTTCCCGGCAATCTTCAAATAAAGCTAATGAAAGATTTCAAAGTAGACGCCTTTCTCAAATTTCAACAGCAACAATGCATCAGGCAACTTCTAAAAAAGCGCTCGCTGCCAAAGATATTTTTATCAAGTTTATATTTGAAATTTTATTTTTGATTAACTAAAAATATTTAGGGATTTTTCTTTCTCACCCGCTTGTCTTATCAGAATGGATTATGAAGCAAAAAGAATTAGAACTGATCAACAACAAAGTGCTTTTCTTTCGCTTTTGCTTGGAATGACAAATATGAAAAAAGCTGAATTAACCCTCAAAGAAATTCGCGTAGAAAAAGGTTTTTTGGGAGCTCGAAAGTGTATACAGGTTTTCTGATTTGTAATTTATTCTATTTGCAAAAATTAAACTTAAAGTTTGTTGTTGATGAATGGAAGAATGATATCATCGACAAACAGTTAAGAAACTTGGTTGGCGGTGTGGCAATGATTAATGCTGTTGTTTTATTAGCGCAAGGTCTTTCAGACTTGGTTACTTATCCATTAGAAGGTTTACATATCCATAGATTTTTTTATTTTAACAATATCATTTTAGAATATCAAAGAGTAGATGGGCAACTTAGTCGAGGAATTCAGAAGGGAACTACAAGTTTCGGTCTGAACGTCGCCAGTGCAGCTCTTGATGCTACTCAACGTGTGACAAGCTTTGTACATGTAAGCATCTATTAGTAAATGATTTTCTCAAATATTTCTAAATTTTAGAATGTTGCTGAGTTCACATATGATATATTGAATCCTAATTTCACCTATCAACATTATAATGCAGATCATCGTACCAAAACACCTGGAGATTTACGTGAAGGTATTTCACTGGCTTGTAATACCGTTAAAGAGGTTTTATTAATCTTTCAAATAGCTTGGATTTATTAAATTTATTAGGGATTATCGGATACGGCACAAACACTTCAGACGGCAGCTGAGCAGGATCGAGCACGCGGTGGATGGGGTGTTGGAATTTTACGGCATATTGCCCCAACTGCTGTTCGTCCCATTGTAATTGCGACTAAAGCAACTGTACATATGTTAGGTATAATAAAGTTTATTTTAATTCCTATTATTGGAGGGTTTTTTAAGTTTTTATTAAAAAATGTCGTTTTTTAGGAGGCTTAAAAAATCAACTTAAACCAGAGGAACATCGAGAAGAAATGAGAAAATGGCGCCGAAATTCTATTAGAATTTCAAATGGTGAACAGCTACAGAGGCAGATGTCTGCGCCTTCTTCCATTTCTTCAAATTTCTCTAGCAGTTCGCTTACACATATTTCATATAATCCCCAAACACCATCTTCAAGCCAAATGAGTTGGCAAAAGAAAAAATAGAGAGTGATCTTATATTTTATATTAAAATGTCCTCACTCGCGCTTTATCTGTCTAATTTAGTTTCGGGTTTTGATAATTTATTCCAAAATTTATCTTCGATTTTATTTCTTTCAAAAATTCTTCAAAACTTGTACATAAACTTGGACCAATTTTTCCTTAATAAGAAATACAGAAATTTTTTTCTTGTATACTTGCCTTATTTCCTCGCCCTATCTTTCACTTTTTCTAGGAAAGTGTTGTCGCCATTTTTTCATTTATTGATTTATTTAACTTTCGCCTATAATAACTAGCATTAAAAAATAAAATTTCAAGAACACGTGACAATTTTTTCAGAAAAGCTGTGGGCTTTAACTATAATCCTTAGCTTGCCTCCAAATGTTCTAACAAAAATCTCCAGTTAATAAATCTTTTAAATAATGCACAGAGCTTTCTTCAGTTGACAGCAACTCTTGAATGTGTCTAACCTTTAAGTCAAATATTTCTCTCCCCAAATTTTATTCACACGCCCTCGTTTATTGATTGTTTTTTTGTGTCAATTCTTAACGGGAATTATTCACGTCTATTATTTGCGCTGATTTATCAAATAGTAGTGGGAGATAGAGGGTTAGTTTTTCGGTTTATTAATCACAACTGTTCCCTTTACGTTTTCGGACTTTGGCCTTACATCTTTACCTCCTCCTTTTTTCAATTATTTAATGACAAAAAAAGTTATCGGAGCAGTCTGCTTTTTTAATTTTTATTGTGGCTAATTGATTTGGGTACATTATTGTAGTAGTAGGCGTACATAAACCTCCCACTCACTCTTTATTGTTTAACATAAACAAAATTTACAATAATATAAAACCACTTTTAAATGACTGAAAATGATTAGAAATTTATTTTAAGTATTACATAATGCTTATTATTTATGTTTGTAATGCTTGTTAATTAAAAAAATTTTTTTTAATTACAAATGTTTAGATTTTAGATAAAGATTATTAAAAAAATGTCAGACCAAAAGCTTTCTTCAGCTAGCACTTCTGAATTTTCTCAAAACAAACATTCATCATTTCTTCGACGCTGTTCAATCTCCGATCCACGTTTGGATATTTTACCGGAAAAAGGTTATTTTCTAGATATATATTTTTGTTACAATTTATTACTTTAAGCGTTAAACCCTTTTAACCGTGTGCTTTCTGGACTTTTTGATGGAAATTCAGCATATTCGAGTAAACGAACCGATAGTGTAGAATCAGTGGAACAGGATCGTCATCACCAAGGAAATTCGTTTTCAACTTCGCCAAGGTAATTAATTTTAATTAAGGTTTTGGTTGGGTATTTTTCTCAAAACTCTACCAAATATTTTGAAGAAAATATGGAAGGACAAAATAACATTTCTCTTTCCATCCCACTTGATTACTGATCACTTGATAAAAAACATTCTCTTTTGTTTATGTTTCGTTCATAGTTCTTTGTGCCCCACGTGGTTGGGTGCATATACTGGTAGCAATGTGACGTTTTTTCTATAGTGATTTTCGGGGATGCACCGACTTGAGAAACTAACCTCACGTTGCGTTGAGTAAGGACAATTAAAAAAGACCACCCCATTAATTTTAAAGAGTATATAAAAATCATCAGTTTTAAAAACCGTATTTTAACTGTTTGTTGTATTAAACCTCCAAATTTGGTCAAATTTTCATTTTATTTTTTCAACAGAGATAACCAACAAATAACTCAACTACAACATCATAAAGAAATTCCGACAAAAAAGACTACAACATCTTCGACTTCTGCCACACCAATACTTCGCAAATCTTCTACAAGTATAGGCGCTCTTTCTCCATTACAACACAATCATTTCTCAACAATATTGGAAATGGCTGAAGATCAAGGACTTACAATGTCGGCACGTCAAACACCAACACAGAGTACTACTTTTGAAAATAAAAATGAGAAAAATAAAAGAGAGTTAGCGACAATGCGCAGTGCCACTGAAATGGCCGCTGCTGGAACGCCTCAAAAATGCGTATAATCTTTAAACATTTATAAATTTGGTGTGAAAAATTTATTTTTAAAGAATGGTGGTGGGTTCATGCGTATGTTTGGTAGTGGTGGATTTCTTTCAAAACCGCTGATGCACACTGAGGAAGAAAATTATCGTTATATTATGGCATTGGATCGATAATAAGGATGATGAATATTTTGAGGAACGAGAAGTAAACGGGGATTTGTTTAAAATAAATTGGAAAGAACAATTTTCAAGTTGCCGAAATCAATTTGCTTAAGAGATATATATCGCTAATCTACATATGTGTATAATTTTTTTAAGACGAATACAAATTAGTATTTTTTTATTTAATTTTTATTTTGTTTACATTTTATTTTTTGAGGGGGGGGGGGGTTGTTTACTATTTTTTCAATTTTTGAGCGATTCAACATCAAAAAATAGAACGATATCGATAATACAGCAAGAAAGTTGTGATACGAAAACTGGTTGAATGTTTAGGGAGTAAATGGACTATTTCTCATGTATTATCGGGCAAAAGATAAGTGTAAGAGAGAGGGAGTTTATAAGGAATAAATACGTCTTTTCTTTATTTTTAAGTAGTAGTGCATCTTTGTACAATTTATACTCTTTTAATCATTTAAAAAATTATTTTTTTAGTCAACATTTTTTGACAATATTTTTAATTTTCTTAATCAAATATGGTTGCTAAACTTATCAACGGAACGGGTAAACTTATTAAACTGTGATTAAGGAAAATTTCCCTTAAACAGCAATTGCGCAAGAAGTGCTGGATGAAGTTGCGGAGAGATTGAAGAAAACTAGAGCAGAAGTTCCTGGATTTTCTGTTACCTTAGCTGTAGTACAGGTTCAATAACAATATTTAATGGTCTAAAATTTTAATGAATTAAAGGTTGGAAATCGTAGCGATTCAACTGTCTACATAAGTAAAAAGTTGGAGAAGGCAAAGCAGGTTGGAGTTCAATCAGAGTTGTCAAAACTTGGAACTGACTGTGATGAATTTGAGTTGGAAAGTGTGATTGAGCGATTGAATAATGATCCTCATATTGATGGAATAATTGTTCAAGTAAGTGAAAATTAAGCTGATTAAATCCGTCAATATTTTTAAGCTTCCATTGGACACTGTGAACAAGATTGACGTTGAAAAAATCCTTGACAAAATTCGACCTGAAAAAGATGTTGATGGTTTAACTCGAATGGTTGGGCATTTATAATTATCTAAATTTATTTTTTTAATTAGAATGTGGGGAAACTGGCGAGAGGAGAGTTGGATTCTGCAATTATTCCTTGTACTCCTTTTGGATGCCTTCGTTTAGTACAAAAGGCAACAGGTTAGTTTTTAATTTTTTAAATGATCAGGGTCTAATATTGTTTAAGGTGATGAAAATTTTGTTCAAGGCAAACGTGGTAGGAATCTTAAGAATTGGCATTTTGTTTAATTTTTTTCTAAAATTTGGAAAATTAATTTTTGAATTTAGTTGTTGTTTTGGGTCGTTCTAAAATTGTTGGTGCTCCAGCTGCTGCTCTTTTTACATGGTTATAATGATTTATAAAAATTAATATAAAATATTTAAAAAATTGAGGTATAATGGAACGACAACTTTGTGTCATTCGCGCACTCAAAATATTGCGCAAGTTTGCCGAGAAGCGGATATACTTATTGTTGCAATCGGACAAAAACAAATGATCAGGGGTGATTGGATAAAGCCTGGTGCTGTTGTTATTGACTGGTTAGTTAATAGGACTAGATGATAATCTTTGATTTAATCTAAATATGTATTTGCAGTGGAATAAATGTGGAAGAATTGAGCAATGGGAAACGACGACTTTTTGGTGACGTTAATTTTGATGAAGCAAAAGAGGTTGCAGGTTATATAACTCCCGTTCCTGGAGGTTTAATATAAAATTTAATTTATTAAAAATATAATCCGAAGGTGTTGGGCCTATGACTGTTGCTATGCTTATTCGAAATACAGTTGAACAGGCAATTATCACTAAATTAAAGGTTTTTTTTATAATTTTTGCATTATTAAGTTTAAAATAATTTTTTAGTTGGGTCAGACTTCTGACAAATGGCCCCTTGCTCCATTGGAATTGCATATCAAATCAGTAATTTAAGACTTTTAATCAGTAATTTAATCTTTAAAATTTTTTTATTCCCACTTCAGCCTGTTCCATCAGACATTTCAATTTCACGTATGCAAACTCCAAAGTTATTATTTCGATTTTAAATCTTAAATTAATTAATAATTCACAGGCCAATTGACAGACTTGCATTTGAAATTGGTATCCGTCAAGAAGAACTTGAAGCTTATGGACATACAAAGGCAAAAGTATCTCTTGAAGTATTGGAGCGTCTTGAAGGATGTGCTGAAGGAAAATATGTTGTTGTTGCAGGTTTTAAAATTTTTTGAAAGGCTAAAAAATAAACCCTTTTAAGGAATTAATCCGACACCTTTGGGTGAGGGAAAATCCACAACAACAATTGGATTGTGAGAAAATTTCATTTTAAATATTTTAAAAAATAATTGTTAAGAGCGCAATGTTTATCGGCGCATTTGGGTAAAAATACCTTTGCGTGCGTCCGCCAACCGTCACAGGGTCCCACGTTCGGTATGTTTTCAATTGAAAAACAAAAGTTATTTGAAAAATCTTTACAGGAGTTAAAGGTGGAGCAGCTGGTGGAGGTTATTCTCAAGTTATCCCAATGGAAGAATTTAATCTACACTTAACTGGCGATATTCATGCTATAAGTCAAGTAATTTTGCAAGAAGAATGTATTAAAATTCTCTAACTTCTATTTAGGCTCACAATTTAATAGCTGCCGCTTTGGATGCCAGAATTTTTCACGAAGCAACACAATCTGACACAGCTTTATTTAATCGTTTAGCACCAAAGAATAAAGAAGGTTAAATTAATCACCCATTCATTAAACTTTTTTTTAGGAAAGAGACCTCTTTGTGATGCTCAACGCCGTCGATTAGTTCGTCTTGGGTTTCCTGATGTTGATGACGGTGAATTGCTGAATGCGGAACAGCGCCGATCTTTTTCGCGTCTCAATTTGGATGTTGAGGGCGATGCTATTTTTTGGAATCGTGTTGTAGATTTAAACGATCGTTTTTTGCGTCGCATAGAAATTGGGCATGGACCGCAAGAGAAAGGACATGTTCGGAGTTCCGAATTTGCAATTAGTGTCTCCTCTGAGGTTCACTGAAAGAAAAATTTTTTAAATGTAAATTTTTTAAGCTTATGGCTATTCTTGCACTTTGTACAAGTTTTTCTGACTTACGCAACCGAATTAGACAAATTGTTGTTGGAAATGATCGTGATGGAAATTCAGTAACTGTTGATGACCTTTGTGTTGCGGGAGCAGTTGCAATACTAATGAAGGTTTTTAGATGTTATAAAATTAATTACTCATTATCTCATTGTTAGGATACTGTGAAACCGAATCTGATGCAAACACTTGAAGGAACACCAGTTTTTGTTCATGCAGGACCTTTTGCAAACATTGCACACGGAAACTCATCAATTCTTGCGGATCGTGTGGCTCTTAAGTTGGTTGGCTCTAATGGATTTGTGATTACTGAAGCTGGCTTTGGTGCTGATATTGGAATGGAAAAGTTCTTCAATATTAAGGTTTATTTGCTTAAGTCCAAAATTTTTAAAATTTTCTAAATTCAGTGTCGTTCTTCTGGTTTACTGCCTAATGCTGTAGTTATTGTGTTGGTTCTTTTAAACTTAATTGAAATGAAATTCGAAATTCAGGGCTACCGTTCGAGCTCTAAAAATGCATGGGGGTGGTCCTGCTGTTGTTGCCGGATCTCCGCTTCCTTTTGAATATTTGAATCCAAATGTTGAGCTTGTCAGAGCAGGTTGTTCTTCTAATTTGCGTAAGCAAGTTGAAAATGCGCAGCATTTTGGTGTCCCTGTTGTTGTATGCATAAATCGTTTTGGATCCGATTCTGAAGACGAATTGGCTGTTGTTGTTGACGGCTGCAAAGAACAATTTGGCGTTGATGCCGTAGTTTCTGAACACTGGGCTATGGGTGGAAAAGGTGCTATAAAACTGGCAAAAGCACTTATTAATGCCTGTGAAAAACCTTCAAACTTTAAGTATGCTATTATAACTTATATAAACTAATTCAATTTTAAAGGTTTCTTTACTCATTGGGCGATCCGATAGAACAAAAAATGAGAATAATTGCACAGAAAATCTACGGAGCAAAGGACATTGAAATGTCTCCAGAAGCACGTAAAAAGGCGGAACAATTCTGTCATCAAGGTTTTCTACAATTTCCTGTTTGTATGGCAAAAACACACTTGTCTCTTTCACATGATCCAACAAGAAAAGGAGCGCCAAAAGGTTTTAAAAAATTTCGAGGAATAATTTTCGTATTTTAATATTTAGATTTTATTCTGCCGATTCGAGATGTTCGTCTCTCTGTAGGTGCCGGCTTCTTTATTTGTATTGCTGGTGAAATCGTTCTCATGCCTGGACTAGCGGTATAAAATTTAATTAACGGGGTGGAGGGTCAAAATTACAAAGAAGCCCCCCTCCCCAACATCTAAAAACTTTCAAAAATTATTTTGGAAAATATCCTTATCAAGTGTAATTTTTGATTAGTAAAAATTAATTTTACAGACGAGGCCTTGCTTTTTCGACATGGACATTGATCCAATGTATGTTATATGTGTATTTAAATAATCTAAATTTGTAAAAAAATTTCAGTACGCAAGTGATAGATGGTCTATTCTGATTTTAAGTAAATTGAAGACTTAAATTAACAGAATCTAAAATTTAGAATTACTTAAATTATTAGTTTTATATAATTTTCCTTCATTAATTAAGGAAAATATATTCTCCACCAATTAATAAATATTTAAAAAATATATTCCCTTGAAAGGATTTTTTGCTACATTTCTTCCGTTGCCAGTTAACTCTGGCACGGGTAAGCATTCATTGTATCTGGTGCTAAAGTACAAATATTCTTTGGCAAGCGTCGACTCTTCCGTTCCTTTTCTATAAAATTGAGAAAACTGTGCCATAGTCTGGCAATAAGAACTACGCTGAATATTTACTCTTTATTATGCTTGCTGCTCTAGAAAATGCCAAATCCTCGCCCAAAATTTTAACCTTTGTTAACCTTGCTGTGTTATTCCGAATTTTTGTTATATTTTCATCTACAATATCAATTAAAATGGAATAAATTTGAGTGAATGTCTTCAACAAAATATCAGAAAGGTTTGGTAGCTTATTTTATTTTGCCATAACTATATTTGGACTCTACTCCAGTTTATGAGTCCATAAATTGAGATTGGACTCATAAACTGGAGTAGAGCCTATATTTGTTAGGTGTTTTTGAATCGGTGAATTCCGTATTTGATGAGAATCAACAAGACGATGTAGTTGATGATAGCGTCTATGATGGTGAAGAAAAAATAGATGCGAACGCCGAGGCTCGTATGGAAATAATTACTTCACTTTTTCCGGTCTGTGGTGGAGGAAAACCATTTTCTGCTGTTCGTCGTCGCTTATTGCCCAAATATTTTGAACAACCTGAGGAGCTATTTGATGAATTTGGATTTCGTCTCCCAGATCTGGATGGAACTGTTGATCCTACAGCCGAACAAATGCCTCTGGAGTCTTCTTCTCAAAGGTACTTAGGGGTTTATTCCTTTATTTAAGCATTCGAGAAGTAACTATCTTAAGAATGCATTGGTTGGCATTAATACAAAACACGCATAGTCAGGTGGAGGAAGCACTAACATGGGCTAATGTTGACATTAAGCAAGGTTAAAAAATAAATATAATGCAAAATTTATTTTATTCAGTACAAAATGTTCCTCGTTTTGAACAAATGCTATTTCAGGAAGGTGGTATTCCACATTCATTGAGACCATTTCTATGGCCATTACTCTGTGGTGCTCTCGAAAAACGATCAAAAAGTAAGGGTATTTATTAATTTTACTAAACTGACTTTATTTTCTCTAATAAAAGGCCCATTCGTTTATGCTAAAATTGTGAGCAAAAGTGAAAAAGAAGGAGCACCTTCTGTGAATGTACAAATAGAGAAGTATATTTTTTAATTTTTCCTAAACTATAAAATTCTTTAATTTAGAGATCTGTTACGAACATTACCCAGTCATTACTCGTTCAGTAAGGCTCATTCACCAGGAATTGCGCCACTTAGAAGAGTACTAAGGGCACTTGCTTTTCTTTTTCCTGAATTGGGTTATTGTCAGGGAATGGGCCTGGTAGTTGGAAACCTTCTACTTGTTTGCTGTGAGGAGAATGCTTTCTGGGTAATTTTTCTAAATAAATATTACTAATTTAATAACTTCAGATAATGTCTTGTCTGATTGAAGATTTATTGCCATCCTCATACTATTCTCCATCTCTTCTTGGAGTTCGTGTAGATGAAAGATTGCTCAGACATTTGGTTCAGGTTTTATAATGATCAAGTTAAATCATCAAATTATCGTGGCAAATTTCTAGGTGCATATGCCGGAACTTACAGAATTAATGCACGATCTCAATGCGGATATATCGATGGTCATCGCTAATTGGTATAATTTTTTAATTCTATTGATTAAAAAACTAATTAAAGGTTGATTACATTGCTTGCTTCCGCATTCCCGCCTCGAATACTCTTCCGCATTTGGGATTGGATTTTTGCTTTTGGAAGTTCTGTCCTTTTTCGCATTATTTTATCGATGTTAAAATTAAATGAAGAAAAGCTTCTAGAACGATGGAGAAATGCAAAGTCTTCATCTTCTTCAGATCCCGGTTCAGAACTTTTTGCGGCCATTAGTAGACTATCATCTGAAATTTCTGGAGTTGAAGATCTGCTTGAGATGGCACATTCCTTTGAATTTTCTGTCACTGATCATTTAATTAAGGAGTTAAGGCGGAAGTATCAGGTTACTTGACTTTTGCAAAATTCGAGTAGGATATTTTGCAGGCAGTTATTTCATCAGGAACACAAATGGATGTTATAATTGATCATGAGGACGGCAGCTTTAATGAAGGGGCAATCAAACAAAAAGTAACGCGCCGAAAACTACATCGTACTACCAGCGTTGTTCGTCGTATTTTTCAGCAGCAGCAACATGTAAAGGATGATAACGAAAATGAAGATGACCCTCGTAGAAAGAATATTCGTCAAACAGAATTATTATTGGATTTGCGTAATGCTATAATTCAAATTTGTGCTCATTTCTCTGAATGTAATGAAAAGGAACATTGTGACCGACAAATTTGTACCCAGGTTTTTTTAATTTTTAATTACTTGAAATTTTTTGTATCAGGCTGATTATTCTTTGGGTTTCGATTCAACTAAAGAACGAGAAATTTTCTTTACCACACGAAATGAAGTTGGAGAACGAAAAGCAAGAGCTATAGCTGATTTTGAACAAGAAGACGAGCATGATTTGGGATTTCATCGAGATAATATTATCCAAATTGTTTCAACTGAAGATGAACACTGTTGGATAGGTGAATTAAATGGAAGGTATTTTCAACTCTGTTATTTAATATCAAAATTTGAATTATAGACGTGGTTGGTTTCCCGCTAAATTTGTCCAGGTTGTTGGAGAACATTGTAGAAATTATTGCATTAAAGGAGATGAAGTATTTTTTCATTTGTACAACTCGAAATTATTTTTTTATTAGGTTTTAAGTCCTCGTATTGCTGAACTTGTTCGTGGTGCTTTTGCATTTGCCTTTCGTCAAATTCTTTGTCATGGGTATTATTACATAATGATCATTTCTGAATTTTCTCTTCAGAATCAGACAAACCAATCGCCATTTTGGTATTCTCTCGTCATCAAACGCATCACACCCGTGGTCATTCATTGGTATTCTTTTATAATTTTTGTTTTCCATTTGATGGGATGTAATTTTCAGAGGCTGTTTCTAATGGACTAGCTGGAACAAAATGTGGTGGAAGCATTGGAGAAAAAGTTGGTCATTTGGCAGAGAACACTTCTAGACTTACATTATCAACAACTTTTCGGTTGGATCAAGATGGAAGAGTCCTTAGTCCAGAAGAATTACTTATATTGGCTATTCATTCAATTAATTGTTCTCATGAGCCTGCAAATGCACCTCTTGATGGAAAATTTCGTTCCCTTGTAGTATTTGGATTGAATGAACAAGTAAAAATTAAATGGTTATATATTTAAATAATTTTGTTTAGTGTTTACATCTCTGGTTTAATATTTTTTGTCATTCAAGTGGGCAAGATGCTTTACGTGAACGTTATTATCACTCATGGTAATCGTTATTAATTTAAAACAATTTTTAAAAATCGAAAACCATGACGGAATTCTTATTTTTTTATATTCACAGGTCTTTTATACGTTCACCCGCCTCTCAACAGGTCTGAATTTTTATAAATATTTTGGGAAAATTATTTATTTTTAACCAGATATGCTGCGAATTAAAATTATTAATGCAGTTTGGCTTCAGTTTTAACGTCGATTCAGAGATTGTTTGCGCCGAAGAATTAAAAACAACAGCAGCAGCATCAACAAATGATAAAAAGAATATGGGTGAGAATGGAATAGTAAATGAAACTGGTGACAAAAAAGGTTTATTAAGAAACGGAATTCCGTTAAAGGAAGGAGTTCGCGATTTATTAATCAAACATCATTTGTTTAGTTGGGATATTTAATATATTCGTTTAAATTTGCTACTTACTAAAATCTCTGCTTATCAATTTTTATCAATTAAACACAGGTTTAATTTTTAATTAATTTTATTCTTATTAATTGAATAGATCTCTAAGTTCTCCTTTTTATAAATAGATACTATTAATCAATTCAAACCACCCATTCAAAGTCAAATAAATATTCACGTCAGCCAAACGTTTTCGATTTTATGTATTTGTTTAAACTAGTGTTCTCACACCCGTGTTTTTTGCTAACAATCTTTTATTGATTGGTCCCCAAATTGTTCTAAAAACCATTTTGATAGTATGTATCTGTTTATTCTACTCATTAATTGTTACGATCTTTGGTTTCTATTTTAAAAAAATATTTTTTCATATCAATTTTATAATGCAATGCAAAATTTTCTAATAATTTCTATTTTTAGTTTCTTTTTTTCTCCTTCATTACATTTCTTTGTATTATATTATGTATTTGTTTCAATTTCTATTTTTGGATATTGAACGTTATATTTTTGAATTATAATTTGCGACTTTCTTTTAAACTAAGAAAAAAACAGTTGTTATCATTCAATCTTTCTAGGCCTTTTTAAAAAAACCAATTTATATATTATCCCCATGCTTGTTCGTAGCTTGATTTTTCCGCCTATTTTTTAATTCACGAAATTTTGGGAAGGTTTTAAATAAGTTGCAATTATAAATGCGCGTTTATAAATAAATGCTATTTTGGGTCTTCGCGCAGCACTTAGCTTTTAGTAAAAAAGGAATTATTGTATTCTTTTCTTTTACAAATATCTATGCATCCTTTCCTCCGAAAATCGACCCATACTGCCCATAATTTTGTTTTGCCTGTCCACTGGGTGGCTCTTTTTTACTTTCTTCCAAAATGTCTCTGATCTAAATGATGATCAATAACACCTCGCAAAAACAAAAATTGCAATTAATGTACGAATTATTTAAAGGAATTTTTTTTTATTAAAAGTGTGAAAACCACCCCGAAACTAATGGGTTTTCGAAACTGTAAACTTCCGCCCAATCTAATTTAATTACAATTCAAAATCATTCTAATAAAGCGTGACCATAGAATTCTTTATACAATTAAGTTGTTAGTCCAAAGTTTGCTAAGGAAATGGAGAATAAAAATGATAGTGAAAATTGTACAACAAAATTATTAATGTCGCAACAACCAAAAATAACAACAACTAATACTAATAAAGGACCATTACTACAAGGTGGTTGTTTATCTGCAGGTTTTTGGACTGGTGGCACAGCTGCAAGTTGGCGTAACTCTGCTGGTATTTTTTTAAGTAAATAATTTATAAACAATTTAATTTAAGGATCAAATCCAGTCGTTTCTCCGGCCCGTCAAGTTGAGAATTCCCCTTCACCGCAATTGGCATTACCGAGTGAAGATTCATCAAATGCTTCGTCAACTTCAGCACATTCTTCCCCTCTTGTATCACCTCATCCTAGCACTGATCAAAGTCTTCAAACAACTTCTGAATTTTCTGGCGATCGTAGTGAAAGAGCTGGTGGCTCACTTCCGGTTGGACAAATTACAAATTTTTCTTATCCTTCTCCAATCTCTTCTAAATCAGTGAAAAGTAACGGCCTGCCATCAACAACATCAGAAACAGCAATACTTAATGAAGGAGACAAGAACCTCCAGGCGTTTTTAAAGGCATTTTATTATTTCCGCATTTATTCTTAAAATTAACCACTTAATATAGGCTATTGAACAACATAAACTGGCACAGCCAGTTTCTGATCAGGACAAACAAAAAATTTTGACATGGCTCAAAGATGACATGACAACAATGGAAGGTACTACTATTGAGTTATTGCCTCATCCTTTGATAAATGAGGTAGTTCAATTTTATTAAATTACAATTTTTATCTGTTTGATTATAATTCGATTCGAATATAATCAAACACCATACCACTTTTCTATTACTTCCTTAAAATTGGTCATGCAATTTTTTGATTTTTTAAATATTGAAGACGTGAAATGAAAAGTTTAGAAAGAATTATGGGCTATCGATGGAATGAGGAAAGAGATATTAGGCTAGTAGGAAATTCCTTCCAAAATAGCAAGTGGTCCTTCGAATTATGTGTACTATGTCTAAAAGATGTTTCTTTGTGACGAAAAAACATTAAAAGATGTTGGACGGATTAAAAGAAGATCGACCACATTACTTTTCTGAAATTTAAAGTCCTCTTGAGTCTTCACACCTATAATAACAACAACAAACATTCCTCGATCGCTATCCGCCTGTTCTTTTATGGACGCCACCCAACACTATCTAGCTTTCTCAAAGCCACATTCCAAAGCATTGGCCATTTACTTCTCTATTACTGCTAACTGCTATTATAATCCCAAAATCTTAAGGAAGGCAAAGTCAATAGTTTCTTATTTACTGATCAGCCATTAAATTCTTTATTACTGGCAATTGTCTTCGGCTCAGCATTCCATTGATGATGGATTTTTTCATTGTTTTCTTCTCTACTTTATTAATTCCATTTTTTGCTATATTTTAAGAGGATTTTATAAATTTTTTGATAATAATTAATCTATTCTTCCATCATACCTAATCAAAATTCGTCGAAAATCTGATCCCGCCGCCCTTATTTGGCGGAGTGCCACTACATCAACAACTGCTAATAACGATGTAGCTGAACCGCTAATACGGAAATGGTCAACAAAATCCAATTGCAGTGGAAGAGGGGGTGCCGATCACCATCAGCTGAGAACTTTGCGGGAGCAGATGGTTTGCAACAAGAGTGCTGGTAATGTTGCCAGTAAAGGGAGGTGAAGAATTGAACTTTGATTAGTTGAAGATCTAAATGAAAAATTTATAGAGGCAGTACATCCAGTTGCGGCTCTCGACCACTTCTTCCATTTCTTGTAAATCATAGTGATTCAGCTATTGGTTCTTCCCTTGATGGATCTTTCTCCTGCTCTTTTCTGCCACCACCTCCTCCTTATCGACCACCCTGTTCTACTGCATCAGGAAGCGATGACGTATTTGGTGCTGCAGAGCAACAACAAAAAGCACCACAAGGGAAAGATTTTACATCATTGTTAGGATTTGATACATTAGTACTCCCATCATCAACGAGCACCAGAAGCGGAAGTGAAGAACAGAAAAATAAACAGCATACACCAGCACCAACGAAAATCATGCAAAAAGATTCGGTGCAATTGGAACCATCTATAATAACACCAAAGAATAATCAATGTTCAGTTAATAATAATCATTGTTTGTCAACTAATGATTGCTTAGCAACTAATTGTTCATCAATAAAAAAGTTTCCTCCTGAAAAAAATCAACAGATTTTACCCTCAACCAATCAAAAATCGCAGTCTTCATCTCATATATTCCAATGTAACAATAACATACAATTGGAGCAAGTAAAAAAAATTTTTTTTAATTATCCCTTTATTGCCATTTCAATTTTTCATTTTCATCAGCACATGATATATGTAAAATTGCCATTTCTTCTTAAGAATGCCAAAAATTATAAGGTTATTAGTTCAGGAAGATGAGGGTTATTTAGACGGATAAAAGAGGAAAAGAGCGAGTGAGCCAATTCTCTTTTTTACAAATTGGAGAGAATAAATGAGGACCATGGCCATTTCAGTTATTTATTAGCATTCCTTTTACCTATTTTTTGGTTACTAGTAATTTCATCCTCTTGAAATATGCAATATAAGCTTGGTTTATATCTGGACCAAAGAGCTTACCGCCTAGCCATCCGTATCCGGTCGTTCGTTTCTCTTCAACGAGCTTTATTACATGGAGTGCCAATTACAGCCATTTCTAGCTTTTTGGCATTTTTAAATCTTTTTCTTTCTACTTTTCATTTCACGTCCATTTTAGAATTTTCTCAGGTACTCTATTTTCATTTTCTAAATTTCATTTTTTGTTTTTTCTTTTTCAATATTTTGAGTGTAAGATGCGTAAAAAATTAAACGAAAACGGGATTTAAAAAGCCACTAATTACAGTAGTCGACATAAAGATAGGGACAAGAGTAATTTAAATTTAAATTCTTAATTTTTCATTCAAAAAATACGTTCTATATATCAATCGAAAGCTCTATTCGTATCTCAGTTGACATGTTTCTGCATTTTTCATGAAATCGAAAATTGGTCGAGATAATCCGGATCTACCGGATATACCAAATCCCATATCCTCGGAAAAATTTTTCGGAAGAAATTTGACAAACCCATTTGATAAAGCATATTTTTGTGAGTATTTTCCACAAAACCGCTTAAAAATATCTTTGTCCGGTCCAGAGATATGATTTTTTGAGAATCGCATTTTTCCCTTAAAAATTGAATTTTTTGCAAAAATTGACGAAAAATGCGATTTTAAAAAAATCATATCTCTGGACGGGACAAAGATATTTTTAAGCGGTTTTGTGGAAAATACTCACAAAAATATGCTTTATCAAATGGGTTTGTCAAATTTCTTCCGAAAAATTTTTCCGAGGATATGGGATTTGGTATATCCGGTAGATCCGGATTATCTCGACCAATTTTCGATTTCATGAAAAATGCAGAAACATGTCAACTGAGATACGAATAGAGCTTTCGATTGATATATAGAACGTATTTTTTGAATGAAAAATTAAGAATTTAAATTTAAATTACTCTTGTCCCTATCTTTATGTCGACGACTGTATATTAATTAGTATTTTTGTTGCGTATGTTCAGCTAAAGAACAAGACTCCCCAAATGCATCCAATTTGGCCAAATATCCTTTAGAAATTGAAGAGGATATTGCCCCCAGAAATGAAAAGAAATGGAAGAGACTCGCTCAGGAAATGGGAAAAAGGCGGACATTTATGGAACCAAACAAAATTGAATGAAGAAGACGCCTGTTTCTTCTTCTAATTTTGGCCAAATTACTTGGTGACATTGATGGGGACAACGGTTTTTTATTGTGTACTAGCTTGGTCTTTTGGGAGGGATTATGGATCGAAGTGAGTGCCGTACACATATTTCTCTCCCGCCTGGGACCAGTTCGATAAAGACGGCACTCCCTCTCTCTTTCCCTTCCAAGTAATCTGTTTAAGGCGCCCGCCTGTAGCATTAGTAAAAGCATTGTAAATGTTTATATCAATTCCTTTTTCTTTTAATTTTTGTTTTGTTTATTGACAAACGATCTTTCTAACATTCAAATTTCTTATGCATAACTTTTCATATAAAATTCTATTTTAAATTTTAAATCCCTTGTTTTTTATAGAGCCCTTCTCCAATTGCTATGTCATGTTCAGAGTTTCATTGCGATGATCGTGAACGTGTCCAGCATTTACTTGCTTCCCGTGACAGGTTTCTGTACTTTCCATATACAACATACATTTATTTAATTTTAATTTTCAGCCTTTCATTAAAAGTAGCAATGCTCACTAAACAAGTAGCATTTCAACGAGAAAAAATTCACGAGATGGAAACGATGCTTAATTCTCGTCATAATGATGGAGTAAACAATAAACAAAATAGCAATGAATTAATTGAACCAATTGCTCAAGAATTAGCTAATTTACAACATAAGAATTTGGCATTAGAACGTGAAAAACTTGAAGCTGAACGGAGCTTAAGACTTTCAAATGTGAGCACCTTATTTTTATAAAATCTATTACAATATTCATAGAGTGAATTGGAACATTATGTTTCCGAACAGCCGTCTTTATCAAAGACTCAACGATCGAAAAATTGCAATGACACTTCTGTGAACCAAGCTGAAATGGAAAGGCTACAACTGGCAATTCAAAGGCTATTGGCCGATAATGAACAAAAAGTAAGATATTAAAAAACCTTTCTTTAAAAAATTTCAATTTTTGGGACTCTCAAATCCAATCTTTACGCTCTGCTCTTGATGAACAGCGACGGATAGGTATGATGAATGGAAGTGAATGTTCTACACCACCTTTGGCTTTCCGCAATCTGCAACAATCACCGCCAGACATAAACGAGCAAATTAGGCGTATCCTTTTCAACGGAGATAATGGTCAACATTTTCAACAAAATACTCAACAAATGGCTCATTCCAATTCATTCCCTTTAAGTTTATGCTCAACTGTTGCATGTTCTAGTAGTCAACAAACAGTACCACGCATTCACCATCAACAACAAAATTCTCATCAGCATTATCAACAATCATTCCCTGCCTTTATGCCTATGTCAAACTCATTTTCGTTTTCACCAGGCTCTCAGCAGCAACAAATAGTTGCTTATACTCCGCCACTTTGGAGAGTTTCTTCACCACCTACAATTCCTCCACATTTGGGCCACTCTTCAAAGTATGTTAATGAATGATCATGCATTCTATTGTATTTTTCAACAAACTATCGTTACTTTTTATAGACCACAAGCTTCTCCAATGGCTCGTAAACTGGCTGCTGAGCTTGATGAACTACGTCGTTCGGGTGCACTTTTATCAAGTAGCGGAATACATCATCATCCACAATATTCTAGTTCAAGTCTTCCTAGGTCTATACATTCGAAGGTTCTTCTATTTGAAAAATTTGCTTGGGTATTTTATATTTTGTTTTAGTCTAATTCACTTGGCTTTTGCGCACCAAAGCTGGCCTATCAACAACAACCGAATATTTACGGAGGTGAGTTAGTATTGAGTAAAATGAGGACAGCAAAGGAAGATGAAAATTTTTCAACCCTCCAAAAGTTAAAAAAAGGATTAAGAAATAGTTTCCGTGGTCGAGCACGATCTTTCGACAAAGATAAAGAGAAGTTATCAAACCGGCGGTCCCGATCTACGCCAAGTTTTGCTGGTGACAGAGAAACACAGTTAATGTTAGAACCTGACGAAAATCGTAAGTGACTTGAGTAAGCTCCAATTTCTGTTTACTTGCTTGGTTATTTACAAAATTATGGTGACGGTTTTCTTTATTTTATATTTTAGTTTATTTAATATACTGTCCTTATTTTACGCTTTATTTATGCTTATTAGTTAATTCTAATTTTTATTTTTAGAAAGCGATGACGAAAATGCCTCTCGTTTCTCTTCATCTGCAAGTAATTCTCAACAAAATGGCAGTAGATTTAATCATAACAAAAAAGAAAAGCGAGTAAGACGACCACGTTCTACATTACGTTCATTCCTTGGTAAATTTGCTCATCGTGGAAATTCTCTCCAGGATTTAAGGCCATCACCTCGGTTTGTTTTAAGATTTGCAAAACAGTTTATATTTTTTTAAATTAAAGTCTGCCTTCACCTATTTCTTTTCTTAATACAAATGTACCAGTTCAAAAAATTGATTCAACATTGATTTGTTTAAATCCTCATATTAAACAATTTGTTGAATGGGATGGGCACAAATGTACTCGGTGGCTTATTGAATGTGGATTTGATGGTTTCATTTTTGATGCTATTCATAGTGGGCGCCACTTATTAAATATGTCGGACAAAGATTTTGAGCGTGATTTGGGAATTAAAAGTGCTTTACAAAGAAAAAGATTGAAATGTTTGCTGACTAGAATTGAGAAAAAAATTGATAATGGTGAAATCGAAGCTGTTGATAGGCTTGACACTAATCAGGTATGTGTACAATTTTCATCGAAAATAATTAATGCATTATTTTAAAGGTTATGATTTGGTTGGATCTGATAGGATTGCCTCAATTTAGAGATCTTTTTGCCAGTTATCGAATGGATGGCCGTGTAAGGTCCAGAAAAGATTAATAAATTAATTTTTTCATTAGTTGCTACTCGAATTATCAGCACAAGATTTATTAGAACTTGGAATTCATTCAGCATTGAATCACGCATCATTGGCAAGAGCCATACAATTTTTGCGATCTGCAGAATTTCATCTTCACCGAATGGAGGAGCATTTCAATACGGTAGAATTTTAATTTCTTAGATTTTGCCCAAATATCCCAAATATCATAGGATTCATTGACCAGAACTTCTGTGCCTAATGAAGTGGAACGTTGGAGTCATGGTTGTACTCTTGGTTGGCTTTGTAGCATTGATCTTTCTGAGTTTACACGTAAATTTTCTTTTGATTTTCATGCATTCTCTTAAAAATTTATAGAAAATTTGGCCTTCTCCGGTATCCACGGTGCATTGCTTGTGTTAGAGCCTACATTTACATCAGAATCACTCGCAGAATTATTACAAATTCCAGTACAGAAAACTTTACTTCGACGTCATTTAACAACACAATTCAATACCCTTCTTGGTCAAAAAGTACAATTCATTGTGTTAATCATTTAAAAATTAATAATTAAACACTAGGTGATAACCCACAAGAGAGATGTAGTTTCACAACCTTTTGTAACACATTTAACGCCTTCACTACGTATAAAGGTTTAAATGTATTTTATATATTTTTATACCTTAAGTTTAATCTTTCAGTTAGCAAAAAAAGGTGTCGGTGTTGGTTTTTCATTGTCACGGAAAAAGTCAAAGTCTGATATATTTGTCGAGCCAGAAGTTCGAGTATGCCCAGCTGAGGCGAATGGAAATACTGGTGAGGCAATTACCAATGTTTAATTTTGATAAATGTCTCAATTAATTTAAAATCAAATTTTATTTTCTTTTTTTTTGTATTTATCTTTTTGTACTTTATGTATTAAAAAACATTCATAATATGACGCATTTTGCCAGAATGACCCACCGTCATTTAGTAAAAATGTCTGGCCATCGAAAATATTAAACGTCTTAATAAAAAGCCATAACGTTCAGATACGTCAAATAGTCAAAGTTATTAAACAGCGCATCGACGCCTTTGCGATCAAGTGACGAACTAATTTCTGCATTTTTACGTTACCACGTGGTTAAAATATTTGTTTTTAAACACGAGTTATAATTTGATTCAAATTTCCTGTTTTTATAAACAAATATGTAGCTAATTTTATGTCATATTTTTTATCGTGTGAGCTTGATAAATTTGTTTAATATATCTTAATAATCATGAGATCAAAGTGCGCAAACATGTAAATTAAATATTTAATTATCAACAAAATACATCAATCAAGTACAAAATAAAATTTTTTTGTCAAGGAAGGAGGATGATGAAATAATTGACTCTAATTTTTTCATAGTTCCATCATTTTTTACTTGTTTCGTTGAAATTTTAACTGTTCAAATATGGAAATGTTTTGACAAATTTGGTAAAAATTTAATTGGTATATTAAAAATAGAATTTTAATTTTAGTGTTAGTACGAGTTGATCTTCAGGGTGTTTATTTGATATTTATTTAGAGTTGTTGGTTTATTACTATGTGGATGATTATCATTTTTTAATCCTTTATTAGTTTGATGAATGCCACCATAGAAACGAAGTTACATTTAAAGTGGTATTTGTTCATCTTTATGGGTTTATTAAAGTGTCCATTAGCCTGTAGCGCATTTGCTTTAAAGTAAGCTTTAACTTTTACTAAAGAAAAAATGTTTTTGTCTCAACTACATCAATGTTCATCACTTAAACATAATCCGCAATTAATCAACAAATCGATCTTAATTACACAATATTAACAAAAACAAAAACATAGCAATAGAATTTTCTCTTTCATTGCTTTATTAGATTTCTTCAATGCTTTTGCATTTTAAATTTCATTTGAATTCAACGCTTTTTTAAATATTTAATGTCTTTAAAATATTTCGTAGCATGGTCAATTAGTAAAGACGAACAACATGATGAAATTTTATGTCGTTGAATCGAAAACCGTCAAATATTTGCGCCTAATCCACTGAAATATTTTTGCATTGAAAAACTTTTTTTACTAATTTGTTGATATTTCTTCGATACTCTGGTCAACATGATGCAATTTTCATCGACAGACCAGGCTGGATTACAGCCAATAGTATATAACGTTTTTGGGTCCTTAACAGGTTTTCAGTTTTGTCTCTACTATCAAATTACATCAAGTTTGTATTTCATTGAATTCGCGCATTTTTGTAGTCTATGTAGATATTTTAAACGTCCTTTTTTAACCATATAAGTGAGCGAAAGAATTTTATTAATGTCATCATCTTTGTGTTGATCATGTATTTATTCTTATTTCGTCGCCACGTGCGACTTGTTCCCATTCCCACAGAGACCAAACTAATCATTCTTATTTCCTTATTTGTCAATTTATAATTTCTTCGATGAAAAAGACACGCGTTTCTACGAATGACGCTTTTGTGCTCGAGAGAAAGGAGACAGTTGAAATAAGGTGCATATAAATAATTGAACGAATGAGACTAAAATCAGTTCTTTCAACCAGTCCTAAAAAATTTTTTCACTTATTTTCTATTTGTCTTTATTCTCCTGTAAATAGCTAATAATGCGCTTAGTATGCTAACAATAAACACATTTGCTAAACATTTGCATATAATTGGCATTCCAATAATTATTTTTTATACATAATCCTCTATTTTTAATTATCTTTTCTAATTTTAGATTTATATTTACAAAACTCGCGCACATTTATTATTAAACAACAATGCATACCAATTCTATTGAAAAATTGACAGCTTCTTCCCCATCCGTTTCTAACAACCCATTAATGGAACAAGAAAAACAGTTGAAACGAAAACGCCAAAGAAGACCCCAGCAACGAGATTTATGCAAAACTTTTGCCGCATTGGCCACGTTACAAGATAACCAATTGAAATCAAATTATAGGAAAGCTTCAGCTGCAGCATTGGTTAGTAATTATGAAATAGTTACGAGATTATTACATCATTTAATGAAATTAGCTTGAAAGAGATTGAAAATTTTACTTTTATCTGTTTTTAATTACCAGTATTAATTATGCTAGTATAAAAGTTTTTAAACATTAAATCAATTTTTAATTTCCTTTTAGCACATGAAGATGCCAAAACTGACAGTTTCATCACAAACTAAACCAACTAACCAATGGAAACCTATGACAGCTTCAATCCATGCTCAAACTACAGTAAATCCAATTCGTCGAGTTACTGATTGTATGTCTGTGCCAGCTAATCCAGACAAAGAACCTATCAGATTAAATCTTGGTGATCCAACATTGACGGGATGTTTACCACCTAGTGAGGCAACAATAAATGCAATTAAGAATGCAGTGGATTCGCACAAATTTGATGGTTATGGGCCTGCTGTTGGAACTCTTTCTGCTAGGGCAGCAATTGTTGAGGTACTATTCTAAGTTGAGTGGGACTGGAATTAATTTTAATTGTTGCAGAAATTTTCAACACCTGAAGCTCCATTTACTGCTGATGATGTAGTTTTGGCTTCAGGTTGCTCACATGCTTTAGAAATGGCTATTGTTGCTATTGCTGATCCAGGACAAAATATTCTTGTTCCAAGGCCTGGCTTTCCTTTGTATTCAACATTGTGCCAACCGAATGGAATTGAATCTAGGCAATATAGACTGGAAATGGATGATAAAGGATTAATTGATTTGGCCCATTTGGAAAGCTTAATTGACTCACAAACACGTAAGGAATTGATAAAATAATTTTTAGACTAAATTAACTTTTTAGGAGCTATAATTGTTAACAATCCTTCAAACCCGACAGGAGTGGTTTTTCCAAAGGAGCATTTGGAACAAATTTTGGAATTGGCACAAAAATACAAGGCAAGTTTTAATTTAAAATGAATCTAAAATCTTGATAAATCTTATTATTTCTTAATTTTCACATTTTCAGATTCCTATAATTGCTGATGAAATTTATGGTGATTTGGTATATGCTGAAGGCGCCCGTTTTCATCCTATGGCAACATTAAGTCCTCATGTCCCAATAATAACTTGTGATGGAATTGGAAAAAGATATCTGGTCCCTGGGTGGAGGCTTGGTTGGCTAATTATACACGATCGTTGCGGAGGCGTCTTGTCTGAAATAAAGAAGGGAATCGTTGCTTTAAGTCAGAAGATTGTTGGACCATGTGCACTAATTCAAGGAGCTTTGCCAAGCATTTTAAGAGATACGCCTTCCGAATTCTTTGACAACACTAAAAAACTTTTGGCTTCAAATGCTTCTATAGTATATGATAAATTAAGTAGAGTTCCTGGATTGAGACCATTGAAGCCACAAGGTTTTTGAATTAATAATTTAAAATAAAGATCGTATTATTAAGGTGCCATGTACATGATGGTTGGATTTGATCCTTCTCTCTTTGGTGATGAGACTAAATTTGTGCGTGGTCTGATTTCTGAAGAAAGGCATTAAAGATGATTATTCTTACAAGTAAAATACATATATTTTTTAGTGTTTATTGCTTGCCTGGCTCCGCCTTCTCTTTACCAAATTGGTTCCGTCTTGTATTAGCCTTTCCAAATGAAACAACAACTGAAGCTTGTGAGAGGATTGCGGCCTATTGTTCTCGACATTTACGCCCATGTGTAGAAAGATTGGAAGCAACAATGTCAATTAAAAAGAAGAATAAAGGAGGAAGGCATGAAGAAAATGGACAAGGTTCAGAAGAATCATCCCCTATTGCAACTGATGATAATGAAAGTAGCAGTAATAATGAAAATAGTAGCGATGATAATGATGGAGAAAATAATGAATGAATGAAAAAATGATTGGACAAAATATTTTTTGAAAATAACCCAGCTACTAAATTATCTCATCCTTTACTATATAATTTAATTCACCATATATTTATTGGATTTATCTCAAAATAATCACTCGTATATTTCTAAAAATTAATTTCTTTATTATTTATTATACCTACATATGTATGTTATATTGTATTTATATATTTTTCTATTCATAATAAATTATATATTTATTACTATTGAATCTTACCAGTCTATAGCAGGGATGTCACGGGTTAAAAAAAAAGTCGGGTCGGAAAATTTTCTTCGGTAGGGGCTTCGGTTCCTCTCGGTTCAGGTAAAGGGGATTAAAAGGTGCAAGCCTGGTTTGCGGGTGGAAAATTTTTCGGATCGGGTATATCGCGTAACCCGTGACATTTCTAGTTTATAAGCGAAGAAATTAAACGTTACTAAAGGTTGGTGATATCCTGGATATTTAGTTTTAATTGTTTGTCTTTGCTTAATTTAAAGATTAATTAAGAATAATTTTTAATTTTTTAAAGTTGAATTAAAGATGTTCAAAGCCAATCTCTTAACTCGAAATACATAAAAATTTTCGAGTGATCTTTTACATTTATATTCTGTTTATTAACTTTGTTGAAATATATTTTATAAAACAAACAAAATATCTTTAAAGTATTTAAAAATATAAATTTTTTAAAAAATTTTTTTAAAGTACATAAGAATGTTCTTGAGACGACCTAATGTTTATTTGCTAAATTTAATTATGAAATTTAGAATAGTCTAAAGAATGGTCTATACAAATTCTCTACAAATTCTGTAGACTTTTTTGTCTATAATTTGAGGGAATAATTGATTATGTTTATTTCCACAAATCTTTTACCAAAAATTATTTCCAACAACATTTTGTGCAGGTGAATATATATACCTAAAGTTAAATCCTTCAAATTTTTACTTTTTTTTATTAGCATCTCTCTCGAGTGTATGTAAGCTTTTTAAGCGAATACTTTCTTTCCTGTCATTCATTTTTTCTCCGGAAGAAGAAAAGCTCATCCCAATACAATAATTACTCTAGATATACAATTCTATCTTTTAATTTTTCTTTTTCTCTTAGTATAACGTTATTAAATTGTAGAACCCATGTCAGAAATATATAATCTTTAAACTTAATAATGGCAAATTTCCCTAAAATGTCCATATAACTTTGTTTAAATTAAATTGAATAATCCAACATTTTGTTTACTATTTTTACGTTTATTTTTAAACTTAAAATTGTAAATTTATGTGGGCTTTTGATATAAGTTTTTTTGCTGCTTTTCAAAGTCCTAATCCAATTTTTTCTTTATTGCGATAAAAAGATGTGCCTTTCCCTTTTTAAATAGGAAAAAAGGGAAAGACAATCCAAAAATACAAAAAAGTTAAGGTAAATAAAAGGCTAAAATATTTGACGATTTTCTATTTTTACCTTATTTTTTTCCTAAAATATACATAAAACAAAAATAAGAATAAATTTTAAGATAAAAATGTCTTCTAAGGAAGAAATTAATCAAAATTATTGCTGGCAATTAGCAGAAAATACTAATGAATCTCCAACACCTTCTTCTACTCAAATACGTCCATTCTCTGCCTCAGTTTGTTGCAGACCGGTCTCTAGACGTTCAACACCGACAACAAAAACAATATCATCAGCAATGGGATCTCCTAGATCAAATCGACAATCAATAGGAAATCATTCTCCTTTACATGTTGCTGCAATTTTTGCGAGAACTGCGAGGGCTGCTATAGGATCTGCGACTGGATCTGATTCAGGATTGATTCGGTCTATTTAATTAAAAAATAATTAAAATTATTTTTAAAAATTTAAGAGATGAATCTGTTCGTTTATTTATGAATTCAGACGAGGTTTTTAAAGCATGGGAAGAAAATATGAGAATTAATCCCGATGAAAAGGAAATAAATAATGGAGGGCAAGGTGTCCGAAAAAATGCGTCTTTGCACGAAAAAAGGAATGAAGCAAAAAATGGAACAAAAACAATGCGTTCAAAGAAAATGCAGAGGGTAAGTTGTAATAATTCAAATCACAGTGAGCCTAGAAAAACCTGAGAAAATTTTTTAATAAATGTTTTCTTACATGGGTTATCTTTCTAATGTAAATTTTTATTTTAGACGTTGTCAACGAACATAATAAGTAATGAATTTGAAAAAGAAGATAACGAGGATGAAAAAGAATCATCAATGTCACCAGCAGAAATTAAAAAATTTAGAGTAATTAATAATTAATATTTTTTAATTTAAATATTTTTAGAGTTTATCACAAAACCAGAAAATAATAATTAATAATGATGATACTTTTACTGATGAAAAGCTAGGATATAACTCATCTGATATTATTGTTGGGACTGCCTTAGAAATTAAAAAAGTTTCATTAGAAAATGATTATAGAATTATTGGAGGAAAGGTCGTAAGAAGATTTCTGATTTAATAAAAAATTATTTTTATTAGATTAATGATGGCAAATTCGGAAATAATTTAGTTATTAAAAATATAATTGCAGAACATAAACAATCAAGACAACAAATTGCTCTAAAATTTTTTGCTCGTCCACAAACAAAATTGGTAAATTTTCAATGTTTACTCTACACTATAATTAATTTTAAATTTTAAGAATAATTTTCTTCGAGAATATGAAGTTTCACGGTATAAAATTTTCAATAAAAAAGAAAAATTTAAATTTTTTAAGTTTTCTTTGTGCTCATTCAAATATTGTGGATACATTCGATGGATATTTTGAGGCACGTTGGTTTTCTAAAGAAATCCTCTCAAACTAAATCCAAATTACATATTAAAATATTAATTAATATTTTAGACAGACGATGAAAGTGCCTTCTTTTTCGCTCAAGAACCAATTATTTGCAACTCTCAAACATTGAGAGATTTATTAAATGCAAATCCTGGAGGTAAATCAATTAAAGATACATACCTAAACATAATTTTTTTAATTTAAAGGATTAGGTGAGAATGCCACAAAGGCAATTATCAGCAAAATACTTGCAGCCTTAGAATTTATTCATTCCAAGTGCCTTGTCCACAGAGCCATTAAAGCTGAAAATATACTTATTGGTGATCCTGGAAAATTTACACGGGTTTACTTGTAATAAAAAATTTTTAAAATCAAAATTTAAGGTTAAATTAACTGAATTTGGCAAAGTTCAACCAGTTGATTCAATTATTCGACATGCGGAACTTGTTGGCTCTTATCATCCACCCGAACTTTGTGAACGCGTTCCAAATGAAAGTTACTCTGTTACAAAACAAACTGATATTTGGGCTATTGGTAATTTAAAAACTCTTTTTAATTAAAATTGTTTTTGAAGGTATATTAATTGCTTATTGTATGAAAGGAAAGTTTCCATGGCAAAAGGCTACAATTATGTGCAAACCATTTTATGAATGGGATCAATGGTTATTGTAGACTTTTAGGAATAAAATTTAAAAAATTTAGGATAAAAAGAAAAGCTGTTCAACAACCCAAATATTGGGATTCATTTCCTGATAAAGCAATGAGAATGTTTAAACATTCATTAAACCCAAAGGTATTTAAAAAACAAAAATTCTTTTAACAATTTATAAACAGCCTAAAGAGCGCTGGGATGTAAAGGAAATAAGAAAATTTATTGAAAAAGAACGACTTTCAAAAAATAAAAATTCTTCGGATGATGCTGTTTATTATCCAGATGAAGGTATTGGATCAAAAATGTTAGAAATTAACGGAAAACAATCAAAAAAGACTTCAACTATTGGACAATGTAAAGTTTTATTTAAAAATTAAAAAAATGAGAAATTAAATATAAATTTAGGGATTAACAATACATTAAATACAATGAGCGAAATAAGTGAACAAGTGGTTTCAGCAAGGGACGATGATTGAGAGACAAAATTTTCGATTTATATAAATACTATTAGCTCTTTAAAAATATTTAAATGTGCCTAAATATTTTAATCTTTGCTCTGTATTTTATTCTCAAAGTGATCTACTATTCTTGTTGAAGTTCTTCAATCTCGTCACATAGTTCGGAGAAAACAAATTTTCCCAAAATTTTGGGTTGCCTTGAATTAAGTATTTATAAAACCTACGCCATTTAATTTTGTACCTTTTTGATAGAGATCCTTCACTACTTAATCCTTTGCTTTTTTTTTCAATAATGGACCAAAGTTTTGCACATTTTTCACAGCTCATTTTAGCCTGAGTTGTTTTATCAGTCATTTCATGTTTATTTTCACTTTGAGTTTGCATAATATTATGTTGCCGCCAGCCGATTTGTTCACAGCCATAATTAATTTGATCAAATTGTGGAAACAAAAGTGCGTCTGCCTCGTTTAAATTTGATAGTGATGGAGAAGGATTATTGGGATTTGTTGATGTGGGAATTGCACCGAAATTAGGGAAAGATGAGTTTTTAAATGGAATTTTAAATTGAGCAATCTCTGAAGTGTTGCCGCCGGCCGATCTGTTCACAGCAACAACAGATGAGGTTAACATATTTGAATAGCCCAACTAAATGTTGGGGAGATCATAGATTTTGACCTATTATCAGGAATTATACCTCCTCGATTTGCTGATCGAGTGAGTCGGAGTAACTACGTTCCATCGCAGGACCCCAATCTATCATTACCTGAATAGATTCGAAATATTTTTTACTAGAAAATTTTTGCCTTTCCGCATAGGACAGTACCAACAACAATAAGCACGGGCCCTGATAGCCACACCTTTCGAATTAATTTATAATTTTTAGCTCCTTAATTTTTAATATCACCTTTCCAATCTGAGATTCCTTTTGAAAAACGGCGAAGATTGTAAAAACAACTCCGGAAAGGATAAGAAACAGAGCAACAATGCCATAACTATTTCAAGTAATTAATTCGTAAATCCATCTAATACCTGAAAAGATGAAGCTGATGTCGATGCACTCGGCCGAGGCAGCAACACCAAAACATAAAAATAGCCACCTGATTTGGCGACTGTGCGCATCAAGCTTTATGTGGTGCTTGATCGCTTTTCACTTCTTTAATATTTGCACCTTTTTATAGCAAAGAAGTTGATAAAATGTAGATGATGGGGATAAAATTATGACAAAAAGACGTATGTATGTATAAATTTAAATTTTAAAATCAATTTATTATTGCACCCTTGAATTATAAGAAATTACCTATATTTTAGGGAAATAATGTGGGAAATCTAGACTTCAGCTAAATAAAAATTTAATTTAAAGAAACAAAAAATAAAAATTGAAAGAAACAAGTCTGTGGGAAAACAGACAATGAGAAAAGTATTTCGAGAAACAAATTATTCTTTGTCATTTTCTTTCTTTAGAAAAAACAAACAACGGCACATTTAGACAGACTTAATGAACATGGCCAAATTTTTAAAAATAGAAACTGAATGGGAGCTAAGCAAATAAAGGATAAAATGTTTATGAAATAAGGTGAAGAATTAAGAAGAAAAAATCTATAATAAAATAACAGAAAAATATACCTTATTATACTTTAGATATTTCTGGTTACGGTAGCCTACAGGAATGCTTGTAATATTTTCAAAATCCTGTAGTACTTAAAAGTATATTTTAGATGTTTTTAGAATATGATGAATTGGCAGATTAGTGAGAGAAAAGCAAAGACAAATGAATATGGCCATTAAAAGGAATAGCAGAGCCTGCCAAAGACAGCATTCGCACCCTGCCCCGAGGCAAGAAGGCCCTTTGCATTTTTTGACGGGCCCGCTTATTTTTACTGAAGCTAGCGTAGTTTGTGGAAATTGAATTTCAGAGACAAAGAGGAACAATGCCGTTTAAACATAAAAACTTACGTGTATGTGTAACAAAAAAATATAATATTTATAAATACAATGCGCGGATTTTTTTGTGCCAATAAATTTTAGTAGCTCTATATAAAAAATGTTGTAAAAAATTTAATACTCCATAAAAATAGAATATAAAAATTAAATTATTTATTTATCATTACTATTGAAATAAAAAATTGTGAAAAGTCGTGGATAAAACATATAAAATGATAAACTTTTCATTGTATATTTAATATGTTTGAGAATAAAGCCACCGGTTCATATGTATAAGATAAAATGAAGTGATATTGATGTAAAAAGAATATAAGGCTTTAAACAATAACCCTAACTTAAAAATACTTCTTAATGACGGATTTATTAATTTGGAATAAAACAAGCCTTTTTATTCAATTTAACGAACTAATTAAAAAGAAATTTAAAAAATTAGCTCGGACCAGAAAAAAGAGAGGCACAATTAGAAGAAGTTATAATTTATTAACAATAAATAAAGGAAAATAAATAAAAGAAAATGAGAAATTAATTAATTGAAATAGAATTTTTATGAATTAGAATTTAAAAACATAAATATGTAAAACAATTCTTTAAAAATAATAATTAGAAAATGAAAGGACGGGATTGTCTGTAAGTGTCACCTAAACGGATTTCGAAAGAAGTAAAAATATTTGAAATTTATAAAAAACAACTTTTTTAACTAACCGTAAAAATATAAGCTTATTGTTAGAATAGTAAAAATTCATGAGTTGCACTAAAAATTTTTTTGGGGAAAAGGAATAAAAAAACAAATATTAAAATAATGGACGTTAATTTGTATTGCAAATTAAATAAAACCTTTAGGCGGCCGGGGGAGGTTGAATAATTGCGGGCATCTGAACATCATTGCCTTCATCCTTTTTTTGACGTAAAGGAGGTTTAAGAACGTTACGAGCGTTTTCCTCCTCTTTATCATCTAGCTGTTGTTGTTCAGGCGGAGCGGGCTGTTTTGGATTGGGTTGTACTTCATTCTGTTGGTTAGCCGTATCATCCTCATCCTCGTCTTCACTCTCCAAATTTTCCCCAGGAATAGGAGCTGGCACCGAAGGGTTGTGAAACTCGTTACGCACCTAATTGTAATTGTGATAAATAGAGATTAAAAATGTAAATTTTAACACGTAAAAAGAGGCATAAAATTTCGTATAATAAAGAATTACCATATTAGTAATATCGCTTTGTTTGTCCATACATTCAAGAATGTATTCCATCATTTTGTGAAGACGCCTCTCCAATGCTGTATAGTGTTTAAAGGCAAGTATGGGAAAAGCTGGGTCCTTGGAAAGCGATCTAAAATGTTTTATAATTCTTGAAAAATTTAAATCATACTCGTGCAAAGTCTCAGAAAGTCCTTTATCAGCAGTATAGTATCCAAATAGAGTGGACAATGTTTTAGGCTTTATTAAACAACACTGACGCAAAGGCATTAAAATGTCGGCATCATCAAAATTCGTTTTACCAAAACTGAAAAATTTGAAAATAGAGAATTTTTTCATTTTTAGGAATTCATATTACACGTTTCAAAAAAATTTAAAACAAGACTTCTGAATCGATAAAAAATAATAAAATATACGAGCGTCCGTTGTCCAAGTGAATGGCATAAGCTGGTATATCACCAAAAACATCAAAGGTCTCGTAGTGATGCCTGTCCTGATTTCCAATTAAATAGTCCATTAAATGTAAGTCGATAAGATCAAGAAGCCGTCTTCCATGTGCTATAATTAATTAAACTTAAAATTAAGCTTACTCTCGACCCACCATATTGACGCATGTGCTTTACTTTTCGTTCGCAATAATCCATGTCTTCTTGCCAATCAGCCAATTGATTCTTTTTTGAATAAGTTCTGGAAAGCTTTTTTTATTCTACCTATTTGTTAATTTATACCTTCTATAAGGAGATTTATTATGTTTTCTTGGAACACTTGTATCGTCAGGAAGAAATACTTGAACGGAGCCTTCTTTTAAATCTGGAGAGCCGCATATTGCCTAAATCATAGAAATTATAAAAATAAATAAGTTCTAACGTGTGTAGTGTCGCAATAGTAGTCGCACTTGCTTACAAAACAACGATTCTTTGCTTAAATAGCTTACTACAATTTTTCAAAAATTAATGCATACCTGGCGATATAAAAAATGTTTTCCTCAATCTACGTTCTGCAACTTCCATAAGTTCGCTAGTCATGTTTACTAAAGAGAATTGCAAGAAGTTAATTAAATTCATTAAAATATTACCTACACGGCCAACTGTAGGTACCGCTCGTCGATAACCAAGAATCCTTTAAAAAAAAAAGAAAAAACCGAAAATTTAGAAAATAGTAACATACTTATCTAAGTGAAATGTAGCAATTTCTGCATTATGCCGTTCAAAATCACCGAAATAAAAATGATTTGGATCAGTCTCTGAAATGTAAAAACATCAAACAAAGAAAAAGCTAGTTTCTCACCATAATCTCGACCAAATCTTAATAGTAAAAAGAACGAATTTAAATTTTTAGGTTAGAAATAACCTCATTGGTTTGAACACCGCCTGCTTATCGTTTTCAAACGTCAGAACAAGCTTAACTTGTGTTCCACCCTCCATTATTGCTGTATGTTTTATTCTTAATTTACTCATATCTGATAACAATTTGTCCACCAATTTATCATCATTGTAAAGTTCACAACTGCTAATACCCGCATAAAAACGTTCCCAGCTATCCTCAACTGGAACAACCCTCCTGTGTGGTGATAAAAATAAGTAAAATTATAATAGATCAGATTTCAATTCAATTATTCAAAACTACTATTTATTAAACGGTATGTTAGGATTCACCTATGTGTTTCAAGCCAATATTTAGCCAAGGTAGTATTTTTCATGCATCCTCCTTCATCAAGTTTGTGAGGAAGTTGAACCATATAGTTTTGTATTTTTGATGCTAAAACTTTGTCAACTGACCGAACAATATCTATGAATAATTTAAATTGTATATATGTCTGGTGGGAAAAACTTACTTAAATCAGAGAAAAGAACTGATTTTGAATTCATGTTGGGCGGTACTTGGGGTTGAAAAGATAATTGCTCACCAGGCCTATTCTCGACCAGATTATGATTTTGTTGTTGATCAGCAGGTCGGAATTTCCGCCAATCTATAAGTTAAGTTATTCTATTAGTTAAAATATTCTTTATTATTTACCTTGTCTAGCCTTGTATTCCGCTATCAACATTTCATCCTGATCTTTTAATCCGATCTCGTTAGTTTCGGGCCCATGCCTCGAAGTCATATAAAACATTGAACAAATAAAGAAAAGGCAAATCAACCAAAATGCCCGTCTAGCATAAAAACGTAAACCTTTTTGCATTTTTCTTCTCCCGCAAATGGACGGACATAGTGCTTCACAAAAAGTAAGCAGATAAGGGAACGGCAGTAAAAATACAGAAAGGCAATAAAGGAAACATTAGTTTTAAATATAAATGGAAATATTCTGAAAAATTTTTAATTTTATTTAATCAGAAAATTAGAAATCAAGTTTTTAAAATTACAGATAATACATATGTATGTAAAAGAAACTATAAACTGAGGGAATTTTGAAAGTAAAAAATATTTTTTCAAATTTAAAACAAGAAACTACTAGAAATCATTATTTTAATAGAAGCAATTTATTGAGTTTATGATAAGAATCGAGATACATAATATGTATTGTTTAAAAATCAAAAGGATAATTGTGCACATAATTGTGCAAAGAGAAGAAAAGTGCGCAAAGAAGAAAAACAATAAGAGTAAAACTGTGTGGGTGTCCTATGTTGTCGCTATGGGTGTCATTTCCAAAAACACTCAAGAGTTTGCAGATGACAGACGTTATTTCAAGGTACTTAAAGGTGGGAGGATAAAGGAAACGAACAAAATAGAGAAATGAAAGTCTGTCAGTAAGTCAGTCTGTCAGTCAACGAATGAGTGGGTTAGTTAAATCTCATTTTTCTTTTCCCGTCAACACCGATGATGAAAGGACGAGATTTGATCGATTGATTGGTTAGTAAAAATAAAAAAAACAGGAAAGGGCGATAAAGCATTTATTTATAAAAAAATTCTATAAAGCCTTCCAATTGAATTCCTAAAGGTGTAAATTTTGGAATTTTATAATTGATTTTTGGAAAATAGAGTATGTGACAAGTACTTAATAAAAACAAAATTGTTGTGTTTTTTAATATTTTACATATACATAAACAAAGGTTTTTGCATTTGGTAATAAAAATAAAATTTAAACAGAAGCAGTACATAGTTAATCCAACTATGTTTAATCTTTCAGAATCGTGTTTCTTTTCACTTTTTCTGCCTCTTAAATTCCACGTTTGAATAAATACGAATAACAAAGGCGTATAGTAGTGTTTTAGGAAAACATTAAGTGTATTAAAATTTAAGAAGAGTTAGTTTTACGGATAGCGAGACCTCACGGGACGGCATCAGCATCATAATTGAATTACTTTTGGCATGCATTTTTGGAAAGGGAAGGGCATTTTTGTGTACATATAAGCACGGCCAAAAAGAGGACAGGAAATTGGAAAATTTATAAATTCCCACATGAGAATGACTACGGAACCAAGGAAAAATGAAAACAAAAAACGGATTATATAGTAATCAGGTATTCCATCAACAAAAATTCTGGGACAACTAAAGTTATTTCTTAATAAGAAAACCTAGAAAAATTAAAATTAAAGCTTTAAAAATATATTTGTTTTAAATACCATTCCAATATAGGGAAAGATGAGGTGAAACAAATGTTTTCAGATATAATTTTAGGTTGAAGCAATAATACACATTTAAAATATATAATATGTAGTTTAGTAATCATAGGTGTAGTAAATTGGTCTATAAAAAAGGAAACTGAAAAAGCTGCAAAAATAATCCTTTTAAAAAAGAAACAGCTGAAAAAGGATTATGAATATGTATGTACAATATATGTATAAGATATGTATGAGAAGAGCGGGAAATTGGTCAATAATAAAAGCTAGAATTATTTTTGTCCATTAAAACAAAAATAATTTTATAAAAAGCCTTACTTTAGCTTCATAGAAAATACAATTTGGAACGATTCATCTAACAAATAAGTAATCCTACATACATAATCACTTTAAATATATAAGTGTAAGCAAAAAATGTAGATTATTTTATAAATGGACTAATTGTCGACGAGTAACAAATGCAACTAAATATTTAGACGAAAAAATTAATTGACCAATAAATTATTACTCAATCCCTTATCAGTCTGATCAATAATTCAATCAATAATAAGAGAGAATTGTTAGATGCTAGCAATAATAAATTATGTATGTAAAGAAGCAGATTAATTTGAGAAACAAAAGCAATAAATTTTCAAAATGAATATTAATGTAGGATAAATTGACTTAAAAATTTAACCTTCATTTTAACTTGTCAGTCTTAATACATATGTAATGCATTAATGCATTTTTAAATTTACCAACTCAAACAATTCACAAGTTTTACCGAGACTAAGTAATTCATTTAATTCTTCATAAAATCCGTTTTAATGCAGTTGTTCTTTTTAATGTTATAAAGTAGCGCAAACATAAAGAGAAACGAAAATTGTTGGATAAACACAAGAAATAAAGACGTTGACTTATAATGTTCGTTTTAACTGCACTTAAAGATTTAATAAAAATTTAGTTTATTTTCAATAAGTCCTCGAAATTAAAAAATGAAATAGAATTAAGGTTAAACAAGTTTTAGTGATTGGAAAGGTACTCGAGAAATATGTACAATAAAAATATTTTAGTAAAAGATTATGAAAAAATAGGAAAAAACAAAAAAATTTCTAGTCCCGCGCTTGTTTGAGAGTAGAAGAATATAAAAGTGAGTCATAGGATTAAAAGGATGAATGAAAACGATAATATGAAATATACGCACATTTATATCGTTGTAATTTCAAAGATATTTAAAATGTTACATTTAAAAATAATTAAAAATAATTTTATAATTACTTATGCAAGATGTTGATCTTAAGTATACATATGTATGTGTTATAATTAAGTCAATTATCATTCGTAATATTTATCTTTTTTAATAATAATTTAAAACAAAAATGAAACCAGTTTCAAAAAGGATAAAATTTCTGCGATTGATTTGTCAGAAGTGGCTTGTATATAGATCTATGTCTACAGCAGAACTGAAAAGAGGGTAATTGGAATGTGAAAAAGATTGTTATACGTTCGATCAACTAAAAAAAGTAACATTCTCTGGAAAAATGAAATACACAGTATTTTATAGGTGCATGCTTGTTGAATGCGCGAGGAAAAACGGTTTTTCAGTTATTTTAGAAAGTGAAACGGATCTTGAGCTTTTAAGTGAAAGCATGAAATGCTCAAAAATGTGAACTCAAAATATAGAAAGATCCTTGCATGTATCTAGACATTTTTTCCAAAATGTATTATGAAATAAGAGTAAAAAGCAAAAAATATCTGATTGTGAGTAAATTAAAGAATAGAAATAAAAAATCTTGTCATCTAAAAAAAGCCTTATTTCAAAACAGATGAACAAACGAATTTTACATTAGGATTGTTAACCAGTAAAAATGTCTATAGAAAAGTGAAAATGTTTATATGAAAAACAAAAATAAAATCAGATTGGTTGATTGAAAATGAGAGTTAATCCTTGATCTTAGTAAGGTGGTTTAAACAATGTAAGCAGTCAAACCAAATTACAAAGAAATGCCAAAACTATTAACTTAAAAAACGAAGCATCCAAATAGTACATAGAACACGAATGGAAATATAGAGCTGAATACTTTCTAAATGTTAAATATCTGCTGTTAATGTAAACTAACAATAATGAATTAGTCAGGATGTTTGGCATATAAAATAAATAGAACGAAACATAGCAGCAATACGTAGTTGGCTTTATTACAATTTAAATTTTAAACATTCAACAATTAATCAGATATTAAGTTACGAAAAAAATCATTACAAAATTTAGAATCATTATAATCCACAAATACAACAACCAAAATTTAAATAAAATGGGCTGGTAAAATTTCATAAACCTCTAGTTTTATCTTTATGTTGAAAAAGCGAATCCTTTACATGCTGGGGTATAGCGGATACAAATGTCTAAAAATAATCGATAAATGTTAGAAATATTGATTAAAAATACTTGATGATTAATCCAAGGCGCTGTGGCCAAAACACCGTGACTGTTTTGCATTTGTCCATTTTTCTCATATAAAAGAGGAAAGCCAGATATATCAGTAAGAGTACCACCTGTAACGGAACAAAAATATAAAATAGTGAATAAAAGTATTATACCAGCGGCAGTTAAAACAGCTTCAGGTGCAGCAGTGTCCCATTTTTTACAACCTCCCGAAGCGAATACATAAGCCGCCGCACCCTCAAAGCAACACAAAACTTTGAAACCAGCACCACCAACCCTACGAAATTCGTGGATTAAATTTTTTTCCTGGAGGGCTTTAAGAGCAGTATCAACCTATTTTTTTGCTTGATTAAACTTTAAATATTTTTTAAATTAACCAATTCGTTAGAATGGCTTGCAGTTGTAACGGCGAAAGGACCAGATGGAGGGGATTCTAAAATCAATATTTTGCTAAAGTTAGAATAAATAATAACCTTTACAAGTATTAATTCCAAAAGCTCCAACTCCTTTTATCCCCCAAATCGAACGTCCAACTTTAGGGTCTGACAGTAAGTTATAATAAGGTTGATGAATCACACCCGCGATTGGTCGGCCTTTGTAAGTAATTCCGATGAGAACAGTTACTTGCTCTAACAGACCTACAATAGATAAGATTTTAATTTGGTATTAATATTTTAAATAAAAAAACTTGGATCGTTTTGCGCTCTAACAAATTCCGATGTTCCGTCCAAAGGATCAACCCAAACAGTCAGCTGAAGAATAAAACAAAATTATCAAGGTGAATCATGTACAAAAAAATGGTCCGTATGATTCTAAAAATAAACTACATCTTCAATGTTAAGAGAGCGTAAATCTTCTTGTACACATTTGTCCACAAGTAGCACCTCACTCACTGATTCAGACAATTCAAACCCTCTAAGTTCATCTTGGCTTTTTTGTGAATAAGACAAAGGCAATTCCTTAATACTTTTTATAATTAAAACATAATCATTAAAAATGTTATACCTCTTCTCCGACAATTTGAAGTTTATTTCCAAATGCAGAAATTAGTTTCATTTCAATTGCCGCCTGGGCTGATCTAGAAAGTATAAAAATAAAGAAATATGGCAAGAGTACGTTTGTGTTCATATTATAAAGGTTTACCGAGTATACTAATTAGTAGAATATGAGCCCAGATTTTATGTTTCGATCCCGGACTAAAATTCTAGCTCGAAGGAGCGTGCAAGTTTTTTAATTATAATTTAAATTTAACCAGGTCATGCTTTGGATTCGGGATCGAAAAAATAAAATCTGGTCTCATATTCGAATTTAGCTCACATGATTACCTAATGCAAAGTTATAAAATATCGAAAGGTAAGTTTTTACCACTTTTCAAGAGATGGAATGAGAAAAGAAAAAAAGAAATTAAACTATTCAAAAAGATTTTTCAATTTTAATTTAAAATTTTAATTAAAAAATAATAAAAACTAACCTGTCCGCCTCGGTTTGCAAATCTTTTTTTAAACCATCCAAATTTTTGTCAACAATCTTTAAATCTCCAGACGTCATTACACACTGAAATAATGATAATAAGCATTGAAAGAAAAACAGAGTATTTAAAAAAAATTTGGGATTTACTGGTGGTATATACGCATGAAACAACCTTTATTATCGTTCCAGCTGATTCTGAAGCATTTAAGGAAACAGCAACAAGACGCGTCAAAAGACAAGAATTTTTCCACATTTCTTGAATATCAAACGATTGATTCATCTAAAATTACAGGATGTTAAAGTAAATAATCCGGTTTTTCCGAGTCCGAGATCCCAAATCCGCGCAGGAGTATGTATACAGAAAATAAAAAAGATCCCGAAAACTCCCAGAACATTCCAACAGTCTCGGAAGAAAAACAAATTTCTGTTGCTAGAGTATTTGTCTTGAAATAATTATAATTAGTTAACACTTTAACATTTACCAATTTAAAATTCCAAATTGATTTTGTGAGAAAATTTTGGTCAAAATTAATTTTGGCTTTAATTTTTGATATCTATCTTTTGTCTCTGTCTGCTTTTTTACAGGGAAAAGTTTTTGTTTTTCTTTTCAATTATCAATTTTACTAATCCTATCTATGATTAGCGACTTATTCAAACGACCATCATATTGACTCTATTGTTCTTTGATTTAATCGATTTCCCAGTCCTTTTTATATCGATTTTTTCTCTTTTCATTTTGAATGTTTTTTGTGGGTTAGGGACATTCAGTAAAATTGATTGTTCTCTACTGTGATCAAAATTTCTGCAACACTGCATAACTAATTTCCTTCTTTTTTTGTTAATGTTTAATGTTCGCCTGAGGTTGAGTTGAATGATCGAACCCGTTTAATTGTGTTTTATTTTTGTTTCTATCGTTTTTGTTTCTATCGTTTTGGGACTAGAATTAATTTTAATTGTTGCAGAAATTTTCAACACCCGAAGCTCCATTTACTGCTGATGTTGTAGTTTTGGCTTCTGGTTGCTCACATGCCTTAGAGATGGCTATTGTTGATATTGCTGATCCAGGACAAAATATTCTTATTCCAAGGCCTGGCTTTCCTTTGTATTAAACATTGTGCCAACCGAATGGAATTGAATCTAGGCAATATAGACTGGAAATGGATGATAAAGGATTAATGATTTGGCTCATTTGGAAAGCTTAATTGACTCACAAACACGTAAGGAATAGATAAAATAACTTTTAGACTAAATTAACTTTTTTAGGAGCTATAATAGTTAACAATCCTTCAAACCCGACAGGAGTGGTTTTTCCAAAGGAGCATTTGGAACAAATTTTGGAATTGGCACAAAAATATAAGGCAAGTTTTAATTAATTTAAAATGAATCTAAAATCTTGAAAATCTTATTATTTCTTAATTTTCACATTTACAGGTTCCTATAATTGCCGATGAAATTTATGGTGATTTGGTATATGGTGAAGGCGAATGTTTTCATCCAATAGCAACATTAAGTCCTCGTGTCCCAATAATAACTTGTGATGGAATTGGAAAAAGATATCTTGTCCCTGGATGGAGGCTTGGTTTCTGATTGTACATGATCGTTGCGGAGGTGTTTTGTCTGAAATAAAGAAGGGAATTGTTGCTTTAAGTCAAAAGATTGTTGGACCATGTGCATTAATTCAAGGAGCTTTGCCAAGCATTTTAAGAGATACACCTTCCGAATTCTTTGACAACACTAAAAAACTTTTGGCTTCAAATGCTTCTATAGTATATGATAAATTAAGTAGAGTTCCTGGATTGAGACCATTGAAGCCACAAGGTTTTTGAATTAAAAATAATTTAAAATAAAGATCGTATTATTAAGGTGCCATGTATATGATGGTTGGATTTGATCCTTCTCTCTTTGGTGATGAGACTAAATTTGTGCGTGGTCTGATTTCTGAAGCTCTTGAGAAGTTATTCGGCAGAAAATGGTTTTTATTTTTATAATTCAATTTTACTTTTCTACTTTCTTTTAAGACGACGATTTGCCTGTGCTTGAACTTAATGCACTCAGAGATTTGTCTTTCATCATTGAATCTTACCTTTTCCATATTTGCTTTATCGACCAATTGGACCAGGCCAAGGCTGTTGTACCACCAATCAAGATTAGTCGAGCAACAAGAGGAAATTCTGAAATACGACAATACGAGAATGATGAGCAGAAGAAGAGTAAACTTCGTCGTTTTTTCAAACGCTCCAATTCAATTTCATATTCGACATTGAGGTTGTTTTTTAAATTCCACAGATGTTATCTTCGCATTTTTAGTGATGCTGTTAAACATCATGCATTTACATATACGGCAGCTGATGTTTTGCCACTTTCTGTTCTTCCTTATCTACTCAATTCTGAGGCTGACTGAGCGTGATGTATTATTCGCTCTTCCTCCATCTTATCGTACAAGATCTGTGCATCAGGTTTCTTTTAACTTCGATTTTTGTTTTATTTCCTTTTTCGTTTGCAGCGTATTGTATTGGAGCATGGTGTTAAATTCCCTGCTCAACAAAGCCTTTCCCAGCCTCAATTGTCTTATGCTGCTTTACAAAATCGTCTATTCGGTGATGATGGCTCTAAAACGGAACAAATCGAGTCCACTCACGAGGCTACTAATTCTGATGCTATGGAAATATGCACTGCTACAAATGATGGTGATTCGAAAAAACTGAGCCCTCCGGTTTTCAATGCATTTCAAAAATCTATCGGACGATGGGATCGAACAATTATGTTTGTTGCAAAGGTTTTTTTGGTTACCCGACACTTGCGGAACGACATTTGCGGATCGACAATTGCGGATTGAATTTTGCGGAACGACATAAACGGTCCCGACATTTGCGGACCGACAGAAGCGGATCGACTTTTGCGGACCGACAGATGCGGATTAACATTAGCGGATCCGACATTTGCGGACCTGGTAATTTTTCAAGAAAATAAAAATCCTTTACTCTTGTAAAAGTTTCGTCCTAAATATTTAGATCGCCTTGGTCTTGTGTCTTCGAAACTTTTCGAATTTGAACAAGAAAAAGGTTCTATCCCAAAATTGTATGCTGATTCAACATTTTCAGCGGCCAGACCTGGTACCCTGACATTTTCGACACGCAACCCGATCCAAATATTTGTAAGTCGAAAAAATTTGAAAATCCTTTATTTTTTTAAATCATTAACTGGTCCGCAAATGTCGAGTCCGCAAATGTTAATCCGCATCTGTCGATCCGCAAATGTCGTTCCGCAAGTGTCGGTACACCGTTTTTTATCTACTATCAATCTTAAAAAATTTTTTTTAGAATTTCCATGACGATATCACAACATGGTTTGGTGGTGATTCTTCTCATTCTGTTCTTATTGGTAAAACCAGAGGTTTTTTAAATTTTTTATCTGCCTAATTCAGTTCCTTATATTTAAGTTTGTTAATTTAATGTCAGTTATTCTTAATTTCGGAAGCAGATGGATAGACTCAAAAGTACCCAAACAAAAGATTTATTGTTAGTCTTCAGTGTATGTTTTAATTTTTAGGTGCTTTGGGTAATTTTTAAATTTCAGCAAGTCCGACATGAAAAGTATGTTCTTCAACAAATCTCCAGACAACTAAATCACCACGATGTTCGTCGAACGAGAGGGGCTAGTGGATGTTATCTGATGGCTCTGGAACTTCTACAGCTACACAAGAAAATATTTTATTGGAAGAAGTGTTCTTGATGAGCATTGGACTGAAAATTGATGATGAATTACAAGGATGAGAGAAGCTAAAAAATGTGGCAAAGATGCTTCCGCCACATTTTAAGGTCTAAAAGATATTTGATTAAATATGTATTTATTATTTTTTTAGTGCTTTTCCGTTTGCCTCGAAATTTTTTGTTTTATTTTTTTAAAGTACAAAATTTTATCAAAACAGCAGGATTCTTAGATGAAAACGGAAAAGCACAATTAAGCCACTTGTAAAAAAAGGATTTTTGCGGATTCGTTTAGAAGAAAGCAAAAAGGCCTTTTCTTTACAAGTGGTATTTTTTATCACATTATTTTTTTGTTGGTTAAAAATGGGTTTGGGATGGGTCCCCCCGACCCCGGGTTTACCCAACACCCAACTCTTCCAAGCTCAGAGAGCTTCAGACAGACTCCAAAACGATCCAACTAAACTCCAAAAGGATCCAAATTGACGAACTTTTTTTCTAAAAATTCGAACTTTTTTATAACAAAACTCCCAGATGAATTCCAGATCAGGCTTTCATACCTCCGAGTTATATCCAAAGGCACGGGTTCTTATTCAATAGGTGTAGACAGTAGGGCACTTAGACCTTAGATTTGATTAGATACCCCCCCCCACCCCCCCCCAACCCTTCCCACACTTCAACGCTCCTCTACAACTTCAATGGCTTCTACCACCCGTCTACAACTTCAATGGCTCCTACTGGCCGTCTACAACTTCAATTGCTGCTGCCAGCCGTCTACAACTTCTCCTGGCCCTACTCTGATGAACCCTCGGCCCCGACTCGGTACTCTAATGAACCCCCGGGTCCAACTTGGTACTCTACAGTCTACATCTATGATATAAGACCCACCTTTCTTCCCACATCCGAGTCTGGCACAAATGTGACTCCCCAATACGTCCACGGACAAAATATAACTCCCCAATTCGTCCACGGACAAAATATCACTCCCCAATTCGTCCACGGACAAAATATCACTCCCCAATTCGTCCACGGACAAAATATCACTTTCCAATTCGTCCCAAAGACAAAATATCACTTCCCAAAATGACCCACACTGAAAATCCCGCACTGAACTGACCGACCCCCCTTTTTAAAAAAGATCTCTCCATAGGTTCAGGCTTTCATACCTCCGAGTTATATCCAAAGGCACGGGTTCTTATTCAATAGGTGTAGACAGTAGGGCACTTAGACCTTAGATTTGATTAGAACCCCCCCCCCCCCCCCCCTTCCTGCACTTCAACGGCTCGTCTACAACTTCAACTGCTCCTGCCAGCCGTCTACAACTTCAACTGCTCCTGCCGGACTTCTACAACTTCAACTGCACCTGCCAGCCGTCTACAACTTCAACTGCGCGGACTCTACTGTCCCCTGGGCCCCGACATTGTACTCTAACGTCCTCCCGGGTCCAACATGGTGCTCTACTGTCTATCCCTATTTTATAAGACCCACCTTTCTTCCCCACATCCAAGTCTGACCCAAATTTACTTCCCGATTCGTCCCAGACAAAACGTCACTCCCCATTTTGTCCCACGGACAAAACGTCACTCCCCAATTTGTCCTAGACAAAACGTCACTCCCCAATTCGTCCCAGACAAAACATCACTCTCCATTTTGTCCCAAGGACAAAACGTCACTCCCCAATTCGTCCCAGACAAAATGTCACTCCCCATTTCGTCCCACGGACAAAATGTCACTCCCCAATTCGTCCCAGACAAAACGTCACTCCCCAATTTGTCCCACAGACAAAATGTCACTCCCCAATTCGTTCCACTCTAAATATTCGTCACCAAAAATGACCCGCACTGAAAATCCCGCACTGAACTGACCGACCCCCCTTTTCAGAAAAATATCTCTCCATAGGTTCAGGCTTTCATACCTCCGAGTTATATCCAAAGGCACGGGTTCTTATTCAATAGGTGTAGACAGTAGGGCACTTAGACCTTAGATTTGATTAGATACCCCCCCCCCCCACCCCCCCCAACCCTTCCCACACTTCAACGCTCCTCTACAACTTCAATGGCTTCTACCACCCGTCTACAACTTCAATGGCTCCTACTGGCCGTCTACAACTTCAATTGCTGCTGCCAGCCGTCTACAACTTCTCCTGGCCCTACTCTGATGAACCCTCGGCCCCGACTCGGTACTCTAATGAACCCCCGGGTCCAACTTGGTACTCTACAGTCTACATCTATGATATAAGACCCACCTTTCTTCCCACATCCGAGTCTGGCACAAATGTGACTCCCCAATACGTCCACGGACAAAATATAACTCCCCAATTCGTCCACGGACAAAATATCACTCCCCAATTCGTCCACGGACAAAATATCACTCCCCAATTCGTCCACGGACAAAATATCACTTTCCAATTCGTCCCAAAGACAAAATATCACTTCCCAAAATGACCCACACTGAAAATCCCGCACTGAACTGACCGACCCCCCTTTTTAAAAAAGATCTCTCCATAGGTTCAGGCTTTCATACCTCCGAGTTATATCCAAAGGCACGGGTTCTTATTCAATAGGTGTAGACAGTAGGGCACTTAGACCTTAGATTTGATTAGAACCCCCCCCCCCCCCCTTCCTGCACTTCAACGGCTCGTCTACAACTTCAACTGCTCCTGCCAGCCGTCTACAACTTCAACTGCTCCTGCCGGACTTCTACAACTTCAACTGCACCTGCCAGCCGTCTACAACTTCAACTGCGCGGACTCTACTGTCCCCTGGGCCCCGACATTGTACTCTAACGTCCTCCCGGGTCCAACATGGTGCTCTACTGTCTATCCCTATTTTATAAGACCCACCTTTCTTCCCCACATCCAAGTCTGACCCAAATTTACTTCCCGATTCGTCCCAGACAAAACGTCACTCCCCATTTTGTCCCACGGACAAAACGTCACTCCCCAATTTGTCTGGCACAAATGTGACTCCCCAATACGTCCACGGACAAAATATAACTCCCCAATTCGTCCACGGACAAAATATCACTCCCCAATTCGTCCACGGACAAAATATCACTCCCCAATTCGTCCACGGACAAAATATCACTTTCCAATTCGTCCCAAAGACAAAATATCACTTCCCAAAATGACCCACACTGAAAATCCCGCACTGAACTGACCGACCCCCCTTTTTAAAAAAGATCTCTCCATAGGTTCAGGCTTTCATACCTCCGAGTTATATCCAAAGGCACGGGTTCTTATTCAATAGGTGTAGACAGTAGGGCACTTAGACCTTAGATTTGATTAGATACCCCCCCCCCACCCCCCCCCAACCCTTCCCACACTTCAACGCTCCTCTACAACTTCAATGGCTTCTACCACCCGTCTACAACTTCAATGGCTCCTACTGGCCGTCTACAACTTCAATTGCTGCTGCCAGCCGTCTACAACTTCTCCTGGCCCTACTCTGATGAACCCTCGGCCCCGACTCGGTACTCTAATGAACCCCCGGGTCCAACTTGGTACTCTACAGTCTACATCTATGATATAAGACCCACCTTTCTTCCCACATCCGAGTCTGGCACAAATGTGACTCCCCAATACGTCCACGGACAAAATATAACTCCCCAATTCGTCCACGGACAAAATATCACTCCCCAATTCGTCCACGGACAAAATATCACTCCCCAATTCGTCCACGGACAAAATATCACTTTCCAATTCGTCCCAAAGACAAAATATCACTTCCCAAAATGACCCACACTGAAAATCCCGCACTGAACTGACCGACCCCCCTTTTTAAAAAAGATCTCTCCATAGGTTCAGGCTTTCATACCTCCGAGTTATATCCAAAGGCACGGGTTCTTATTCAATAGGTGTAGACAGTAGGGCACTTAGACCTTAGATTTGATTAGAACCCCCCCCCCCCCCCCCTTCCTGCACTTCAACGGCTCGTCTACAACTTCAACTGCTCCTGCCAGCCGTCTACAACTTCAACTGCTCCTGCCGGACTTCTACAACTTCAACTGCACCTGCCAGCCGTCTACAACTTCAACTGCGCGGACTCTACTGTCCCCTGGGCCCCGACATTGTACTCTAACGTCCTCCCGGGTCCAACATGGTGCTCTACTGTCTATCCCTATTTTATAAGACCCACCTTTCTTCCCCACATCCAAGTCTGACCCAAATTTACTTCCCGATTCGTCCCAGACAAAACGTCACTCCCCATTTTGTCCCACGGACAAAACGTCACTCCCCAATTTGTCCTAGACAAAACGTCACTCCCCAATTCGTCCCAGACAAAACATCACTCTCCATTTTGTCCCAAGGACAAAACGTCACTCCCCAATTCGTCCCAGACAAAATGTCACTCCCCATTTCGTCCCACGGACAAAATGTCACTCCCCAATTCGTCCCAGACAAAACGTCACTCCCCAATTTGTCCCACAGACAAAATGTCACTCCCCAATTCGTTCCACTCTAAATATTCGTCACCAAAAATGACCCGCACTGAAAATCCCGCACTGAACTGACCGACCCCCCTTTTCAGAAAAATATCTCTCCATAGGTTCAGGCTTTCATACCTCCGAGTTATATCCAAAGGCACGGGTTCTTATTCAATAGGTGTAGACAGTAGGGCACTTAGACCTTAGATTTGATTAGATACCCCCCCCCCCCACCCCCCCCAACCCTTCCCACACTTCAACGCTCCTCTACAACTTCAATGGCTTCTACCACCCGTCTACAACTTCAATGGCTCCTACTGGCCGTCTACAACTTCAATTGCTGCTGCCAGCCGTCTACAACTTCTCCTGGCCCTACTCTGATGAACCCTCGGCCCCGACTCGGTACTCTAATGAACCCCCGGGT